GCTCCCTCCCACATATGCTGACAATCGCCTGCGTGGACCGCGACGACCGCGACAACCCAGGGAAACACCACGAAAGCCTGGGCGAGGGAATACCTCCCAACCCTCTTCTGGTTGAATGGGAAGAGACTGCGCTCTGGATGTGAGCGCTCTTCTAAGCGGAGGTTTCCCTGGGACCATCACTATCTGATCCGCTATACCTGACTAGCTTGTTCATGTTGTATTGCTGTATTTGTATACTCTCCAAGCTTACCAAGTCCTCGGCTGGGCATCTTGTTTAGAGAGATAGAAATAATGCCTTCTACGTTGAGCGTCGCAAGCCAGTGGCACCAGCGAGCAGCACTCGGGACCTACATGGATCCTCCCGCCTTGTCTAGACGCCGGCCAATCAAGGAGATGTTCAGGCACTGACTTTCCGGGTCCGATCACGACCACGCGGTACCAATGAACAAGTTTGACTACAACGCCGCGATAACACGCAAGGGCGCGGCCCCTAACTCGAAAATATATAGGTGGCCGGCGGCACCTTCTGGCCCGTCTGTCCCTCAACGACCATCTCCGAAAGTCTGTCAAGCGCACTCTCGGGTACTATGGAGTACCAGGTAGTGCTGCAGGCGTTCGAGACGGCCTTCAGTTTCGAATATGACTTGCCCGTGCCGTACGCGTCATTTCGCTTCGCGTCCATACCGTAACATTTCGAACTGAACATGCTTGCGCGTTTGACAGGTTATGGCGCGACGCGCGTATCCTGCCGGCTTACGCGGCTGGTATCTCCGTTGTCGGATTAGTCGCGCACTCCATTGCCGTTCTCGTGCACAGGCGCAAGAAGGACGGCGAGAACGCCCAAGCTACCGAGCAGCAGCAGGACACTTCCGCAGTCGGCGTTGGCTCCTCTTTCAGATCGCACGTCGCAGAGCACGGCGGGGCAACTATCTTTGCGTACAAGGTCGCGCGTTTCGTCTCGGTACTTGCACTGCTCGCATTATATGTCGCCAGCTTCGTCAACGACTACGAGCTAGTCGGGGCATACGGCGTCGACACCCTCGGGAAGAAGAAAAAGGCTCGCAAGGCGGCCGAGCTTAGCCGGAGGGAATGGGTTGACCTGATTCTGTGCATCACCTACGTGAGCGCTTTCTGTCAACTGTATTGCGCCGCCTGCATGCTGATCAAGCACCCATAGCTATACGCGTCCTTCCTCTCACTCGTTACGATTACCGCAAAGGGAAGGATAGCGCGCGCCATTTCACCGCATTTGTCTCTGGTCCTTATCGTTGGCTTCGGTGTTTACGCGTACCGGGACCTATGGCCTCTACTCACCTTCACCCTCTCCCCGGCCGACCGTCATGAAGGCGCGCTGCTCTGGGCGAAGGTTGCGCTTATCACCTACTCGGCTGTGCTGGTCCCCTTGTCTATGCCGAGGGAGTATGTCCCCCTCGACTCTTCGGACCCGCAGCCATTGGCGAACCCCGAGCAGACAACTTCGATCGTGTCGTTAACCACCTTTACATTCTTGGACAAGTACATCTTCCAGGCGTACCGCCAGGGTCGTCTTGAGTTCGACCAGCTTCCTCCGTTGGCCGACTACGACTACACGAAGAACCTCGTCAAGCGCAGCTTCAAACATCTCGACATGTTCTCTGGTGCACCGAACCAACATATGTTCATCGCGCTCATGAAGGTCTTCTGTGAGTTCCGTTGGAGGTTGCGCTCGTGAAGATATAGCTCACGAATATTGCACAGTCTGGGAGTACATGGTGCTGTCGCTCATGATGATCTTCCGAGTCTTGACCGCGTTCTTGGCTCCGGTCGGTATTAACCGTCTCCTCAAGTGAGCACACCCGACTTCGTATTGACTTAGTTTATACTGACTGTTTACAGTTACATCGAGAAAGGCGGTGAGGGCGCAATGGTCCGCCCATGGGTCTGGGTCAGCTTGATGTTCTTCGGTCCCTTCGTTGGCACGATCGTTATGCAGTGGTACATCTTCATCACGACCGGTTCGCTCGTTCGCGCACAGGCAATAATCACGCAACTCGTCTTCGAGCACTCCCTGCGTATCCGCATGAAGGCTGAGACGGCCGCATCCACTCCTTCGCCGTCGCAGGCCACTACGCCTGATACCGCCTCACTTGCGGATACGGCTGTTGGTACGGAGGGCGAGCACTCTGCTGAGGGTACGGAGCAGACGCTTCAGCCGAGCTCGGCTAGCATCGCGTCTACCAGCAGCGGAAAAGGAAAGGGCAAGGCTAAGGAGGAGGACGATGATAAGAAGGATAAGGACGGGAACCTTGTTGGCAAGATCAACAACCTGGTACGTGTCGGTGTTTTGTCATAGTCGAATCTGTACTCATCAACTATGATAGGTCGCTACTGATCTCGAGAACATTGTCGAAGGTCGTGACTTCTTGCTGCTCGTCCTCTACTCGCCTCTCCAGTGCGCCATCTGTGTCTACTTCCTGTACTTGTTACTCGGGTGGAGTTCATTCGTCGGCATGGCCATCATGGCCGTATGCTTCCCTCTTCCTGGTTGGATCGCGAGCAAGATGCAGACCATCCAGAAGACTGCGATGAAGAAGACGGACGCCCGCGTTCAGACCGTCACCGAGAGTACGCGCTCAATTTTGTTACTTGAATTCTTCCCGCTGATCAGCGTAATAGTGATGTCCGTACTCCGCATGGTCAAGCTCTTTGGCTGGGAGGCCAAGATGAGCGACATGCTCGCGAAGAAGCGTGACGAGGAGCTCGAGTGGATCATGAGCAAGGAGCTCGCTGGTCTCGCCAACAACGTTGTCAACTACTTCATCCCCATCCTCCAGATGATTGGCACCTACGCTTCGTTCACGCTCATCATGAAGGGCAACCTGACGCCGTCGCTGGTCTTCTCGACGATGGCCGTTTTCGACCTTCTCCGTGACCGTACGTTTATCCCCACGCTGATATTATTGTAACATGGGCTGACCGTACACCAGAGCTGCATACCGTCTTCTTCATGATCCAACCTACGATTCAGGCGAAGGTTTCCCTCGACCGTATCTCCGACTTCCTGCGCAAGACCGAGCTCCTCGATCACTACGCTGCCAAGCTCAAGGACGAGCCTGCCGCCTCTACCATTGTTGACGCGTCCCGTTTCGACCAGTCAGTCATCGGCTTCCAAGATGCATCCTTCACCTGGTCCGATGACTCTTACGAAGCCGACGGTACCCTCACGCCCTCGCGTCGCAAGTTTAACTTGCGCATCACGGACGAGCTCGTCTTCAAGCGTGGTGCTATCAACTTGATTATCGGCCCGACCGGATGTGGCAAGACGAGTCTACTCATGGCCTTGCTGGGCGAGATGCACTTTAAGCCTATGACGCCTGGGTCGTGGTTCAACCTCCCGCGTGCTGGTGGTGTGGCGTATGCTGCACAGGAGTCGTGGGTCCAGAACGAGACCATCCGGGACAACATCCTCTTTGGCGCACCTTTCGACGAGGACCGCTACAACAAGGTCATCTACCAGTGCGGTCTCAAGCGCGACTTGACCCTGTTCGAGGCTGGCGACAAGACCGAGGTCGGCGAGAAGGGTCTGACGCTCAGTGGCGGTCAGAAAGCCCGCATCACGCTCGCTCGCGCGATTTACTCTTCGGCCGAGACCCTTCTACTTGACGACGTCCTCGCTGCACTCGACGTGCACACAGCGCGCTGGATCGTTGACAAGTGCTTCAAGGGCGACCTCGTCCGCGGTCGCACCGTCCTTCTCGTCACGCACAACGTCGCCATGGCCAGCCCGATTGCTAACTACGTCGTCTCGCTCGGCACAGACGGGCAGATCCTCAGCCGCGGTTCGGTGTCGGATGCTATCGCCAAGGACAAGACTCTCGCGCATGAGGTTGAGGAGGAGGCCCAAATCATTGAGAAGACGGAGACGGAAGTCGTTGACAATGAGGAGCCGGACGCGAAGGCTAAGCAGGCGGATGGCAAGCTCATTGTTGCCGAGGAGGTCGCGGAGGGCCACATCTCTTGGGCTGCTCGTACGTATCCTTGAAACCACTAGAGACGGTGTGAATACTGACGACTCTGTCCAGTGCGCATCTTCTTCTCGGCTCTCGGTGGCAAGCACTCCTTCATGTTCTGGTTCTTCTTCATCGCCGGCCTTGCTCTGTCCGATGTCTTCAGCAGTCTGCAGACCTTCTGGATGGGCGCGTGGGCCGAGGCGTATGACCGCGCCGAGCACTACGAGGATGTCGACGTCAAGTAGTGAGTGCTCGACCCAGCGTTACCAGTCTGTACATACTGATTTCGCGTTTTAGCTACCTTGGCGTGTTCGTCATCTTCGTCGCATTCTCTTGCCTCACCTACACCGTCGGTATCTCCGTCTACGTCTTCGGTATCATTCGTGCTGCCCGCAAGATCCACAAGCAGCTCATCAACTCGATCCTGGGTACGACTCTGCGCTGGCTCGACACGACGCCCACCTCGCGCGTCATCACCCGCTGCACGCAGGACATCCGCACGACCGACGGTCCCTTCGCCCATCTCTTCCAGTTCCTCTCCGAAGTCTCGATCACAATGGCCATCAAGCTCATCTCCATCGTCATCGTCACGCCCGTCTTCCTCATTCCCGGGGTTGTCGTCTTCCTGGTCGGTGGCTACTGCGGACAGATCTACATGTCCGCACAGCTGTCTGTCAAGCGTGAGATGTCGAACAAGCGCGCACCGGTCCTCGGACACTTCGGCGCGGCTATTGCCGGTCTTACGTCCATCCGTGCCTATGGCGCTGAGCAGGCCTTCCGGGCCGAGGCGTACAAGCGCATTGACCAATACTCGAGGGCTGGCCGTACCTTCTACAACTTGAACCGCTGGATCAGTACCAGGATTGATGCCCTCGGCGGTCTATTCGCTGCCGGTCTCGGCGCTTACTTGGTCTACGGCCCGGGTAGCCGTGATGCTCTCCCGTCGAATGTCGGTTTCGCGTTAACAATGGCTGGTACGTCCTTTGGCGCCTAGACAGTTTTTCAGATACTGACGCCCTTCTGTAGTCGGCTTCTCCGGCATGATCCTCTGGTGGGTCCGCATCTACAACGACTTCGAGGTCCAGGGCAACTCCCTCGAGCGTATTCAAGCCTACATGGAGATTGAACAAGAGCCCAAGCCCGTCCAGGAGAAGATCCCGGCTGCATCATGGCCCTCGAGCGGCTCGCTCACTGTCGAGAAGCTCTCGGCGCGCTACTCTCCCGATGGACCTCGGGTCCTTCACGAGATCAGCTTCGAAGTGAAGTCCGGCGAGCGTGTCGGTATCGTCGGACGCACGGGTAGCGGCAAAAGCTCGCTCACGCTGTCCCTGCTTCGCTGTATCTTCAACGAGGGTTCGGTATTCTACGACGGCCTCGATACAGCGAACATCAACCTCGACAGGCTGCGCTCGAGCATCACCATCATCCCGCAAGTGCCGGAGTTGTTGAGCGGTACCCTGCGTGAGAATTTGGATCCGTTCAGCGAGCACGACGATGCAACGCTCAACTCGGCGCTCCGCGCTGCCGGCCTGTTCTCGCTGCAGAAGGATGACGATGAGAATCGAATCACGCTTGACTCGCAGATCTCGAGCGGTGGCGGAAACTTGTCGGTTGGCCAGAGGCAAATTCTTGCCCTCGCCCGTGCGCTCGTACGTGGGAGTAAGCTGCTCATTCTGGATGAAGCTACGTCGTCTATCGACTACGAGACGGATACCATCATCCAGAAGTCGTTGAGGAATGAGCTCGGCGGGGATGTCACCCTGCTCACTGTCGCGCATCGCTTACAGACCATCATGGACGCGGACAAAATCGTGCGCTACCTCCTATACCCTCATCTTTTAATTATGTTGACTCGTCTCCTTTCAGATGGTGCTTGATGCTGGTCGCATCGTGGAGTTCGACGCGCCCAGTGTGTTGCTCAAGAAGGAAGGAGGCTTCCTCAAGTCCCTTGTTGATGAGAGTGGCGACAAGGAGGCGTTGTATGCCATGGCGGAGGGCAAGACCTCTTCATCTTAATATGCTTCGGTGTTTGATTTCTTGGTACACGGCGGACTTTACCATCATCATTTGCACAAAATACCGCCTTTGTGATATAGATAATTGTATCTGCTTCGTACAACATCAACGTAGACTATTGAGCGAACGTCCTTCGCCGTTTGAGCTTCTCAGGGTGCGGCGCGTCTCTATGCAACGCAAATTAAATTGGGATAGCGTAACGACAGCACGTGAAAGCGAGCAGGGAGTTATAGGATGCGTCGAGAGGTATCCAGACGGCTTCGTCGGGCGAGCGGCGAAGTGAGCATTTGAATTTCGAACCTGTGGAGCAGCATATGTGCATTCCTCGCGTGACAGGTCCACCCCTCTGAATGCGGTGCTGAGAGCGCTCTGTGTCGGTTTATTTCTTCGCCGTCTTCTTGCTCTCCACGAACAATACCCTCTGTTTCACTGTGCGCGAAGTCAGAAAAACTATTGATGACATCCACAATATACCACGCACCCATAGGATCATATTTAACCTGCGCGATACGGGACGTCTGACGCACGCGAGTGGTGGTGTAGAAGTAGCCTGTTTGCGCTGTCGAGATGAGGCGGATGATCATAGTCCTGTGCACGTGTCAAAAATGGATACAACGCGATGAATACGGAGATAGGAAGCAGAGCCCGTATACAAAAACGCTGACGCACTTAGCCTTACTTTTGCCGGCCATGGCGGGCAGTGATGAGTGTGCAAGAGAGAGGCGCGTCAGGGTCGCGTGGCACGCGTCTGGCGTTCTGCCTGTCGATCGGCGACTGCCACCTCGCTTGCAGGTGCTCCAACTTGAGCGCTTGAGCGCCGAGCTTCTGGAAGTCTCTAAAGGCCTTCACCCTTGTGAATCTACTAGAGCTTTGACTCGTGCCGTGTCACCTTGTATCTCGTGCGCTTTGCCCATTATGCCGACTACTCCTTCGGACGCGCTAGCCAACGCACAATCACTGCTAACCCCGACCCTTCAACCAGTTCACCGTGTATCCCGGCCCAACATACATACGCGCCGTACTGCTGGTACATGCTTCAGCCTAACTGACTGAATGATTGCCATAATAAGCCACCCCAACGCTTCTCATCTTCCGGCACGAGTACAACACCAATCAGATTCACAACGTGCAAGGCAAATTGGCGCTGAAGCGACATGCTTCCATCCGGCTCGGCGTTCGGATACGCATGGTGGCCAGGGAGGTTCCTGTATATCAAGCGCCATTGGCATCAACAGCACTCGGAGTGTCGTAGTCTTGAGGGATCCAACCAGTGCGTAGAGGTACGTTCCCGACACCTTTAGTCGTTTCTGTATCCTGGGTCCTCGTTGTGCCAATAACGTACATGACACCGAAACAATATCATTGGCTGAGTACCGATGTTCACCCTTGTGTCCCGCCTGCGCGGCTTGTCGGCCCTAAGCATTCGTGCTGGACTCCTGAAGCAGGAACAAGTGGTATCGGGTTTTGTTGGTTGTTTTGTCGCCGGAGATAGAATTACACTCCCTTTGTCGAGAACGGGTCCATAGAGTGAAGGTTCCAGACCATATGTGCCCGGCCTCTGAGATTATTTAACGTGGACGTGCGTCTGGGCGGACTCCGGAGCAAGAGCACGGCATCGCTCTGCTTCAGTTGGCCCTGGCTACGGCGGAGGATGCGGAGATGCGCACAGCGACTCTCGGAAAGGTCCTCAGTATTCCGCTAACGCCGCGCGCTGAGATAGACGTGTCGATGGCAGCAGCTGCGTACCTGATAGCCTCGCCAACATGTCGGCAGGAATACATCAATCGGTGTGCCATTGACGACGGCTCGTACGCAGGCCAGCCATCCCCTTGGATGGAGCGAAAACTCAAATCAAACGTATGAATATCCCTGACTCACTGCCAACCACAGATGTCTACCAGTTCCAGGTTCACATAACCTAGTACTGTATATCGATCACAGTGCAAATGTGGCCCCTATATGTCTCTTCAAGGTACGTGGCGTCTATACGCATTCTCCCAAGTGATTCATTGCCATTGCTGATGTCATTGAGGACATCAGATTAAGCTATGCTTCGGCCCGTTGCTCGACACTGTGTTTTCATAGACAGCGCACAGTCCCGTGGGGCGATGCAGCCTCGCTCGACAACGCTACACCTGGCCTTACAGAAGCCTGAGGCAATCGTCTGGACTTCGGGCCTTCCTCTACGCCTTCCTCAATCACTCGGTATTCTGTGCGAGTGCGCAATGTTCTGTGAGCTTGCGGCGATACCAGATGCTGCCCGGTCAACTTCCGTGGATCTCATTCCCGCGAGCCACGAAGAAGTCATGGAACACCTTGAAGCGCCATGGTCTAGGGACGCAGAGGGCAACCCCACGATGTTGGCTCACAGATATGCCGTGCTGCCTACCTGCAGCATGCAAGACGGCAGTCTCGGGCTGAAACTCGAAGCTGCATCCAATGGCGCTTTGCGTGCGTGAAGGATGGTCGTCGCCTGGATTAGTACAACCGCGGAGGTTTTGCAAGGCAAGCTGTTCCGAGCCACGTATGTTTTCCTACACTTGCGATAGTCTGGCAATGCGGCTTATGTGGACATTAAGCTCACACCACAAAGCTGAGCGGAGAAGAACATCCGTTTCGTAAGATGGACGGCTTCTTCTCTTCGCTATCGTCGAATGCGCTCCCGCACGACGGCCTACCTCACTACTCTGCAGTCGGGCTCCCCACAGCCTCCAGGTATGTGTCTCTCAGCAATGATCCATGCGTTGGGGTGGGCTATCGGATTCTGGTATAAAGGATCAACACCGATCACCAGTCCTCTAGTCCCGCCCTACGCGTAACACCACTGACACCTTTTCCGTACCGAGTGCTAAATGGAGACCATGAGTAGCGTTATATCTCTTGGTCTGACCGCTACGACCAATGGGTCAGACGTTATCATCCCTCAAGTTTCCACCTGCGCTGCCGTGAGACAACTAAACTCCATTCATGTGTCTAGTTCTGACGCTGACCATTTCGCAGTCTTCGATCCCTCGCACGGATTGTCAATCTGTAACGCTTTCGTCGAGCAGTATCATGGCAACGGTCTTGGGCGATACGGAGCCGAGACCGTCAGGTAGTGAACAGACTGGGGAAAGTCGCAGCATACCGCCATCCATGAGCGCCCTTGCTCAGTTCACCGCGGACGTCGCCGAAACCGTGGCCTCAGTCGACTACACAGGCATCACGGCGAAAAAACGTGGAGATACGTGCTGGCGTGTGGATCAGTCGGGTCCGACCCCGTGTTCAAAAAGAGGCTCCCCATCATCGACGCAGCAGGCTGCTGCGGAGATATCTGTAAGTTTCCAGAGCATGCATCCCTTGCCTTCCCCTCTCATTTTTTAGTCCAATCTTCGTCAGCGCCATCCAGTGAAACACGATGCAAGTTCTCTTGACATTTTGCCTCGTTGCACTCTGGACACGCTAGTATCTGTGAGTTCTTGCGATCAATGCATGCCCCGTTCCCTCACAATACTTTAGCCGTCACATGTGTCTATAGTTGATCCTGAGGCAAGCATCACCGAGCGTCAAAGAAACCACCCAGACGACTCCCATGGAGTGGCCCTTGTAAGCGCTGCTTATCACGCTATGATGGCATAGCTCACCATATATTTTCGTATAGCTCATGCTCACCATGGCTACATTGAGTGCTGTGCCGATATCAGTATGCGCCACGGCCACAGAAGCTCACAGCTGCCCTGTTCTTTGGAGTGTGGCTTTTATTTCGGGTGTTGCTGCTCTCGCACTCTCACTCCTCGGCCTCGTATGGGCCTTGATCCATCCCTGTGCGTGCGAACAACGCATGCTCAGACGGACTCTTGCTTCCTTCGTTGCCTTGCTCGCGCTTCTCATACTGGCAAGCTTTCTTTTGTTGACCCTCGCCTCTCAACCCTGGCTTCTAGGTCCACACTATGCTCGCAGCCCCCGCGCGTAACCCCTTCCGAGTCGGGTAACATATTTTTCTGGGGCATGTGTGTTTCGTACGTTTCGTGTTCGCGGACATTTTCGCGGCTCTTTGTATTCTCCCCCAAACTGTATCATCTACCCTTCGTCCCTGGGACGCTGATTTTCTTGATCGTGTATCAATAGCCTACTTTACAGATTGACATCGGACAATGCAGTATGATGATACATCTAGTGTTTCTGTGAGATAGGTTTGCTACGCGACATAGGTATGTTTCCTCCATCCATTGCGACTCAACGTCAATGTGCGACGCCATTCGTCTTTTCGTTCCCCAGCTCCGCATGCCCATGTCGATCACCCGCCGCAACAGGATGCACATCCGAGTCCGCATGTTCTCCTCCAAGTTTTGCAGCTGGTGGTACTGAGTCATCACTAACACCCGGCGCGGCCGTCCAATCCGTGTAATCGCGCCTGACTTCGATATAATCCGTCGCGAATTCTCCGATCTGATCCTCGTCCATTCCGAGCCCTTCTGCCTCCTCTCCCGCGCGCAGATGCAAGCCAGGGATGAGGTCGACAGCCTTCGCGATGAGTGCGGTCATGACGAAGGTGTAGGCGCATGCGGCGGCAATATATGCTATTTGCATGTACATCTGTTTCCAGTTGTGATCGAGCCAGCCGCCGGAGATGGAAGTGTTGACACCATCGAGAGAGATGATCGTCTGTTGAGCGAAGATGGCATTGAAAACGAGCCCAATCACTCCGCCTATCGCGTGCTCGGCGAAAAGATCGAGGGCGTCGTCGATGCGCATGAGGAACTTGACTGTTTATGGTATGAGTATGCACATACTTGGCACTGGAAGAAGGCAAGGTGAGAAGACATACGTTTGGTGGCGTAGTTACAGACTGCGCCTGTGACTATGCCCATGACCACGGCTGCCCACGTCGGAATGTTTCCGGAGGCGGGTGTGGCAGCGACTAGACCAGCGATGGTACCAGAGCAGAAGCCTACGGCTGACCACTTGCGCTCGTACCGGAAGTCAAGTGCACACCAGACTATACCACCAAAGGCAGCAGCAAGCATAGAGTTCCAAATGGCGATGATCGCACGCAGGTTAGCGCCGAAAGCCGATCCTCCGTTGAAGCCTGGACGACGTTGTTCAGTGAATATCATGCACATTGAGCTTTCATAAAGACTGACCTAACCAACCGAACCAGAGTAGGAAAGTGCCTAGTGCAACGAGGGAGACGTTATGGGGTCGGAAATTCAGTAGTTCGCGTTCGCGTCTACGGCCGAGGACCATAGAGTACGCAAGACCGCCAACTCCGGATCCGATCTCGACTGGGCCGCCACCTATTGCGCAACGATGAGCTTCTGTGCGCGGAGAAACAGCGGTGTTGTCCTGTACCTGCGTAGTCAAGCACTCCCCAGGAGAAGCCCCAGCCGTTCGCTCCCCATGCCCACATCGCAAGCGGGCAGTAGACAAGAGTCAACCAAAACCAGACGAAGATACAGAATGGCAGTACACGTCCGCGTTCTGCTATACCACCGCACAAAATGCATACAGTCACGCATGCGAATTCCTATGGGACACGAGGTTAGCGCGGGGTTCGGCATCGGAGGCTATCGTCCGAAACCGACGAACCATTTGGAAAAATCTAATTGAGTCGCGAGACCTGGACTCAGCGCTTGCGGCGAGCTAGAAATCTTCACCGGACGTACGCATAGAGTAGCTCTGGGATGAGCGTGCTGCCTGGTGACGGCTGGTCGAGCGCGCGTTGCAGGCCGAATCGCGTGAGGTCGCCGATGTAGCCATTTGTTGCATCAGGAGAGAAGGCGAGCGAGTATCCTGAGACAGCCATGTTCAACACGCATTCCGGACTCTTACGAGACTGTGCATACCCCAGAAGTACCACTGAAAGATGGTCACCGCGTTGGCGGCTGCGATGGACCAAATAAGCGCCAGTGCCGACTTTCTTCTTGCCAAGCCGGAGTAGAGGAACGCTGGAGGGTGGAATAGGGGCATTAGGACTGCGAGCGCTACGCGGAGGCGCTGTGGGGCGTACCCAGTCCGGGAATCATCAAGAAGACGAGGGCGCCGCATAGGATGATGAACGCGACATCCCCCTTGTCAAAACTGCACAGATGGATAGAGCATTCAATACTTGAGCAAATAGGGAAGCACTGTCAACTCACTTTGACTGGTTCTCTCCTGCCCCTTCGAATCGCGTCTGAGTATGGGTCGCATATAATCACAGCTTAGAATAGCGTACTTGCAGACAACATGGGTGGAAGCCGGAGGTGGGGTAGAGGGAGGAGAGAGGAGAAAGAGTGTGGGGATGGTCGCGGTGTGCGTCAAAGGTGTATAAAGACCGCACGTCCGTTATCTTTCACTCCACAATTCCCGGACTGTATACGCAACACCTGAGCCTAGTCCGTGTATACGATCAAGGCGAAATCCACCCATTCGCGTTGGGCAGTCTAGAAGTACGGCAGCCGCTCCTTCACTTTGCGCCGAAGGCCGACAGTCCTGACGCAAAGATTTGATCTCGCCGCGGCAACCGGCGGGACTATAGACGCGGTCTCGTGTTCTGTTCGCTAGCATACCGTTCACAGAACGCGATGTTTGGATTCTTCGACCTACCGTCACATCCTAGTGTCGGAATGAACGGCGAGTACGAACCCAGAGGGCCAACGTATGTGGGGTGTATTCGCACAGTTTGCTGAGGCCTGGTTAGAGTCTGGTACCGTCGGGATTGATGCCCGCTCCGGCCTGCTCGGAACTTTTTTGCGGTGTGTAAGACGCAGTTGGTGTTCATGTCGTTCGATTTCTGAGCTGCCCATTTGGCTGCGAGCTGGCCACTTATCTTCTCTCGATTCATCAAAGGTGGGCGCTTGCTTTCTGCCTCCACCTTCGTCTCGCCGCAGCCATAGTCACTCGCTATGGCCAGCACATTCCAATCCTCAGTCGCGGCGTCGATGCCCTCGGAGACGGGCTCCCCTCTCACGTCCTTCCCTATCCCCTCGTTCTTGACGGCCGCCTCGGGCCAGGCGTCATGGCTCTACACTGTCGGCGCGCTGGTCATCACTTTCCTGGCCATCGAGCAGGGCGTGTACCGTATGAGGAAAGCTCATCTCCCCGGCGACAAGTGGACAATCCCTATAATCGGCAAGTTCGCGGACTCGTTGAAGCCGACTATGGAGGGTTACATGAAGCAATGGCAATTCCCATTATCCGCTCTGTCGGTGTTCCACATGTAAGACGAACAGTTGGCTGTAGCTACGTGACTGTGCCTAACAAAATGTACAGTTTCATTGTCATGGCCTCTTCGAACGAGTACTCCCGCAAGATTTTGAACTCGCCCAACCACGCCGAGCCTTGCCTGGTCTACTCTGCTAAGCAGATCATTTGCCCGGACAACTGGTGAGAAGTCCCCCCGAATCATTGGAGCACTGCGCTTCGCACAGTCCGTTGCTGTGTGAATGTAGCGTTGTCGTACCATTGTTGAATCACGCTAACCCTACGTGTTCAGGGTGTTCCTCGCCGGTAAGGAGCACGTCGAGTACCGTCGTGGCCTCAACCTGCTCTTCACGCACAAGGCACTTGGGTGAGCACCTTCTTCCGAATCCGGTCATATCATTTCCTAAACGGATTTGTGGCGCAGTGTCTACCTCACCATGATGGACCGTATTGCCCGCGAGCACATCACGAAGTGGCTGAAGGAGGCAGGCCCGGAGGGCAAGCCGTTCCCTATCATGATGAAGATTCGCGACCTCAACATGATTACTTCGCTTCGCGTCTTCTGCGGCAACCATATCACGTCGGAGGCCGCCCAGGAGATCTCCGACAACTACTGGTCCATCACGCTCGCGCTCGAGCTCGTCAACTTCCCGCTCGCTATCCCCGGTACCAAAGTCTACCGCGCCATCCAGTGCCGCAAGGCCGCAATGCGCTACCTTGAGCACGCCGCCCAGATGTCGAAGGACGCCATTGCTGAGGGAAAGGAGCCTGAGTGCATGCTTGAGCACTGGGTCGCACTTCTCCAGGACCCGTCGTACAAGTACCGTCGCGACTTCTCGAACCGCGAGATGGCCCTCGTCGTCTTCTCCTTCCTCTTCGCCTCCCAGGACGCCATGTCTTCCGGTCTCACCTACGGCTTCCAGCACCTCGTCGATCGCCCCGAGATGCTTGCCAAGGTCCGTGAGGAGCAGTACGCGGTTCGCGGCAGCGACCTCTCAGCTCCCCTCACGCTCGAGACGCTCGACCAGATGCCCTACCTCCGCGCTTTCACCAAGGAGAGCATGCGCGTGAAACCCCCTGTCACGATGGTTCCCTACAAGACGCTCAAGGCCTTCCCGATCTCTGACGACTACACCGTCCCCGCCGGCGCCATGGTTATCCCGTCCTTCTACAACTCGTTGCACGACCCGGAGGTATACCCCGAGCCCGATCTTCTCTCGCCTGAGCGCTGGCTCGACCCCGAGAGCGGCGCGAACCAGAACCCCAGGAATTACCTCGTCTTTGGTTCGGGCCCGCATAAGTGCATCGGCATCGAGTACGCCATCATGAACATCGAGGTCTGCTTGGCGCTCGCGAGCACGGCGATGGACTGGGAGCACATCAGGACAGATAAGAGCGAGGAGGTCAAGATCATCGCCACGCTTTTCCCTCAGGACGACTGCATCATGCGCTTCACGCCCCGCGCATGAGCGACGACTACGCATACTCACGCATCGCATATTACATATTTGTTTGTTATCCACTCGCATTATTCTTCGTCTTCCCCTTGTCCTCATCTTTCTTCACTGGCATGCGGCGGGGGCTACTCAAAAGACCGTGCTATACTCTAGACTATATACCCGCGTAGTAATGAATGGGCGGCGAGCGCGAGCGGTGGCTCGGTCGTCGTGCAGCTGCGGGCCCGAGACGTGTAGCATATACTTTTAGAGTCTCCCGGTGTCGCGTAGTATATGGAACCAAAAATGAAAAGCTGCGGCTGATATAACCTCTTGTCTTGCGTGAACTGCCTGCCGTATGCGTTCGAGTCTGCTGGTGGCGAGCCTGAGCGCGTTTGTGGGTCCATGATGGCGTGGGCCACAACTACGCCATACCCCGCCTTCGACTTCGAGCGGAGCCCCGTCTTTCCCTCACCCGTGTACTGCCATGTCCCTCACTCGCCTACGTGCCATTGCATCGCACCTCACGCATGCGCCGCACTCGGCGCGCGCCGCCTCGATGACTATTCACAATGATAATGCCGGATGTTGCTCGCAGCCCGCCGCATCTTCGACGTACACGCCGCGGGGGATTTATGTGCCATTCGCCGGTTTCAAGCGAGTGTATATCACTGGTCCTAAGGAGTCATCTATAGCCATCATCTCGATCTACGACATCTTTGGGTACGCAGTGCTGTGTCTAAGTTCAACTGCCTGAATTCATCGACGCGTTTGCATGCACGAAGGTTCAAACCTCAGACACAGCTTGGCGCAGACATGCTCGCAGACGCGCTTCACGCACGTGTAGTGATGCCGGACTTCTTCGAGCCATCCGAAGCTTGGGATGTCAGTAGACATCCACCACAGACCGACGAAGACAAGGCGGCTTTCCAGAAGTTCTTTGCCGGACCTGCGAAACCTGATGAGGCTGTCGTGAAGCTCGAGCGAGTCGTCAAGGCTTTGAAGGAGGAAGGAGTGAAGAAGGTTGGCGCGTATGGATTGTGCTGGGGTGAGCGATTTTACGTCGAGGCGGTGAGGAGACAAGTGTGCTGACTGTGAGGAAAGGTGGTAAAGTCGCCGTGCTTGCGGGTGCGAAGGAGGGCAGCGTGCTTGATGCTATCGCCACTGCACATCCTGCGTGAGCCGATCTTTCTAGTCATGTCGTGAAGTAACGCCTATATAAAGCAGGATGCTCAAGGCGGACGACACGCTCTCGCTTGACATACCGTTCGCTATATATGTCTCCAAGGACGAACCGCAAGAAGAAGTGAGTCCATCTGTCATGATGATCGCCCCCTACTATCCCTGATGAGAGGTGTAGTACAATCGCATAGTCAAGATCCTGCAGTCAAAGCCATTCGCCGACAAGGTCGATTACGATTATTACCCCACAATGTTTGTGGCACTTCCGACTGCGCGCCCGCGGCTACAGCTCACTTCCCCATCAACAGGTTCCACGGATGGGCCGGCGCAAGAGCCAATCTGGATGACCCAGAGAACAAGAGATTGTACGTCCCGCATCTTTTGTGAGCACGATGAGTGAGAGGATTGACGGGGTGCTGTTGTAGATTCGACGAGGTCTACCGACGCATGGGCTCGTATTTCGGGAAGATCTTGAAAGCCTGACCCATTCATACTTCGAGGCGAGGCAGGGTAGCATATACGAGGGCACAGGCTCCACTGTCTATATGAATAGGGGTTCGCACTAGTTTGCTTTGCTCGCACCCGATGTGTCCATGCACGTACTCGTTGTGGGCAGGACGGAACGGGGATTTTCCGGCTTTGGAGCGTCGAGCTGCGCGTCGGGTCGCGCAGCAGTACAGAGCAGTACAGGTCTAAGAGCAATTGAAGAAGTCCTAAGGCCTATAGCGTTATTTGCTCAAGGCGCCTGTCAGAGATAGAGCTTAAGGAAGTGGTTCATCTCTGAGATTGGGATTTGAGTTGGCCGGCGGGAGCGGACTCAGCGGAGAGGCACCGAGTGCACGCCGAGATTTGATCCGTGCCGGCCAGGACCGAGACCACTGCCCACGCCACCACAATGGCTACCAAGCGCCCTTGTTCTCCAACGCCCGAGACGACGAGCAGAGCGTATCGATATCCTAACACAAATATTATCTATACGTTAATGCCTTATCTGACTGACGAGGGTGGCCGGGATGTGCTGCGGTTTCGGTACGCAGCAGGGAATGTTTGCCGCCCAGAACGGGGTAAACAAGCAGACGACTGCCTCGTGTATGGGGACCGGTCGCTATAGAAAGCCTTGAAGTTCTTTTCTTTCGGACCTGCTCTTTCGCAGGCGCACTTGGCTCCTGCATCCATCACATCCCGCTCACACTCTCTGGCTGCGCCAGGGAAACGATCCACTGCCACTCATAGACATCTTCACGCCTTCTTTCTCTCGACTTTCTCGTTTTTTCTCCGTCGGCCGCCCAGCCCACATCCACCAGTACCCCTATTCCACATCGTACCATGCGTCTCGCAGCAGCATCAGCCGCACTCCTCGCATCCGCCTCAGCCGTCGACGCTGGCTTCAGCAGCGGCGGCCCGGCCACACCGCACGTGGGCCTTGTCTCGCGCCTGCACCAGAACGCACTCCATCACAGCGCGAGCCTCGCCAAGGATATTCGCATAGCATTCCGCGGTCTGCTGTCAGATCCTCCCCGCAAGGACAAGAAGACCAAGCTCGGGAAACGCGCGACGCAGAAACCGTTCTGTGTCTCGCGCACCGGAAACGGAACCTCGAGTGGCTCTGATTCCGGCTCGAGCGCTCAACCCAGTACATCTGGTGTACGACCTCCGGCTGCATCGTCCACACCTGTTGCTTCAGGCTCGTCTCAGAGCGCAAGTGGGTCTTCAACGAAGACTGCTAGCAGCAGTGCTTCTTCCGCTACGCCGACTTCCGCGTACAACCTCGAGCAGAGCTATGTGCGTGCTTTGACCACCTGCGTTCTTCTTCCACGAGCTGACGCGTCCACCTTCCTAGACCGGTAGTGACTTCTGGACCAAATGGGACTTCTTTACCAACGCGGATCCTACTGGCGGCACAGTCACCTATGTCGACGCCAGTACAGCTGTACGTCCGATACTCCACACCTGTCTATCTGTCGCTGAACTAAGCTTTTCTGACAGCAATCATCCGGCCTCGCATATGTTACATCCAACAATAGCGCGGTCATGGCCGTCGATACCACCGCCGTTGTCACTGGTGGTCGCAAGAGTGTCCGTATCCAGAGCCAATACTCCTTTAACGAGGGTCTTGTCATCTTGGACGCGACACACATGCCCACCGGGTGCGGAACATGGCCGTACGTGTCCCCCTGCTATCTTTGGTGTTATACCTTCTCACGCGGAGCTCCGTTGCCAGTGCGTTTTGGACCAATGGTCCGAATTGGCCATACACGGGCGAGATTGACATCCTTGAGGGTACGTTCCATCCCTTCCATTCCTTGGCTTAACTCCGAGATGAACTGAGAAGCTCATTACTATCTATAGGGGTCAACGACTACACGGAGAATCAGGCGACGATCCATACCACGACCGGTTGCACCATGAACAGCACGTCTGGCTCGACGGGAACGCTCGTCAGCGTTACGAACTGCGATGCGACGGCAACGGACAACCAGGGCTGTGGTCTTCGCGATTCGCGCACGAATAGTTACGGCGCTGGGTTCAACAGCGTCGGAGGAGGGGTCTACTCCAGTACGTCTTGCTTCTTCCCATCACCGCACGCTGGGCCACAGCCTCGCACGTGGCTGCTATCCACAACACGCCCTCATCCATCTCCTCGCCTGTATCGTGCGGCTTGCTGACGTACAATCACCATCACAGTGCTTTGGGACGATTCCGGGGTATCCGTCTGGTTTTTCCAGCGCTCGAAGATCCCCTCCGATATCTCCTCTTCGGCCCCGAACCCTGACAACTGGGGCACACCCATGGCGTTCTGGTCTGGCGAGTCCTGCAACCCCTCAACGTTCTTCAAGGACCACTCGGCTATTTTCGATACTACACTCTGTGGCGATTGGGCCAGCGGTGTCTGGAGCACTGGGAATACGGCGGGTCAGGGCGATAGCTGCGCGACGAGCACGGGCGTCGCGACATGTTCGGACTACGTGCTGAACAACGGAGCGGCGTTCGCCGAGGCTTGTGAGTGTTCTTTACTGCTCTGAGTTGAGGTGTAATACTGACGCAAGCTTAGTCTGGGAGGTCAACTACGTGAAGATCTTCCAGCACAAGTAAAGCCCCGGCGCTCGCCTCTCAAGCTGATCGACGACTCCTGGAACGCGCATCACATGGATTTCGGATTGGACACTCTACGGGCATCAACATAGACATCACGCACGCAATACACGCAACGCAACACGCACCATCGACCACCATGTATCATATAAGTATGACGAACACCCCCATCATCCATCGGCCTTCGTGGCCACGACGACGTATATGTATCCATGACCTGCATTGCTTGCTGCGTGTACACTTTCTCTATCTACTCTATTTGGGCGGCTGTACGATTTTTTTCATCTCACGTGTTAGATTAGTGGGGGTTAGCCCTGAGTTTGACGGTGTTTTATATCGATTTTACTGGATGTATTTTGGCTGGCCCCTCGTTATCTAGGAATAAACAGGTGTATTTTTGTGGAGATGGGTTGAGCAAGTGACTGACCAGACGGACACAATGAGCAAGAAGGGTCTTATTGAAGAAAGGTCCGTCAATAGATTGCAAGAAGAGGAGGGAGCTATATATCATCCGAGCTTATTTAGTAGGCAGCATCGCGTACAGCGCCTGCTTATCGGAACTCTCATCCACCAGCTTTTTGAACAGTCCATCCTTGCCCAGTAAAGCGCGGGGCGAATCAAACTCAACAACCCTCCCCGCATCAAGCACCATGATCTTGTCCGCATCCATGATCGTCTGCAGCCGGTGCGCGACGATGAGAAGGGTGACATCGCTTCCTAGCTCCTTGCGCAGCGAGGACTGAATGATCGAGTCCGTCTTGTAGTCGATCGACGATGTAGCTTCGTCTAGGATGAGGAGCTTGCTGCCCCGAACTAGAGCACGGGCGAGAGCGAGGATCTGACGCTGGCCGACGGAGAGGTTGCCTCCGCTTGCGGCGATGGGCGTGTCAAGCGTGATCTTGCCTTCATCATTATCGCCTTGAAGAGCGGTGAGCCCGGCAGAACGAAGGGCTGCGTTGAGCGTTGCGTCGTCATGTTCGCCGAAAGGATCGAGGTTCTCGCGGAGGGTGCCACTGAGCATCTCAGGCTGAGGATGCAGTCAGCACCGGAATACTCACACGCAGAACGGATGCAACACTTACAACTTGCGGGATGATCGTGATGTTGCTGCGGAGAGCATCGAGATTTACAGCACTCGTATCAACGCCGTCGTAGATCACTTGACCCTCCGTTGGGATAGCCCGGAGAAGCGAGAGCGTCAACGAGCTCTTCCCACTGCCCGTTCTCCCCACGATGCCGACTCGCTCGCCAGACTTGACTTCGAAGGACACGTCCTTGAGAACGAGTGGGCCGTCCGTCGAGTAACGGGCGTTGAGTCCCTCGACGTGCAGGCTGCCGCTCGTAGGCCAGGCCGCGGACGGCACTTTGTCCGAAATGGGCTTAGGCTCTTGTTCGATGACCGTGAAGGCCCGGATACGCTCGAGGCTGTTGCCGCTGACCTCAAACGCGTTGACGAAGCGTACCAGCCAGATGATCAGACCGCTGAAGCCGACTATATAGGTTGGAGATCAGCTGCAGCGCATGAGGGACAAAATGGGGATACTGACCGGCCATATTGAGCGAGAAGCCAATGTCGGAGGGAAGGAACTTCTCGTGGCCGGGCCCATAGACCATGTACGCGGCGAGCACAGCCGTGAAAAGACCAGCGAGCCCATCTATGCGTATGCCAACCCAGCTGCAAATCCATCAGACCGAGTCATCAGTCGCATTTATGTAGATACCCACCGATTCAGATCATAGAAGGTGCGTGCCGCTCTCGTGTACTCGTCAATGCGTCGATAAGATTCAGCCTCGAACGCCTCTTGCGCGCCGTAGGCACGAATGGACACTGCGTAAGTGTTAGGTTCAGCATATCTCGCAAAACGTCAAGTGCGTACCGAGGCCGGCGACGGCGGCGCCGAAATGTCCAAGAACAGGCGCCTTCTTGTTGCTCATCTCGCGCTTGACGGACAATTGCGCGGACATGTACACGTTACCCGTGTACGCTCCTGCCGCGAAGAAGATCGCTCCAGGGATGAGGAAGATGGGCGTGTATATCACGATAGAGGTGAGCTTGACGATCATCGTCACAATGATCTCGACGACGAAACGGAATTGGAAGGCGACAGGCCCGTCAATGGCGCGTATGTCTTGAGTGCACCGAGCGATGATCCTTGACATGGGCGTACTATCTAGGAAGCTGGATAACCGTGATTAGCTTACACTCATGGCGAGACCCAAACACCTCTCACCGGAGAGTCGTCCCAAGGATGGCATCCATGAGGGCCTTGTGTAACTTCCTCGCAGCGCGAACTATACCGGATACGTATCCCAAGGCTGCGGCTGTATATGCCACCATATAGCCAACAAGAAAGACGACAAAGACGCCGAGGTAGCTGTTCCGAGGTACATTAGCCGAAGGTGAGCTAGTCGACGGGTACAACACGTACTAAGCAACATTAACCTGATCGAAGGGCCGAAGTTCGTACTGCTCGCTCCAGTATCCGAGCCAATATGTCTGCAGGACACGAAAGACGTCACTGGTGAGCAAGCCCCCCACGAATATGAGCCAAAAGAAAGTGCCGTGTTTCCCGCCGAGTGCGCTCAGATACATGTTCACTGTGAGATCGTCAGGACGCGCTCGACAGAGATTATGTCAGACGCACGGGACGACCAGGAGACGTGACCTTCGGCCACTTCTTCAGCCACAATGAGCTTCCCGCCAGACTTAGGCTTCGCGGGAGCAGCCGGTGTCCCCATATCAACCACAGCCTCATCCTTCTCGATGATTTGCGCCTCCTCTTCGGCGTCATGCGCTAGTGTTTCATCCTTCGCAAGCGCCTCGGATACGGACCCTTGGCTGATGACCTGACCATCCGGGCTCAGAGATACGACGAAACCAGCAATCGAACGGGTCAATGCGATGTTGTGTGTGACGAGTATGACGGTACGCCCACGAACGAGATCGCCCTTGAGGCACTTGTCAACGATCCACCGAGCGGTGTGCACGTCGAGAGCCGCCAGTACGTCGTCCAAAAGTAAGATATCAGCCGATGAATAGACCGCGCGAGCAAGAGTGACGCGTGCTTTCTGGCCGCCGCTGAGAGTAAGACCCTTCTCGCCAACCTCGGTCGAGTCGCCGGCCTCGAAGAGCTCGAGGTCGGGGAGAAGACCACACTGATACAGGACTGCGATAGTTGAGCATCTCGGTAATTAGGGAAGTCGTAAAGAAGTACCTTTATTATACCGCTCTTCGTCATACGAAGCGCCAAACAAAATGTTGTCCTGATGGGTATGAGCGTGCGCGGGAGCGTATCCTCTAAGCTTCGCACCTTGATAGTCTCGTTAAGAACCCACGACTCTTGTGCGGCATATGCGACACCACCGTCGCGAGGGAGGTTGACCCACGAGCCTGGAGTCGCCGACGGCGAGTGGTGCATCTCCCCAAGGAGAGCCATAAGTAAGCTTGTCTTGCCGCTCCCGGTGGGTCCGACGACCAAGTTGACTGCACCGCGCGCGAATGCAAGCTCGCCGTCGATGCGGAGAGAGAAGTTGCGACTCGACGGAGTGCTGGAGCCTTCGTTGTCGTCCGCTCGAGACCAGGTGAAGCGACAGTCCTTGAAACCGATCGCACCTTGAGGGACGTCGATCCCTTCAGTGGCACCGTCACCACGCGATGTCGTGTAGGCGTCAAGTAGCTCGGTGTGCTGAAGGAACTCGGTCATACGATCAAGAGAGACTTTGGCTGGATAGAGTTTGTCAGGTATGCATTTGAGAGCACATACCGTCACACTCACCATCAATGACGGTCGGTAGAAGACTAGCCGCCAGCCTCATCTGGTTGCGCAAGAGATCAAAGACGGCCATCGAGGAGAACACGATAGCCGCTGGTTTGGGTCAGTGCCAGAGCATGATACAACTGTTGGATTGCTCACGAGTCAACTCGCGTTTCATCACGATGGCGAAGACTGCATATGTGGCCGCCAGTTGTACTATAGTCACGGAGTATCTGCGAGCAGTTAGCCTCAGCTACCTTTCGCGGCTTCTTAGTGAGACATACGAGGTGACTTCGCTGGAAAGATTCAGAAGCTGAACAGGTAGGATCCAAGAAAGCTCCTCGTCGCGCTTCTTTGCAAGCCGGTCGCTCATTCTCTCCTCCCAGGCAAAAAGTTTGATCATACGCAAGACACCAAGTGCTACGCGGAAGAGTTAGATGCGTGCGCGTAATCAGAGATTCAGCCGCCGTACTTTCGGTAGCCGCTTGAACACGAGCATCCGTTGTCTTCATCGAGCGTTTGCGGTAGTCCTGCATCTTCTTCGCGATATATCCAGGGGCGGGCCAACAGAGAAGCATCACAACCATTCCGACGAAAGCACTAGAAGTATTCTCAATGAATGCATCTCAAAGAGAAGCGAAGTCACCGACCTCCACCCGAGCAGGGTATAGAGATAAAAGATGCAAAGAGCACACTGTGCCGGACAGAAATAAACTGCGACACCGTGAGCTGCTGAAGTGTGTGCGTGGAATAACACTTACTGAGCTGCAGAAACTCGCGACCTTCAGTGACGCTGTTCATATCAGTAGTCACCAGATTGTTCAAGCGGCCTGTCAAGTTGGCCGACTTGTTCGCCACCGGCTGCTTGCCCGTTCCAGCGCCGATCGGCGTCGCGGTCTCGCTCTTGTTGCGAATCCGTAACGCATGTCGGAACAAAAGCTGAGTGAGGATGGCTTGTGCGCGTGTTAACGCTGTTGTCTGTGTACGATTGAGAGATGCGCATATAAGACAGCTCGAAAGGCCTACAGAGACCACGATCTGCCATTGTTGAGAGAAGACCGAGATGCACGGGCCCAGGAATATGCAGATAACCCAGAACCACGGCCGGAGGCGAGGCGAGCTATGCTCCTCATCTTCAAGGGATCTGAGCTTTGTCAGATTGATGACGAAACGAATGTGCAGTAGATATCTACCGCAAGAGTCCGTTCAACGCAAACGGTGCCAATAACATGGCCAGCATGCGGATAGTAAGCATGACGCCCATGATCATATAATCCCTGACTGAGAGGGAGTCGTCAGACCGATACAAATCATGAAGTCAAAAGATATTGACGTACGGAAAATCCTGAGTAACCCAAAGAACAAGTGTCGCTGTGGCGCGCCGGCGAACGAATCCAGATGCTGGAGGAAACGCGTTGGAAGGCAATATAACGCGGATTTTCGCAATAGCGTACCTTGAGAGCAGAGGACACGAGCACTTGCGCATGATCATAGTCGGCGAGAGGGGGTAAACGGTCGAATGGCAGGTGGGGAACGCGGTACGCGAGCGAGACGGTGGGTTGAAGGTACGTGAACGTCGCAGATGAGAAGATAGACGCCGTCTGCTCGGGATGCGGCTCCGTCGGATTCTGCGCGAAACGGGTGAGAATGCGCTTCTTTCGGTGAAGTTTGGGGTAAAAGCACCTTCGGATCTTTCGGCACGTATGACCGAGGTTCAATTAATGGCAGCACAACGCCCACGGCAGCAAGTAATGCAATTTTTGCCCATAATATTCTACCCTCTACACCGTCAAACGGCTTTCCATTGAATTCCACCAGCGGCCAGAGATCGCGAATGGCGTAGACGACGAAGCAGACAAAGGTGATGAGCGTGAGGTGGGAACTGGCTGCGCGTGCCCAGGAGTTTGACGTGATGACGACGAAAATGGCAAGGAACGTGGTGTATGCCTGTAGTTTTTGTCCGTGAGTTTTCCTTTTCAGTGCACAGCAGGTAGGAGAACGAACATATGTTGCATGTTGTATCGTTTTGACCCACTTGGGCTCATCAGCGCCAGCAGGGTGGACCACCGTGAGGACCAACAGAGCGGCGACAAGCACCGCTCGCGCCACCCGAATGGTGAAGATCTTGTTGCCTCCATGGCTGTCAATGTGTTTTGCAATATTGCTACGCTTGTTTTGTTCCGAATCATTATTACTACTACGTGTGTGCTCTATAATATCTTTCACGTTTGACTTATATACGACGGGGAGAACGAGACGAAAGGCAAGAAGGGCAATCGAGATGACTGCCATGTACAACGGGAGGATTTGAGGGTCGCGCCATGGACTACGAGGGGCAGGTCAGATTATACATAGCATCTGCTTTCTGACTCCGCTTACGACGTATTGACCTCCATCATGCCTTTGAGCATAGCGGGGAGGATGATGGACAAAGCGGCGTATGTTCGCGCGGGCAGGGGATGGGGGAAAGAAACCGAGTCTTGACAGGGACAGAATCCGCTGATGCGAGGTTTAAGTACGCTTGATAGCGAGTCATGCGGTCGCCAGGGCCAACTGATACCGGGATGACACGGTTGACAGGAAGCCGAGATAACGAGGGTGCCAGGTCAGGAGAAGTTGAGAGTGGCGGATGAGAGCGTCGCAGTGTTGGGTGTTGGCCTACGTCTGAGTTCTACTGACGTCTACTTGCGGCTGACAGATAAGGAGAGGGTATGCGGGTATTGTACTGTGAGTACCGAATTAGACGAGTGGATGTTCGGAGCAAAAGCGGCCTTATGCCGCTGCGGGCGTGAGCCAATGGGGGAACGACATGTCGGCGCACTCCAGACCGAGGCTTTGGCTTGCCTCTTACCACAACTCTGCCAGTGCTCTTGCGACTCCGCATCATGTACTTATCGTCCCCCTGAACATTGCTCACGGCTACATGCTGAATGAACCATCTCGAAGCTATGGTGGCTATCCTCTGATTATGTGAACTGCAGTGAATTGCTATTCCGTGACTTGCCGGTGTACTCAAGCGGGCTCAAAGTTAGCCCTTCTCGACCTCGCCGCATATGCCTCAGAGCTGTCGCCCAAGACGCATCTTCATCATGATCACTCAGTTGCGTTCTTCGACTTTTGCCAGCTATGCAATAAGACGGATCAGCTTTGTCAAAGCCCGGCTCTCTCCGAACCTGCCAGCGCCATCTCACCACCAAGTCATCCCATCGCGTATATATTCATTATCAAAACCCTCTTCCTCAGATCTCGCAATAATCGATGAGAGCACGTATGCACTACGTGAGCTCCGGTGTTCAAGCCGGTTATCGTAAATGCACCACGCTGTATCGTTTGATGCCCGGTTCTCCGCCGTCTGCGCTGGGTAGAAAGCCGGTCGAGGACAAAGGAAGAGAGGTTCGTATCAGGTCGTGTCAATCGAGAGAAGAGCTTGTTTTACGGAAGTCTGATATGCCAAGCATACAGCCGACGTTGTCTTTCGTACCGATGCTTCATATTTCTCCGTGCGTGCAGTGTGGCGATCGCGCACAGGCCGAGAGAATATACGCGCGCTTTGGTCGCGTTCGCAAGTCCGTCCTGCTCAGGCTCGCTGGACTTGCTCCTCCGAGCCCAAATGTAACGACGTCACCTATGCCCTGCGCCGATCATACTCGATCGAGCGCTCGACCCGATCGTATCGTGGCCACACCCACCACCAGTCGCATTCAACGTCCGACGGTGTCGACGTAGTGCCACAAGGAATGAACGAGTGAACTCTACACTCGCACCGCCGACGACTGACGCACAACGCCCTTTCTTCATCTGCGTGTCTTGGGCTTCATACTGCACGCTTCGCCTCTAGGCCTCTTCATAGAGCCGTACCACGATGGATGACGCAGTGTGAGCGGGAGAAGTAGCACTCGGACAACACCAGGAACATTGAACCTTGATACACTCGTGCAAGTCTGCCTTCCGCCTCCCTCTCAATCCCAGCGCCCCGCACGCGCAGGCTCGAGCTTGATAAGCGGCTTCACAAGCATCAATGAGTATGTGGAGTGGGCGCATGACGTCGCGGACAATGTCCAGCGCGTATATGCGCTCGATGTCTATCAAAGACAAGATACATCGACCCGAACGTCCCCCGTTCATCTCTTTGTCTTGCTCCTGCTACGACCGCGGTGATCCTTTCCGTCTCCTTTCCGTACTTGTGCAGCATGCTCGTCGCCACTACGCCCTCCCCGCATGCAACGCCTACACGACAGCACTGATACCCAACCACGCCTCCGCCGCCACCCACCGCCTCCCCAGCCCATTCCAAGCAACCCACCTTCCAAACCCCACACAACTGTAACCTTCCCAACACCATCGCAACTCAAACGCTGCGCGCATACACCCCTCCAAGATCGCCTTCCTCCGTCCATTCAGTTCGGCTTTTCGGCCTGGCGCTCTGGATCTTGGACGAGAGCCTTGACCAGCAACAGAAGCTTCTATCTTTCTCACCGCGCAGATTCCTCGCTACACCGTTCACACTCGGGCTGAACTGGGCGCAATACAGTAGGCCGTTCGAACATTCGGCAACGGGCGCGCCCGCGTTGCCCGTGTGTGCCCACAACGATAGATCCGGCCCGTTCGTGTCAATGATACGACGAAACTCTGCCAGGATCGGCTCGTGATCACGACCGACTCATATCGCACGTTGGGGTAAAGTACGGTGGATCTCTCCAACGTGTCTGTGTACCATCGCAGTATCTCAAAAGTACAGCTTCCCCAACTCCGGATGGGATCCCTTACTGCGCGCACTCGTACGTTTCAAGCTTTCCGATAGACGAGCTCCCCTCAACCCGCGCCGGAGTCGGGCTATGCAGATCCCGATCTGACCGGCGCGTCTACAGCAGCACTGACAGGACCAGGAGAGAGGGATTTTATGTTACAGGTATACATTGCAAGTCACTTCGCGCCTCAGAAAAACGATAGCTAGCTGGCAATAACTGATAGTAGGTAGCGAGAGTGAAACACCGTAGACGGTTCAATTGGAGAGGGGATGGGGAGAGGGAGAGGGATAGAGGTGGTTCTTGAACTAATGCGACTAGAGGGAACACAAGAAGAGACGAGGGAGCCCACCGAGAAGAGATACCGAGAAGAGTAGTTATCAATACAGAATAAGAGAGGCCGTGCGAGCAGAACGAGGTAGAGAGGGATGAACAAGACGACAGATCTAGAGAGCAGCAATGCGAGGTGAAAGACGAGTGAGACGACTACGAGGAGATCCTATGCCGTCTTCGACTGCATCTTCGACCTTAGCCGTTCAAGAATCATATTCACGCCATTCTGGTCCAGCACGATCTTCGTGCCGTCGCACCGCGCCTTATCCGTAAACTCAGCGCACAACTCATTGATATCGATATTCTGCACCGGCCATCCCCAATTAGCATCGCGTCCCTCACAAGAGTCAATCAGAAATAGAACTCACGGATGCCTTGAACGAAGGATCGGTCGTGATCTTCCTCCACGCCGCGAGCACCTCCACATTATCGTCCCGCTTCTCCGTCGGCGGGAAGCTCGCGCCCTTGCACATGATCATGCTCGACCCGTCGCTCTGGAATCCCTTGGCCACATTCGACGCCGGACTCGCCGCCGCGCTGTCCTTGTTCGTACTGGTCGTGGGACTCGGCGCCGGCGCGAAGGGACTAGGTCCCGCACGGTTCACGACCTGCTGGAACTCGTCGCGCGTCCGTGGGCACTGCCCGCTATCCGTCCCGCAACCGTTGGAAGCGGGACTCGGCTGATTCGATGCCGACGCAGCCGGACTGCGCTGTGCGTGCAAGACAGGGCTGAGCGTCGTGCTTCCCGGGCCAGCCATAAGCGATGTAAAGGACTCCGGCGACATCGGGCTCTGGGCGCCGAACATATGGCCACCGAAGAGTTCGTCGAACGAGTTTTGCCGCCTGGCGTTGTCGTCGCGGCGAGCACCACCGTTGTTGGACCCGTTGACGCTAGAACCGGGCGATGCACCCCAGGCGCCTAGATCTAACACTGCGGGTTTGGAGCCATTGGAGCTGGGCGAGCCGCCGAAGTCTGATGGCGGACTTGGGTCGGCGAAAGACATGAACATCGGGTTGCTCGCGATTGTCTTGTAAGGCGTCGCGGACGGAAGGGAGCCGGAACCAGCAGAATGTGTTCCGTAGCCGAAATCGTATGTCATGTTGGTATCGCCCGACTCGTCGAGCAGAGACAATTGGGTCTGGTCGAAACTCGTGAGAGAGCCGAAATCAATATCGGCCGGGAAGGACGAGCTGGGGGTGTCGAGGGACGACGAATTTGGTGTTGTGCCCGAGGCGGCTGAGGGCGGGGTAGCGCCCGTGCTCGGGCCGGGAACGCCGAATGCCGAGCCTGGGGCGCTGCCGAAGGAGGCGGTGGCGACGTTGTTGAAGGGCTGGGCGTCCTGGGTGTTGGGCTTGGGGACGGAGAAGGTGAACTGAGCCTGCTTGAGCATCACGTTCTCGTCCTGCAGCCGCTTGAGCAGTTCCCGGAGCTGCGTGTTCTCCGTCTGGCTCTGCTCGTTCTTCTGCTCTAGTTGGGCCACCTTGTCCTCGAGCTTGATCGCAGATTAGACCACTTGTCAAGTACTTGTACCAGATAAGTGTACTTACGTCCTTTACATGCTTCTCCTTGCGCTCGCGGAAGGCGCGCTGGGCGGCCCTGTTCTGCTCCTTGCGTTTCTGCAGGCGGGTCTCGTCCTGTGAAGACGGAATGGGGAAACGGCATGGTCAGACGCCTGATCACGATGGCGAGGGCGCAATACGGCAACGCACCTGTCCGCTCTTACGCCTTGTCGTCCCTTTCTTGGCTGCAAAAAGACAAAAGATATGTTCGAAAGATGTTCACAGAAGGATGTGGGTTGTGCTGACTAACCATTCTTATGGCTCGGCTCGTCGTCGTCATCGTCGTCGTCGTCCACGGGCGCCTTGCGTTTATTGCGCTCGGTGTCTGCGTTATCGAAGGACTGTGATTGGCGGCGGCTGGCGGAGGAGTGCTCGTTGGCGGAGCTGGGGGACGGGGACGAGTCGGCGCTGAGCGGGGGAGGCGGGCCGGGCTGGGGCAGTGCCGAGATCTTGGAGGGGTCCACGGCGTCGACGACGGGGGGCACGGGGTTGAAGGCATCGGGGTTGAACTGGCGCTGGAGGAGGTCGAGGAACTGGTCGTCGCCGAGCTGACCCAGGGCAGAGTAGTCAGCCTGGCCGGCGCTGCCAAAGTCCCACAGGGGCTGGCTGGCTGGATCGTAGGCGTTCATGGAAAAAGATGAAATAATAAGATGGGGATGGAAAGGTCGCAGTAGGTCGGCCGGGTCGGGGGTGTGTATATTAGCGCGCCTGCTTTACTTTGCGACGCCCTCTTGACGTCGTCGTCGCGGTCCAAAAGCTACACTCTGATCTCAAGACACGCCATGCGAACCCGCAATCATCCCACGCTCCCTTCCGCCGCACAGGCCTCTCCGGACCTCCGTACCGTATTCCCCGGCGTCTATCACAACAGCCTACGGCAACCTTCTCGAAACATGACACACAGATCGGCCAAGGCTTGTGCCCTCGGCCACCAACTTTTCTCTTTGCGATATCTACAATACGACTCCTGTCCATACTGTCCATACTATCCGAACAGTCTCGCCCCTCTCCATTCCAGTGCCCACCGAGACAGTGGAAGCGAATCTCGACCTGGAACCAAATATACATCATTAATTGTCCGCCGTTGCCGGCGCTCGCCATTGCGGCTCGTCCCTGTCTCCTGAGCGTGCGACGGGCCACCGTCCACAAAGAACCCGTCAATGAATGCGAACACGAACGCCCCGCTCGCACGACGCATAGCGCACGCACACCCCCATCTCAACCTTGCTCAAATCCGGACATCCGGTTCTCGGGACGGTGCCGCGATAGCCAAGCACACGCAGCGAGCACACTGCACATCCTCCCCAAACGAGGCTCAATCTCAACACAAACGCCAAGGTACTGCGATCTGCCCCTCCGCGGCGCAGGATGCGAATCGACCAGAGCTGTTGTTGTCCTGTCCTGCGAGCCTGGACAAACGCACCTGGAGCGGCACGTCTCCTCGAGGTAGATAGAAGCCTGTAGTAGGAGGCTACATACCGCGGCGCCGCGGCGCCCGAACAACACAACACACGCAGGCTCCGGACAGAGTTTCAAACAAGCGCCTCCAGAAGCGCGGTTACGTCTGGGGTGGTGGCATCGGATTATACTGTACAGCGTACGAGTAAGAAGATAAACATGCAAACGCGAAACCATACGACGGCAATCCAACAACGGGGTCGAAGGTAAAGGGGGAGCGCCGGCGTCCAGACTGGCTTTAGACACCGGCGGCGATGCGGCGAGTTCCATTTACAGATAGACGAAGGCAGATCCGTAGAGGCAGATGCAGATGCGGGACAGCAGCGAACAAAGGGCTGGGTTGCTGCGCGTCATAATTCCCTCAACCGCGAAGATCGGCCCGATCCACGCGCGCCTAACGAACACGTCGTCGTCGGCATATGTACTTATGTACGACGACTGACGCCCGCGGCTGTACTAGTAGTACTCGATCTCGAGCTGTCATCGTCATGAGAAACACAACCATACGTAGATCTGGCCTAGACACGACGTACGAAGAGAAATCCGACCTCGCGCGGCCAACGGATGTACAGGCCGGCGGGCGCGTACACGCGTGTGTTGAAATCGTCGATTGTGCGTTGCAGCCGTTTCATTTCCTACACACAAAGAACACGGATATCAGTTCACAGCTTTACGGTACAGGATTAACATCAACGGAAAGATCTCCGCCCCGTTGCTGTTGTTCTGTTATTGTGGGCGCAGGCACAGGAATGGCCGAGGGTTCTTGTCCCAGCCCGAGGCACTGAGACCGATGCCCGAGGCGGCTTCGGCTACGATTGTGGCCGGATCGCCCGGTAGGGCTAGGACGTACGAAAGCGCGAAAGAGGAACAAGCGTTTTTGGGATGGATCTGGGAAGAGGTACGACATGACCTCGTCCCTATGCGAGCGAAAGAAGGAGAAGAAGGGCCTGCAGGCGGGAAAGAACCAAGGTACGGGCGGCGAGTTCCAGACGGCCAGGGAATGACGAGAAGAGAAGGGAGGGACACGCACACGATCATAATGCGTCGACAGCACCAGCTTGCTCAGGTGTAAGCTGAAGATATCCAGGACGTTGTCGAGGAGACCATGTCGGAGGGAGTATGCGCTGAACAGCACTTCGTTCAGCGCGTTTATAGTCTCGAGGAACTGCGTGGGCGTGATCTGTAAGAGAGCATAGTCAGCCTAATGCGTCGAGGAGATACAGATGCGGTCAGCAGGCAATGCGATGGGGAGGTGGGAAGAGCGCAGGTCACACTGCCCGGTTCGCGTGTGCATGACCAAGAACATCATAGAGTTCTCTGCATCTGGACAGGTGAACATGCACACGAACACGAACGACGTACGCGCACGACGATCCAGCTCTCTGAGAGAAGCAAACACCGCACGCAGAACACATGCTCACGTCGCAAAGTCCGCGGGACGCATGGAAGACGAAAGCGGAAACAAGCTTACCCTGCCTTCGAACTCTAAGGGGTACGCCGGCGTAAACTGCACGACCTCGCCACCAGAGTAATCTCGCTCAATACGGACAACTTCGCGTGGGTGATGCACGCCCAGTTGACCTATAGGATCAGTGCCATATGCCGAATCTGGCGGCGGCGGTCCGAAGTAGTATGAAGAGCGAGGTGGTTCGAGTCGTTTGGATGCGCTATATGAATGAGCAATACGGATCAGCATTCCTACAGTCTCTATACATTTCAGTATGAGAACATACATATTGGGAAATCCATCGCGGCCCGCCCGCTTCATATCTTCGCTCGTCCCGGGCGTCTGTGCGCTCTCGTCGTCGCCATTGACGCCTTCCCACGGTAGTGGAGACGCTGGGTGCACATCTAACCTCAGAGGATGCACAGCGGCTTTCTCGTTAACACTGTCTGCAGTCTCGTCCTGCTCCTCCACCGGCGACGGAACGTAGTTGATGCCTAATAGCCGCGGTACGGGTGCGGTTGTATCTATCGCCGGTGCAGGCTCAGGTTGTGGGTAAGGCGGCTCGCGAGATGCAAGAGAAGGAGATGAAATGTCGAGTACGAGAGAGCGCGGCGAGCCAGAGGGTGATGTTCCTGCGGTGGGCAGCGCAGAGGTCGATGCTTGCGGTGCGGCAAAGACTACAGGAGAAGGTTGTCTCGTAGACACGGCCGGCGAAGGCGGAGGCAGAGTCTCTGCGGTAGACATTATTACGGTCGTAGTATAGGGTAGCGCGGGTAGATGAAATGCAAGGCGGGTATAGATGAGGAGCACGCGGCGGGAGGAGACAAGGTAAGCCTTGTGTTCGCGATTTCTAATCGTGGGAGCGCTTCTTGCCTTCATCTTGATTGAAGTCAAACCGGAGTGTTTAGTTCTTCGCCCCACCACCATGGCCGAGTATGCCGCTCCTGTTACCCTGTGGTATCTGCAAGGGCCGGATCGTACATTTACACTATGCTAGTCGTATTCACATATGTATTATCAACGTGACGTTCAAGCAAGTAGTATAATCCATCCTTTACAGCGCGCGCAAGCAGTATCGTAAACCAGCAGCGGAGTCGTACCTGAGTGAGTAACACTCCATTCAACGCTGAGCCATGGCATACAGCGCCTCCTTATCAGCACTCTCCTCCACCAACGCCTTGTACAGCCCCTCCCTCGCCAGCAACGCAGTCGGCGAATCAAACTCGACGATATTCCCCGCATCAAGCACCATGATCCTATCCGCATCCATAATGGTCTGCAACCGATGCGCGACGATGAGCACCGTGACATCCCCACCGAGCTCATGCCTCAACGACGACTGGATGACGGAGTCTGTCTTATAATCAATGGACGACGTCGCCTCGTCCAGAATGAGCAACTTGCTCCCGCGCACGAGCGCCCTCGCGAGCGCGAGGATCTGGCGTTGACCGATTGACAAGTTCCCTCCTCCGCTAGAGATCTGCGAGTCGAGTGTGATACGATTGTCTTCGTCGTTGTCCTTCTGGAGCGAGAAGAGTCCAGACGCGCGAAGGGCAGCGTTGAGCGTTGCATCGTCGTGTTCTCCGAAAAGGTCGAGGTTCTCGCGCAACGTGCCGCTCAGCAGCTCAGGCACTTGCGGAATGATAGTAATATTCGAGCGTAAGGTGTCGAGCTCGATCGTGGACGTGTCGACGCCGTCGTAGTATATCGCGCCTTCGGTGTACAGGCATCGAAGAAGACTGAGCGTGAGAGAGCTCTTGCCGCTGCCTGTGCGTCCGACGATACCGATGCGCTCGCCTGACTTGACCTCAAAGTTGAGTTCGTGCAGCACGCGCGGGCCGTCGGGCGAGTAGCGAGCTGATAAACCTTCGACGCGAAGGTTGCCGCTCGTGGGCCAGGCGGCTGGGAGAGCGCGGGGGACGGCGGGTTCGGGCTCTTGTTCAATGTTCACGTATGAGTGAATGCGCTCCAAGCTGTTTCCCAGTACTTCGACGCGGTTGAAGAGGCGAACCTGCGGAAGGGGAATCAATCATAGTACATGCTGATAGTACACTCTGACGCCTACCCAGAACAAGATCACGGCGCTGAAACCGATAGCCATCGATAGACCGAAACCGACGTCGAGTGGCATAGTGCCTCTGCCAGGACCGTAGATAAGCCACGCTCCAAGGCCAGCGGCGAAAAGACCTCCCAGAGCATCTGCAAAGTCCTCAGCAAACAACGATACCCAGTCGCAAACGCATGCACGAACCTAGGCGCGGCCCTATCCACCGATTGAGGTTTGCAAACGTCCGAGCGGCGCGGCTGGACTCGTCTATGCGACGGTATGACTCTGCGCGCATGGCGGCTTGAGCACCGTATGCTCGGATAGAGACTGCGATTTTCGGCATATCAGGGACGCAAATATGCCTGGATAGTCAAGGTGCGTACCCAGTCCATGTATCGCTCCGCCGAAATGCGCCAGGACGGGCGCGGCCTTGTTCGACGAGTGCCTTTTCACGGCTAGCTGCGATGTCATGTATAGATGGCCGAGACCGGCGCCGACGATGAAGACCAGCAGACCGGGAATGATGAAGATGGGTGTGACGAAGACGACCGCGCATAAACGTATGATGAGGATAGAAGTGAACTCGACCACGGCGTGGAACTCTTGCGCGAATGGACCGTCAACTGGTAATCCTGTCAGCTATTCTCTTCCCGGAGCAAGCGTGGCGTCCGCCACTTACTCGTTCGCATGTCCTGGGTGCAACGCGCGATGATCCTCGACGTCGGCGTGCTATCGAGGACGCGCATAGTCGTGCCGAGTACGGAGGTAACGAGCTGACGGTGTATCTGTTTCGAGGCGCGGAACATCCCGAAGATATACAGAACAGCGGCTGCACCGATCACGGCACAGAACGCGAGTACAAGTGCCGCGAACACGCCGAGGTACCTATGATAGTCGTCGGAGTCAACCCAATGCATTACATTCGAAGCGAGATGACCGCACCAGGCAATGTTGACATCACTTGCGTCCTGCTCCTCGTAGGCCTGAGCCCATATGCCAAGCCAGTAGGTGTGCACGCTGTGGATGAAATCACTGATGAGGTGGCCACCGAGGAATAAGGTCCAAAAAAGGAAGTTATGTCTGCCTCCAAGGGCGTTGAAGTAGAGCGAGACTGGGGAGAGTCAGCGAGACAGTCCACATCAATGGGCGTCTATGCGCACGGGTTGCCCACGACACGTGTCCCTCCAGCACTTCTTCCTCCACGACTAGCTTGCCTGCTGTAGTCTTGATACCGTCATCAATCGCGGCGTCTTCCACTTCAAGATCCTTGTTCGTAGATTGATCCGCGCGCTCCAGCTCTTCTGCTTGCCTCTTTGCTTCTTGTGCAAGTTCGGCGTCTTCAGCTAGTACTTCCGCAACTGAGCCGTGACTTGCGATCGTCCCGTCATTGCCGAGCGTTACCATGTAGCTCGCAGCTGAGCTGGCCAGGGGTACGTTGTGAGTCTATCAAGTCCTTCAGCATGAGTCGGATCGTTCAGAATGGTCGTGACATACGATAAGTATGACTGTCCGACCGCGTACAAGATCCCCTTTCAGGCACTTGTCGACGATCCAGCGAGCTGTGTGGGCGTCCAGAGCAGCAAGAACCTGCGGAGTCTCAGTACAGTATCACTGAGATCCACTTCATAGACGTACATCGTCGAGAAGGAGTATCTCTGCTGATGAGTAAATCGCACGAGCCAAAGTTATGCGAGCCTGCAAGGTAATATAGTTAGCGTACCGCTAGGATAGCCTCCCACAGGACTCGCCTTTTGACCACCACTCAAGGTCAATCCTTTCTCACCAACCTCCGTTAGATCGCCGCCAGCGAACAACGTGAGATCGCGCGCGAGAGCACACTGGTGGATGACCTTGCGATACCGCTGTGCGTCGTACGGTGCGCCAAAGAGGATGTTGTTGCGAATGGTGTCGCTCTGCACCCAAGACTCCTGCGCCGCGTAGGCCACACCACCGTCGCGAGGAAGGTTGACCCATGAGTCGGGCCCCATAGCCGAGAAGTGTAGCTCGCCCAGCAAAGCCATAAGAAGGCTGGTCTTGCCGGATCCCGTCGGTCCCACGATAAGATTGATGGCGTTCCGTTGAAAGACCAGCTCGTCTGAAACGCATAGAGTGAAGTTGCGTGAAGATGGCGTTCGGGATCCTTCGCTTGCGGCGTTCTTTGTCCATGTGAAGCTCGCGTTCTTGGTTCCGATGGTCTGTGGGTCGCTAGGGCGTGCAGATGGCACGACTTTTGTACCTTCGGCCAGTGCGGCAGCAAACATGTCGGTCAATTCGGTCTGATACACTTCAGTAGTCACTACGGGAAGTAGTGCGACATCGTGATTGGCTTACGGTGTGAAGGAAGGATCCAAGGCGCTCGAGAGACACGTTGGCTGTATCGCCGGAGGTCAGCAATGTACGCGGAGTACGTTACTGGGGGCAGACCTTGTATCATCTTGGGCACGAGAGCAAAGATGTAGTGTAACTCGTTCCGTATAAGTTCAAAGACGGGTATAGCGGAGAATACGATGGACGCTATAAAGGCACTCGTCATCTCACTGGCACTAGTGACGCGCAGGGCAAGGACGTACGCGTGAGCTGCTGCTTCATGATCACAGTGAATGTAAAGAAGATTGATATCATCTGCAATAGAGGGATCGTGTAGTTCACAAGATTGATCGTCAATTGAGCGATCTCCCTCAGGCGGACCCAATGAAGCTCCTCATCTCGCTTCACCGCAAGAATGTCGGCGACCTTGTGCTCCCAGCCGAAGAGCTTCACCATACGTATCACCTGTAGCGCTGAGGATAGCGTCAGCAACGGCGAGAGTGCAATGGAAGAGTACGGGCACCTTCTGTGACTTTCTGCACGCGAGCATCAGTCTTCTTCATGACCTCCTTCTGGATACCTGAAATGCGTTTGGCGGTATACCCCGGTAGGATGAAGGACAGAAGCATGACAACCAGACCAACGAATACACTGCAAGTACTCTCAGTCAACTTCGTTGGCAAGTTAAAGATGCCAGTCAGCGTACCTCCATCCAAGAATCTCGTATAGGAAGTAGATGGATGCGGCAATTAGCAGAGGCGAGTAAACGACTGGATTCGATTTCAGCTACTGAGCAGACGTCAACATCGCGTGCCACTCACTAAGCCATATCAGTTCACGTCCGTCAGCGACACTGTCCAGGTCGGAGGTCACGAGGTTGTTGATTTTCCCAAGAAGCTGGCTCTCTGCCTTTTTAGTCGCTGTTGGCCCATCCCCGTCAGCCTTCCCGGATGCCGTGTCGCCACTGAAGAGTCGTATACGGAGAGCATGTTCGAACACGAGCTGAGTGATGATGGCCCGGATACGGACAACATTACTGGTCGTCGTGAAGACGTACCACTGTCCCAGCAGTGACACAAAGAGCGGACCGAAGAACATCAAAGCTATCCAGATGTAGGGACGAACGACGGCCCCTTCCCCATTAGTCTCAATGTACCTGCCCATGTAATCAGACCGGATGACTTGTGGGTAGACACTAGATTGGCGTACTTCAGCAACCTATTGATCCCAACGGGTGCGAAGAGCGAGGCAGCGACGCGCACGACTTGAATGGCTACGAGCGATAGGTATTGCCACACTGCAAGACAGCTCAATATCACACGAGACACGACCTCACAACATGATCACGTACAGAATGTCTTTAAGATTCCTATGAACAGATGCCGACGAGGTGCTCCGGTGAAAGGGTCGAAGTGCTACAGTCCAGTCAGCCATTGTACCATAAGCCCGACGGTTGAGAGCATACCTTGAACGAGCGCTTCACCAGATAACTTGTCCTGTCATAGTCTGGTAGTGGCGGAAGCTGCTCGAACGACAAAGTTCGTAGGCGGTAGCCTAGCATGACCAGTCTATCAAGATAGCTGAAGGTACCGAAGGACAGTAGGGAGGCGGTCTGTTCCTCGTTCAACTCATCAGGCTTCTGCGGAATCTGTGTCTGTGTCAACATATTGCGCTTGATAAGCCAACGAGAAGGATGCGATCTTACCTCGCCTTCGACGGGGACGTATTGTCTAGGGATGCAGAGCGGGACAAGCACGCCTGCTATTCCTAGGAGGGCCACCTGTATCCAAAGCAGTGGGCCCTCATAGCCGTCGATAGGCTGGAGAGTGAATGTCACAAGGGGCCAAAGGTCGCGGACCGCGTACAGTGCGAACGCGAGAAGCAATACGGTGACGAGGTGCGCCGACGCTAAGCGTGCAACCGCGAAACCGGCGGCTATGTCGAGAAATGCCAGTACAGTAGCGTATGCCTAACGTTCTCCTTGAACAAGGCAGAGACTTGTAAGGAGCGAACTACGCACGTATGTCGCACATATCAGTACGTTGAGGACCGCTACGCTTCGACCACTGATACGCAATGCCATGATGCTCAAAAGCGCCACAACGGCAACTAGACGAGCGACTTTGTAGGCGAGACCGCTCCGCCCACCCGCCAGCAGAATGCGACTCTTCCCACTGCCGGACTCGTTACGAGACACGTCCTCGTCAGCATCGAGTGGCGAACCGGATGCCTTTCCATCGGCTTTACGTGCAGTGAAGATAAGCTGAACCAGGAATACTAGAGCTGAAAGGGCACTGAACAACGGCAGAACCATTAGCGCGGGCCCCCATATACTGTATGTTCGTGAAGTAGTGAGTCGATGATTGAACATGCAAGTAGAGCACAACGAACGAGTGATCAACGTGGGTGCTGGATTGCTCGCGCAGAGCTTCGCCCACGTATAGGGTGACCTGCTCCATCGCTGTACGAACCCCGTGAACTGGGACGGATAGGCGAGCCGGTGGACAGTGACCGTTAGAGAGAGAAGGCGTTTGGTCGTGAATGCAATTCAATAATAGAGCAACCATGAACTTCCCACGAAGCCCGTCAAGCCGAATCGGCCGATTTGGCCTCAGGCCAGCGCCAGGGCAGCCTTGGCGAGCGCGGAAAATGTGCTTGATGATGAGGTGCTCGATGAACACGGCATGGGGCACAACAGTGCTTATAGTGTCGAAAGACGTCCAACGCACTACGACAGAGGTCGTGTGCATCGCGTCGCACAACGAGTCAACGTTCGGAGCCAGTGGGCCATCAGCGAGCCCAACAGCTTCGCTCGCTAAACGCGCATGGCCAGATCACCAGGAGGAACGGAGCCATGTTCTCTGAGTCGGAGCGTGCTCGCAAGAAGAGGAGAGATAATGGGGTCCGAGACCTGCATCTGCATGTCATACCAGAGAAGTCCGCGTATACATGACGGTACGAGGCCAACGTTTGTGCGCGGCTGCATCGACGGGGCTTGCCGGCAGATGCGAGCCAATCACGATCGCGCGAGTTATAATCCCCAGAAAAGTCAGATTCAGAGTGCATCTCAGAAGGACTGCCCTCTCCACTCATCTATTCCGTGCGCGTACGTATATTCGGTTGCGCAGAGGACACTCCACACTATCGCACTATCAGCAGTGTAAACGGTCATGTATAAGAGCCACCGAATCGGTGGGTGCGCTAGCATTCCTCGTCATGGTATACAATGTGTAGTTCCTTCTAATCCACCCTCTACAAATACAATCTTCCCAGTGGCCCCATCCCGTCTTTCCCGAATACACTTCCGATACAAATGTAGTTAGCAGTCACAGCGTCCATGCCTCAAAGGGCTTTACATACTCTTCATTCACTTTGAACGCCCAGAAGGGGCCGGCAGGGTCGCCATGATTGTGATGCGCGCCAGTCCAGATACCGACGAGACCCGCGGCGCTCGCTGCTCCACCGAGCTGAACTGCCTCCGAGCTACATGCCACACAGTTAAGCAGAGACCGGATGAATGACGGGGAAGTATTCACCTCCATTGCTCTTCGCCGTGATGAATCGAAACCTGCTACATGGCTCAACAGCTACTTTCGAAGGCAATCAATGTGAGAGACAACGTACAAAGCTCCAGCGTATATCGCCACCAGGCATGACTGTGACGTATCCCCTGACAGTACGATCGGAGTGTTCCATAGCGCTCAGTCCGCGCATAGAGCCTACAATACGCAGTGTAGGGCGTTTGGGGTCCGCGCTAGGGATGGACTCATCGATATCTGTGACGTGCATGTGCATGCGTAGTAGACGCGTCGCTTCTTCGAAGTCCTCGTCGAAGAAGTCTTGGTTGCGTGAGCCGGCCTGGAAGAGCTGGATGTGAGTCAATGGATGTACGTGGGATACGGCGATAGATTCTCACGTTGAATTCTGCAGGTGGAGAAATGATGATTGGTGTTTGGTACGAAGGACCCAAGACGGACATGTGGCGAGCACTCACGGAATAGATCTCTGTATAGAGGTATGAGCAAGATGTTTGGATGTACGTGTGAGGAATATTCTCACCTGTAATCGCAAAAACACACGACTCTCATCCATTCTCCTTCAACCCCAGCCCAGTCCAACGGATTACTCTCAACCTCTTCATCATCATTCCTAAACATGTCCACACTCCCTTCCCTCAACGCCTCCGCACCATGTACCAGCAAAGGCGGCTGAAGCGGTTGAGGCCAGGTCGCTCCGAAGTCCCTCAAGTTCGCCGCGACGACTGTAACAATCTTATCAACATGCTCCCAGTTCACCGCGTCCTCGAAGTCGTCTTTGAACGGGCCGTACTGGCGATCTTTGGTATAGTTTCGCATGTCGTAGATGTATGTCCGTGCAGCTTGGCGCTGCTTGTTGAACACCTCGCGGAGGGGTGAGGTAAGCGAGAGCGGGAAATGGGCGCGGACGCGAAGACGGCGGTCTTCGGTCTCCCTGTCGGTATCCGAAAGCGCACGCGCAACCGCGTCCTCGCCAAAGTCACGGAACATGTGCGCATTGCGCAAAATCAGTTGGGTCGCCCAAGTCATGTCTGCAGAGCTGTGTGCCGAGTAACGAGGCGCGGTGCGCACGGTATGGATTATACCGTCTACCACGGGCCGCACTTGTGATTTACTATTCTCGGCAGTGTACCGAATCTTGTACGTCGCGGCCCACGAAAAGTCAGCAACATCGTCGATCAGGCCGAGCTCGAGCGGGTCGTCATAGGGTTGGGCGAGATAGAGCGCCCGCCACAGATGGGTGTTATCCTCCGCGATGAGCTCATGCAGCGCGCGATTGGTACCCGCGAACGCCGCGATCTCCGCACCGGTGAAGAACGAGATGAGATGCTCGATCAGCTCGGGCGGCAGCGAGAAGAGACTGGCAGGCATGGTGGTGGTGAGAAGCAAGAGTGTTCATGGGAGTGGATTGCGACACAAGGTGGGTCGCCCGTCGCCCGCGGGTCTGCCGCGGACGTGCTAAACCTGTATATCACCGTCCGGCCCGATCATCCGGGGCGCTTCTTCTCGAACCAAAGTTCGCGCGAGCTTGCGTGCGCGCCGGCGCTTGGATCGAAACAGCCACAGCTTGCGTTTCACCTCCAACACTCGGCGCAGGCGCCCACATACACGATGCGCTCCCGTGCTGCTCTCGCCCTGCTAGCTGTACCGACTGCCTCTGCGTGGGAACTGCCGTTCTCCAAGTTATGGTCTGGGAACTCGGACCAGGTGCCGCTCGCTGTGCCCGATGCTACTATGGCGTCGAGTGCGGGTAGTCAGGTCCAGGGACCGCCGCGCATTGCTATCATAGGCGCCGGTGCCGCAGGGTCCTCTGCCGCGTACTTTCTATCGAAGGCAGTCGAGAGGTTTGGGATAACCGTGGAGGTTGATGTTTATGAGCAAAACGACTACGTCGGAGGCAGTACGTAGTTGGCTACATCTTCTCAGTATCTTGTACTGAATGACGATCAAAATGACAGGAAGTACGACTGTATACCCTTACGATGATATGACACTTGAACCCGTCGAACTTGGCGCGTCCATATTCGTCGCGGTAAACAAGAACATGATGAGGGCTTCGGACGAGTTCAACCTCACGCGAATAAACTTTGCGGCGGATGATAATGAGCAGATGGGTATTTGGGACGGGAAGGAGTTCTTATTCACAGTACGTGATGCGTCGTGGTGTGCCCAAAGTACCGAATGGTCTGGACTGACTATGTACTGCAGCAAGGAACTCGAGGAAATGGCTACTTTGGGTCGTGGTTCGACACGTTGAAGGTATTCTGGCGATATGGCTACAGCTCTCCAGTAAAGGCACAAAACATGTAGGACTTATCCCTCTCACGCGCCACATTTCACGCATATTGATGCCCCGATAGTGTCAAAGCTCTTACATCCCGCTTCACCGACCTCTACCTCCCCACACCCCCGCGATGGACCAACATCACTTCCGTAGTCACCGAGCTCGGTTGGGCGGATCAAGTCATGCTGACCGGCGAAGAATACTTCTCGTCCCAAGGCGTCGGCGAGAAGTTTATACATGAGCTGATCGGCGCCGCGACACGGGTCAACTACGCACAAGACGCCGACAAGATCCATGCTCTTGAGGCTTCCGTGTCGTTGGCCGCCACTGGTGCGACAGCTATCAAAGGCGGAAACTGGAAGGTCTTCGACCAGTTCGTCAAGCGGAGTGGTGCGAAGTTATATCTGAAGGACAAGGTGGAGACGGTGAAGAAGGTCAACGCCGATACTTGGCTATTACGCTCGGCTAGCGGCACAAGGCGTTACAATAGCATCATCTTAGCTGCACCCGCACCTCTCGCCGGCCTCGAGCTTCCAGGCGAGCCCTTGACGCCCGTCGACTACGTGAACTTGCACGTCACGCTCTTCACTACGACTTCACCGCACGCCAATCCGGAGTACTTCGGCTACAAACCAGGGTCGAAGGTGCCGGAGACGATCTTGACGGCGAAGGGGACTGCGGAATTCAATAGTATGACCTATCACGGGCGTCTGAAGGATGCGGATGGTGTGCCGCTTGAGCCACCGCAATGGGTCGTCAAGATCTTCTCGATGGAGAAGGTCGAGGATGCTTGGATTGAGAAGCTGTTCGGTCATGAGGTAAATTGGGTATACCGCAAGCTCGTAAGTACTTTCCTCGCCTCAGTCGAACAGAGCTATGAAACTGAATCTACCGGACAGTGGCAACCCTACCCGGTCCTCCCACCGACGACCTCCTTCCCATCCATCAAACTCGACGACGGGTTCTACTACATCAACGCCTTCGAACCCGCCATCAGCACGATGGAGACGGAGACGATCGCAGCACGAAACGTCGTAGAGATGGTGCTAGACGAGCTGTTAGGGCTGCCCGGACTTTGCCCGTTCAGGCCGAAGGCGGATGAGGGATACACGACGGAGGTGGAGGGGAAAGACTTTGTGTTTGGGTGGGACTGCCCTGAGGCACTCGCGGCCTCTGAGCCAGATGCGGCTCCTGCACCGGAGACGCCCGCGACGCCGTCGGTGGACGTACCGGTGACGGTGGGGACGACGCCGACGGAACTGTGATTGAGTCGAACGATCTATGATGACGGAATAATTGGATGGCTACGGATTTAATGACTGGTCACTTTACGGTTTACAGCTTGTGTGATATGCTTTTGGTCTGCTATGTACTGTGCTACTCTACATGAACTGTGACACGTGAAAGACGATGGCGGTCGAGAGGCGCGAGGCTCGCGAGCGAAGAGTTCGAGATCCGGCAGAAATGAGAGCGTGAGAATGTCGTGTGTGGAAGCGAAGGCCCGCTGCTTGCCTTGCTGCTTTCGTTCGACCGCGTGCGCCGCATCCAGCCCGACCACCCCACCCAACTCTCTAGCGTGCTGCTGCTGCTCCGTTCAACATGGGCGTCGTCACCAGCTGCTGTGATCCTTGCTGTCCGTCAATTTCCTCTAACTTCTCACGGACGAAATGTTGAACTTTATTTCCGCAGTCTCGTCGCGCAAGTCGCAGAGCTACGAGCCGCTGCTGCTCGAGAACGAGCGCGAGGCGGTGGCAGACCTGTTGCAGTACCTCGAAAGTGAGATTCTAGTCGCAAAATATATTGAATAGACGCTGATGGACATATTAGACCGGACGACGACCAACTTCTTCACGGGGTCGCCACTCTCCGCGTTGACCACACTCTCCTTTTCAGACAACGTCGACCTCCAGCGCAGCGCGGCGCTCGCCTTTGCGGAAATCACAGAAAAGGAGGTCCGCCCCGTCGGCCGCGACACGCTCGACCCCATCCTCTTCCTCCTCTCCAGCCATGACACTGAGGTCCAGCGGGCCGCCAGTGCCGCTCTGGGCAACCTGGCCGTGAACAGTGAGTAGTCTATCACATCACATGATATGCGTTAGATGTTGAATATGTGTCTGCAGCCGAGAACAAGTTGCTCATCGTCAAGCTTGGCGGTCTGGAGCCTCTCATCCGCCAGATGCTCAGTCCGAACGTGGAGGTGCAATGCAATGCCGTCGGCTGCGTGACCAACCTCGCGACGCACGGTATGTTGCTCGTCCACTCTCTGCGATCTACATTCCGCTTAATCTGAAATTGTACGTAGATGACAACAAGACGAAGATCGCCAAGTCCGGCGCGCTTGTGCCTCTCACGCGGCTGGCCCGCTCGAAGGACATGCGTGTGCAGCGCAACGCTACCGGTGCCCTTCTCAACATGACCCACTCGGGTACGATATTACAACATGTTCATTTGCCCTGCCAGGCTGACAATGTTCGCTTCGCAGACGAGAACAGGCAACAGCTCGTCAACGCCGGCGCCATCCCGGTCCTCGTCAGCCTTCTCAACTCGCCCGACACCGACGTGCAGTACTACTGCACAACGGCGCTCAGCAACATTGCTGTCGACGGTGCGCATCATTGTCACCCTGGAGCGCCTATTTGTCGTAGACTGATGTTTGATGATGGTCAGGTGCCAACCGTAAGAAGCTGGCGCAGAGCGAGCCCAAGCTCGTGACAAGTCTGGTGCAGCTCATGGACAGTCCGAGCTTGAAAGTTCAGTGCCAGGCTGCTCTGGCCCTGCGCAACCTCGCCAGCGACGGTAAGTTTGACGTGAGACATCATTCTCTCACGGTTGACTGACGTCTCGTACAGAGAAGTACCAGCTGGAAATCGTGAAGGCGGACGGCTTGCAACCACTTCTCCGGCTGCTCCAGTCAACATATCTTCCCCTCATCCTCTCCTCGGCAGCATGCGTGCGCAACGTCTCGATTCACCCGCAGAACGAGTCGCCCATCATCGAGTCGGGCTTCCTCCAACCACTCATCAACCTTCTCTCCTTCAAGGAGAATGAGGAAGTTCAATGCCACGCCATATCCACCCTTCGCAACCTCGCCGCAAGCTCTGAGAAGAATAAGCTCGCGATCGTCAAGGCGGGCGCCGTGCAGAGCATCAAGGAGTTGCTGCTCGAAGTGCCGATGAACGTCCAGAGCGAGATGACGGCCTGCGTTGCTGTACTCGCTTTGAGCGACGAGCTCAAAGGACAGCTATTGGAGATGGGCATCTGCGAGGTTCTCATCCCGCTTACGAACAGCCCGAGCTCGGAGGTGCAGGGCAACAGCGCCGCGGCGCTCGGGAACCTCTCGTCCAAGGATGGACGCACTGCGACGGACGATTACTCTGCATTCAACGATGTTTGGGATAAGCCCGAGGGCGGCATGCACGAGTACCTCCACCGCTTCCTCAGCTCGGCCGACGCGACATTCCAGCACATCGCAGTATGGACCATAGTACAGCTGCTCGAGTCTGGAGACCCCCAACTCATCACAAACATCCGCTCTTCGTCCTTACTTCTCCCCAACGTTCGCGAGCTCGCACAAAGCCGCAGCGCTACGCCGGCTTCCTCCATTGGTGGCACACCACACAGCGCGCGTTCGAACTCCAGGAGTTACCAGGACACGGATGGTGGAGAGGGCCAAGGAGAGATCCAACTGTTGGCGAGGAAGATCCTGGATTTTGCTGAGGGTGGTGAGGAGTTGGGGTACAATGTCGGCGTGAGCGGCAGTCTGATCAGGCCGGGATCGTCTGTTGGACGGGATAGCTCGGTCAGTGGACGGGACCACGATGAGTTGAGGCGAAGCGTTCGCGATGCGTTCACCGGCAGCTCGCACGGGCACGGATACTAGACGCCCAGCTCACATTCGCCGAGCTCGACGCTCCACGGACCCTTCATACCTCATGCGCCTTCCATCACCCAGATATCTCCTTTTCGCTGTTCATTATCCTCTCTACCTTCGCCCTCGTTCCGCTACGGAACGTAGTTGTCCGATCGTGTTTTTTGTCAATTGCTTTTCTTCTGTGTACCATGTTTTCGGTTCTCGGTCTCGGTCCTCCATACTTTCCCGTCTCACATCTACTTATCTATTGTCACCGTCTGGATTGGTACAGTTCTGTTAATAGCCTCCCTCAACCCGATCTCCTTACTCCTCACCCTCGAGCCCGATTGTTGCGACATCCATCCTCCCCTGTTTACAGCCTGAGCACCCTGTCGTTAGGTCTGGGTCTTCGTTATAGTCTGTTGACACGAGCCTGAGTTTTTCGAAGAATCGAGATGACTTCATGATATGAATGTGGCTACGTGTGATGTGTGCGACGTACTGTAGATATGACGCGTTATGCGATCTTGCTTTACATCCTACCGAAAAAACCGTGGAGTAACGGGGTTCGTCTCCGCTCTCTCAGTTCACACCAGTCTTGAATGAAGTTGAAGAAGTATTATCGTCTAAAGAAGTACAAAAATGCGAAGGAGAATAGCGTAATATACAAGCATAACCAACTAAAAAACAAAGGTCCTGCCCTTGAGAGCAGGCACAATCCGAAAGTGAAGGGAATAATCTAGCCCGAAAGCAAACAAAAATCGATATCAAACAGGGGGTGCGCGGGCGAGCGCTCGTCAAGGAGTGTCGTGAACAAAAGTCCGAGTGCATAACGAGTGGGAATGTCATGCCATATCGGCTGTGGGGAATGGTACAAGGGCCGGCTCCGAATCTTAGAAGGAGCCGGGAGGAAGAGGAAGAGGGCGCCCGGTGCTGCGGGTGCTTCGGCCGCTGTCGCTTCGCGTGTGCGAGTAGGTGCTGCTCGCGAGGCTGTTGATGCTCGGATGAGATACGAGACCTCTGTTGCCGGGCGTCGGCAACGGCGCGCCACGGCTAGAGCCCGGTATCATCAAGCTGCTCGAACGCGTCGGAAGACGAGTCGACGTCGAGCTCGTGCTTGTGCTGCGCAACGACGACGAAGCCGAGAGCGATGGCGCGAGCTTCATATCCGCGCGAGCCTGTGAGAGCTCAGTGGGAGAGAACATCGCGCGCAGAGGCGAATCGGCGTGCGGCGGCGAGTATGCAGGCGGGAGCGAGCGCCCACGGTCGGCCGGGTCCAAGAAGGGGTTGGCATTCTCCCCATCCGAAGACTCCGCCCTGGTTTCTTTCCCCTTCTTGTTTTTGCGCGCCTCGCGCTTCAGGGCCGCGTACAGCAGCGCATCAGACTCGTCCCGCGCGCGCAAGAAGTCCTTGGTGTCGCGCCTCCGAGGACGCTTCGGCGGGCTGGTGCTCGACTTGGTCGAGCTGACGCTAAGAGAGGAGTCGAAGCTCGCTGCGGTGTGCAGAGGTGGGCGCGGCGGGACATAGGGCGTCGGGCTGGTGTATGTCGTGGTGGAGGTGGAGGTAGTCGTAGTAGACTTCCCCGACTTCGTCGACATCATCGTGCCACTCCCAAACGTGCCCGTTCCATCATACCCAAGCTGAAACTTGCTAGATACAGCAGAGTACGGCGTGCGCGGACTGCGGTCCGGCGTTACGCTCGAGATGAATGTGCCCGTGCTCGCTGCGCTCCGGGGCGCCTCAGGGCTCAGCGGGCTCATCATCGTCAAGTCGCGCTCTTCCGCGCTCATATCGATGAAGGCGCTCCGAGGCGGGGACGCGTCTAGGAGATCGAGCGGCACGCGCACATCGACTGGGCTGACGTTGCCGAAAGTCGTGGCCGAGGCTGTGCTCGACGCGCGCGAGAGTGTGAACGCCGCGCTGCGCGGGCTCGGGGTGGTGAAGTCCATGAGCGGCAGGCGAGCGCTGACGGGCGTAACGGCGCGGCTGATGTCAATCACGCGCTCCTCGTCGTCGCGCGAAGGGCCGAAGCCGATGCTGCTGATGCTCCCGTGCACACCATGCAAGAAGCGCGCCAGACCGCCGCTGCCGGGCGTGCTGGGTTGGCTTGAATGAAAAGGAAGCTTAAAGTTCGTGCTGCTACTGGTCGTCGTCGGGCTGATGGGTACGTCGATGTTGATGCGGTCGCTCAGGTTTAGTGGGTGAGGCGGAGCTTTCCGCATGAATGGTGTTGGAGATGGGATTGGGTCGATGGTGACGCGGTGAGCGCGGCGACGGCGATTCAGAGCTCGGCGATGGTAGCGGCGACGGAGAAAGAAAGCGAGGCCGGCGGCGGAGGCAAGGGCGAGGATGCCTACTAAGATGCCGAGCGCGGCGAAGGCGGCGCTATGGGAGGCCTCGGGCACGGCACGCGGGATGAGCCTAGCCATGGAGAAGGTGGGTGGTCAGACCGGGCGGAAGAACGGTAAACGTGGTTCACGATATTGTGCGAGACATACTTGTAGACTGCGTGGCCGAAGCGACTGTGGAGACCGTCGCCGAGGGCAGGCGCACGCGGATTAGTAGCGTGTAGGCGCGCGTCGGCCACTGGTGATGGCTGCGACTGAACGGTTTGAACTTGGTGGGCGGGAGGTACGTGAAGCGCGTCGATCGCAGTGTTGACGAGAGTGGCAGGATTAACCGGAGACATGATCCACAGACACGCAGAGAGGAGGATGCCGAGAAGTACGTTAAAGTCGAGAATGAGGCTCGCGGAAAGAGTGACGGTCGGCGGGAATAAGCACAGGTGTGCTTGAAATGGTACACTATACACAAGAGGACCTAATGAGCGGGTACCCCGGGAGCGTGTACTGGCGGGGCGGTAGGACCCAATGAGGTGTGCGAGCGTACGCTCTATAAATCATCACTGCATGGAGATAGACCGCGGGTCAGACAGCGCTTCGCCTGTCTACCGCACGGAACCTCAGTCTATCCGACGAGTTAAAGAGCAAGATTGCCACTTCACAATCTGTCAAATGCCTTGATCCATGTTGCGGTGCTGGCAAGGGCGTGATCTCTGCATGGCGCTAGAGAGCGCGAGAAAGAGTCGTGATCAGCGGTAAGGGACGCAACAAGTTAGATCATTGCCCAAGAGAGCGAGTACGAGGATGAGACATGAATGTCTGTGCCAGCCTGCGTTGGATACGGCAGCCCAGGGGACATGAGGCGGGGTGACCGAGGTGGATATCCTCGCAGCCTCGCACGCGCCGGCGGGCCAAGGGCGCGCAGTCTCGGGATTCGCGCGCTTCCTCTCCATAACAGCATATTCAAAGTGTTCCCAGAGCGCAAACTGATGCACCCCAGGCATTCAGTCGAGGTTACCTCACCAGACGAATTGTCGTCAGCGCTCGCCTGTGCAGGTCTGACGACGGCCTCCGACCTTCACACGGAGCGGCCCAGTGAAGTACGCGAGCTCGGACATGTTCTGATTAGGGATTAGATTGAGGGCGAAGATAGACAGTTGTCGGTTCTGGGCGCTAGACAGAAGTCGTTCGCTGACCACAAGACCCATGCGACATGGTGAGAAGCAAGATAGGGTTTGCAGCTAACAGGGTCGAGTGCGCGTCGAGCTCAGGCCCTCCTCGACGTTTGCCTCTGCTCGTCATCTCTGGCGGCAAGTTCGCCACCTCGCCCGTCCTCCAAGGGGCCTTATGTGCTTCATTCTGTTCTTACCCTAACTTGCGACACTGTGCGGATTCTACGTTTTATTGCATCCTTACGCCCATCATGTCCAAAGTGGATGACAGCCCCTCCTCATCACCGTCATCGTCCAAGCGGTTGATGCACTCGGATAATGCGTTACAGCTTGACTTGGGTGCTGCTGGCCTGCGCGACTCCGAACTAAGAGATGTCATTGTACAAGGCCCATTTCTGGCCGTACCCGCTCCTAAAGCCGATGAGGCCCACCACAACTCTGCTCTAGACTCCGATACTGGCTCTGAGCGTTCCATTTCAAGCGCCGCTCCATCACCCTCGCCACAACGCCCTCCACTCCCGGAGATGCCATCCAGTGCATACATGCCCTCGCATGCTCCAGATCCGATTCCGCCGCGCGTACGGTTTCGTTCGCGAGTGAGGATACGCGGCAAGCGCCGCAGTTCTGCGCGGCAGCATAGTGCGGACAGCTCGGGAAGCGGTAGCCGGAGCAGCACCGTGAGCGTTCCGCTAGACGCACATCCTAATCGACGCGTACTAGGCCTCAGGCTGAGCGCGATTACGGCCCGCGCAGTGGCGAATGCAAATGCGAATGAGCAGACGCCGCTATTGCCAGAAGAGCTGCGGAAGATCAGGCAGGCGGAGCGAAGGGAACGCAGAGCGATGGAAGAGAGGCAGCGTGAGATTGACGAAGAGTTGGCGGAAGATGAGGAAGTGATGAGTTGGAAGGAGAAGTTACAGAGTCGATTTGTGAGTGCAGATCCCCCTGGACGGCGTTAGGCTACGCTCTGATCCATATTTGTAGTGGTGGAAGAGACGCGTCGAGGATGTTGAACGCGTGGTGTGCGCGTGTTGCCCGGAGTCTGACGAGGAAGATGAAGAAGACGGATGACATTTGATACGCGTTGGCAGGCTGCTGTGGCGATGTTTCCGGCAGAAAACATACCAGCCCGCGTGACAAGTCTACGACACTATGGCACGATCTTTCGACCCCGTATATCCTGATGCTATCGCCGCAATGCTATGTTGTCTCTGTATTCTTATCCTGTATCGCCATTGATACCCTTGTACCCAGTTCTTACCTTGCATATACACGCGCGAATCCTGAATACAACTGTTTATTGTCCTTGTGTCGGATATATATACATGGCGCGCCATTCGCTTGTCTCTATCGTACGCGTGATATTCGCTATGATACAATCTCAAAGAATCCCGAAACTCTACCAGGTCATCGTGACACCTTCAGACGCGGCGTTCGTGTCGCCTGTGGCGGTCGTACGCCAAACCCTGGCGCCGAATCTGAGCGCAAGCAGCAGCTTGGAAACGCTTCCGGGTCTATGGGTATCAGGCGGGCAAGCATAGCTCCACCGACCGAAAACACCTCAGCTCTCGCTGACGGCACTCAGGAGCATTCAGTCATTGCGACGGCCCGATGACAACTTTCAGCGCCATCTGCCCCTTTTCGTCTACGCCCTTGGATAGCAGATCGAATGCCTTGGCGGTATCCGCGAGCGAGAATCGGTGCGTCACAAGCTTGTCGAGGTTCGATAGCTTGCCGGAGCCAAGGAGCTCGAGAGCCTCGGGATAGGTGTTGGCGTAGCGGAAGGAACCCTGGATGTCGACCTCGCGCAGCGCCGCAGCGGACAGTGGTAGCGTCGTGCTCCGGGTGCCCATCCCGACGAGCATGAGTTTACCACCCGTGATGGCCGTCTGCATGAAGAAGGTCAGACATGCTTCCGTAGAATGAACAGGCGCGTACTTACGTGGATAGCCATCTGGATGCACGGCTCAGCGCCGGTACACTCAAAGATGCAATCAAAGCCGTCGGCCTCCCCAAATGCCTCGAGGATCTTCTCGCCCGACTCTTTGGCACGTTGCAATTGCTCTTCCGGCGTCTTCGGTCGCGCGGCGGCGGGCAGGCAGTAGGTTTGTTGTGCGAAGCCGTTCTCGTGGGCGAATGATAGCCTCGCCTGGTTGATGTCAACCACCACGACGCGCCGCGCTCCCCGAGCCTTGGCCATGGCGCACGCAAGCAGACCGATTGCACCCGCGCCGTATACGAGGACAGATTGGTCCGCTTCAAGCTGTGCACGACGAGAAGCGTGTAAGATGACGGAGAGAGGTTCGGCGAGAGCTGCTTGCTCGAACGAGCACGAGTCGGGCAACCTGCGGAACAGGTGAGTTGTCAAGTATCACAAAACGGGCGAATGTGACCCACGGATGGAGAACATGCGCAGGATGATTCATCCGCTCCTGGAGTGTACCGTCCAGATGCGGGAAGGTCTTTGCGCTGCTGGCAAAGCGCATACCCTTGCAGAGGTTGTACCGACCCTTGGAGCAGTAGTCGCAATTTCTGCACATGATACCGGCTTCAATGGCCACGCGCTGACCGACAGCGAGATCCGTTATGCCAGAGCCAACAGCAGTCACGATACCAGCTGCTTCGTGTCCGAGAACTAGCGGAGCCTGTAGTGCAAAGTCCCCATTGCGTCCATGCATGTAGTAGTGTACTAAGGATCACACGAGAGGTTAGAGGATGATCTCGAGGGCGTTACGTTAGAGGGGGCGAACATACAATCGCTACCACAAAGCCCTGTGGCTTGTACCTCAACTTGAGCCTGGTCGGGCTGTGGCGCGAAGAGTGTCCTCTGCTCGTAGCGGAGGTCTTTTGCGCCGTAGAGAACGGCGGCGTGTTGTGTAGGAAGCGAAGCGGGGGACATGACAGTGACTAGCTGGAGCTGGAGGGAAAGGAGTCTGATTTTCTGCGTCGTGCATCTCCATGACTTATAGCACCAGCAGGAGCAAGGGAGGTGCGATTCAAGGAGTGTTCCGTGGTCGGACCGGCAGCCGGCCGTTCACGTCTGATCGACAACATGACCACTTCTTTCGTACCCTCCGTACGTACCAACACCCCGCAGCGTGAGCCTAAATCAAATACGCGGACGGCACGGACGATATCAGGCCAGTGGAGGCATTCTTCTTCCGGAAGTTCGTGCCGATGTCCCGGTGGTCTGGAGCGGACAGCTTCCAGCCCTCTGCGCTCATAAGTATTAAGAACATCTAAATTACTGACCAGTCGACAGGCTTTCTCATCTCACCATCATGGACCCAACTCCTTCTGTTGCTGCTCCTGCTCTATTCAACTTAGCCGGTAAGAATGCGCTCATTACCGGTGCCACGCGAGGTACGTTCAAAGGCCGCCACGGTCGAGGCGCACTTTTCGTCCCTCGCTAGATCACAAACGCATCTTATCTCAACAGGCATTGGCGCGGCCTGCGCAAAAGCTCTCGCAGAAGCTGGTGCGGCTCTGTGTATCGTCCTTCGCGAACCGGCTCCTGGAGTAGAACCCAATCTCGTCACCGTGAACGCGCTCAAGGAACTAGGCGCTAAAGTGGAATATGTCTTCTGCGATCTGAGCGATCTGGCGTCAGTCAAGGGGCTTTTCCAGAAAGCGCTCGACGCTATGGGCGGCTCTATTGATATCCTCGTCAACTGCGCGGGTATACAACGGCGTTCGCCGAGTGTATCCTTCTCGGAACAGGATTGGGACGACGTGGGTCTTTACCTCGATCGTCGTATCCGAAATCGGTTTCGAGTATAACCGTGTGCCGCATAGGTCTTGAACGTCAATCTCAAGTCCGTCTGGCTTCTGTCTCAAGCAGCCGGCCAGCACATGGTACCCCGTCGCACGGGAAAGATCATCAACTTCTGCTCGCTCTTGACCTTCCAGGGTGGCTTGACGGTCCCAGCCTACGCTTCCGCGAAGGGGGCTCTGGGACAACTGACGAAGGCACTGAGCAATGAATGGAGCCAGCACAACGTCCAAGTAAACGGCATCTGTCCGGGTTATATTGCGACGGACATGTGAGCCGTTTTCGCCTGCCTTGTGAGAGAGCGATACTGAGAGCTTCACTTGCAGGAACGAGAAGCTTCTGGCGGATCCTGTCCGCCTCCGGCAGATCTCAGAGCGGATCCCCGCTGGCCGCTGGGGCACACCCGAAGACTTTGCCGGTCCTGTCGTCTTTCTCGCGAGCAGCGCGAGCCAGTATGTCTGCGGCGAGCTTCTTGTCGTAGATGGAGTGAGTTTACTTCGAGATCAGGCTTCGCCGATACCATGCTAACGCTCATATCTTCAGGGCTGGATGGGCCGGTAAAGATGCGCGTAGCTCGGTACTCAATCTGTAGCATATCAATACACTTCTTCTCGCCTCCTTGACTGCGCGTCGTATGGAACATGTTCATCTGAAGACTTCTCCGTCGCTGCATTACCAATGTCTCTACTTCAAATCAGCTGTGGCGCCAATCCTGCACGAGTTTTAGGCTTTGGGGTTTATTCGCAAGGGTACACGCCAAGGCAGGGAGTGCTTCCTCATGGCGTAATACACGCTTCATGAGAGGTGTCGGCCCGAAAGCACTTGATGGTGGCTTCGCAGATCACAGGAGAATTCCAGTGCGGTGACTCGCGTGAAGGCTAGCCTGTGCTACCCAACCCCATATTTGCCTGCTACACGTCATAAAGGCGGAGAAATGGCGGTCGAGTAGTTCTTTGGGCTAGGTGCGGTACCTCACCGAGGGCGGCGCAGCCGTATGCGCGTTCGTTCTCGTCCTTCCGGTCCCTCATTTCTGGTTTCACGCGGCCCGGAATCCGGAGTACGCGGAAACAGGGTTCACGGGGAAGTCCGCGACAATGCACGGCGTGAAGTACGGAGATGGCCTGAGCTGAGAGAGCGAATGACTTGACCAGATGGAGATTGGGAGAGTGCGAAGACAATGATACCTACGCACTCAATGACGCTGAGTGCTGGCACGTATGAAGAGCAGGCCTCAAGCAGCAGACATCATAGTGTCGATAGACCGGTATAGTCCAGGAACGTGTTTCCGAGCGTATCCGTATGGCCCACAGGAAGCAAAATGAAGGTTGGGAGAAAGGCACGGAGAGAGCCGTACTACGCGTTCTTGACGCGGTCACGTTTAGCGGACTTCGGACCGGTAGATTCGTTGAGTGCGCCACGACGCGTCGTAGCTTGGTCGTAGCCTTTACCTCTCGCCGCCACCTCTTACTTCTAGCGCAATCTCAGTTGGCTCATTATGGCCGTGGAAGACTTTGATCACCACTCGCGCGAGGTCATGCTCGCGTTCTACCGCAGACTCTATCCCTTCAAGTCAATATACAGATGGCTGAACCACGAACACGCGGCGACGCGTCTCTTCACACATCGCGAGATCGCATATTCGCTTCCGGGCGACATCTATATCCGATACAAGTCCTTCAACGGGCCAGAAGACTTCAAGAAAGAGACGCTCAGCTACAACCCCGAACGTTTCGAGATTGGACCAGTATATTCTGTCAAGGTACGGAGTTCATATTCAAGCATCTAGCGTGGTTCTGACCTTTCATGCGCATGGCTCAGCCGAAAGATAGGAAAACCCTGGCCGGTGCGAAACTAGTTCCGGAGAAACGCGAACTTGTATTCGATATCGATATGACGGACTACGACGAGATCCGTACATGCTGCAAGGACGCGGCGATCTGCAACCGTTGCTGGGCATTCATTACCGCCGCCGTCAAGGTGCTCGACCATTCAATACGCGAACAGTTCGGTTGGAAGCATCTGTTGTGGGTCTACTCGGGACGTCGCGGAATTCATTGTTGGGTATCAGACCCTGAGGCGATGGCGTTGACTGACGAACAACGACGAGCGCTTGTCGGGTGGATGACAGTTGTGAAGGGTGGGAAGGAAATGAGCAAGAAGGTCAATGTGCGCCCACCTGGATATGGTCCTGGTGGCTCCCCATGGCCATTACCGCCGGCTGTAAAGTGAGCGCATATGATATCTACTACCGCCAGTATAATGACCGCTCGCAGAGATTGCCTCCCTATCCTCAGTGACGTTTTCTCGACCCTCATTCTCGAAGACCAAAACCTATTTGAGCGAGATGAACATTGGGAAGAGCTTCTAAACCTCATCCCAGACAAGGAACTCGTCAAGGAACTCCGCATAAGCTGGAATGACGATGAGGGCAAACATTCCATTGATAAGTGGGCCGAATTACAGGCTGTGATTTCGAGAACGACAGAGAAGGGTACTGTCGAACGGGTATGCCCTGAGGTTGCGCTGCAGTTATGAAACATCTGACAACCGTACTAGGCTCAGATGAAGGCGCTTTTGGAGGATATCATCCTACAGTACACCTACCCTCGCATCGATGCGGAGGTGTCAAAGAAGCGCAACCATTTGCTCAAGGCGCCATTCGTCGTTCATCCGAAGACTGGACGAGTCTGCGTACCCGTCGACCCGGCCCATGTGGATGAATTTAACCCAGAAACGGTGCCGACTGTCGCGCAGCTTCTATCAGAGCTCGAGGCCAATCACGCTGAAGGATCCGAGGAGCAAGACGGTAAAACAAAATATTTCATACTCCGCTCTCCAGACGGCGACTGAATGGGGATATACAGATTGGGAGAGGACTTCATTGAAGCCTTACGTGCAGTTTTTAGACGCTCATGTCAAAGGGATCATGGAGGACGTACGCAAGGCCAAGATGGCTACTTCCTGTAAGCGCCTTTCATCTGCGCCCTATGCCAAGCTGATCATGGCATCTAGCGATGGACTGGTGATGATACCCCACGATACATGTTCTGCTCATCTGCTTTGTACCTTGCTTTCTGTACTTGTTTAATGAAATCACTACTGTCCTGTGCGGGCTGGACGCACGTGTGTCGAGTTCAACTGGCCGGAGCCCGTTCGAGTATTACAAGCGCACGACGGTCTGGACCTCTGAATACTCACTCTCGCCGTAGAATGGGTTATGTTGTACAAGCAAATCTATTTTGTACACCTATGTGAATACATATAACTCATTTTACAGCCCCTATAAATCAAGTCTATGATGGACACCTGCACCCTCAGGCTTCGTCGTTGGGCATCGGCTTGCCGGCGGGTAAGACCATCGTGGGAGGGAGTGTTATGATGGGCTTGAGCAGACTGCTCGCCTGCTTGCGAGCATTCTGGATGAGCAGAGCGTCCATGATGACGAGTGCGGCCATGGCCTCGACGATCGGCACGGCGCGGGGCACGACACACGGGTCGTGGCGTCCACGCGCGGCAAGGCTGCCAGGCGTACCGTCGTACGTGGCTGTCTCCTGAGCCTGGGAGATGGTGGCGGGGCTCTTGAACCCGATACGGAAGTAGATGTTCTCGCCGTTAGAGATACCGCCCTGAACACCACCAGAGCGGTTGGTGGAAGTCCCGAGCGAACCGTCAGGCTTGCGGATGAACGCATCGTTGTGCTTGCTACCGGGGATCTCGGTGCCGGCGAAGCCCGAGCCGATCTCGAAGGCCTTGGTGGCGGGGATGGAGAGCATAGCGTGTCCGAGCTTTGCCTCGAGCTTGTCGAAAGCGGGCTCGCCTAGACCGGCGGGGACGTTGCGGATGACACACATGACGGTGCCGCCGATCGAGTCCTGGGACTCTTTCGCGCGGATGATGCGCTGGATCATGGCGTCGTTCGTCGCGGCGTGCGGGCAGCGCGTGGGGTACTTGTCGATCTCAGCGCGCGAGACACAGCCCATGAGGGCAGCGAGCTCCGGGCTGGGCACATCTGCTGCATCGTCGTCGTCCGTCTGCGAGGGAACGCTGCCAGGGAGATGGATCTTGCCGACCGACGAAACGAAGGCGACGATCTCGACGCCGTACGCCTCCTTCAGGTACTTCTCCGCGATCGCACCGGCGGCCACACGACCTGTCCACTACAGTCAGGATTATACTGACGAATCAATGTAGTGGGAACATGCCAATGGTCTCGCGCGCAGATGAGCGTCCACCGCCGGACGATGCCTTGACACCGTACTTGGCGAGATAGGTGTAGTCGGCGTGCGAAGGACGCGGGAACAAGTCGGTCTCGGAGTAGTCATGCGGGCGCTGGTCGAGGTTCTTGACGAGCAGACCGATCGGCGTGCCGAGGGTGACGCCGTGCTCGACGCCGGACTGCAGTTGTACCAAGTCCTTCTCGTCGCGCTGAAACAGGTGTAAGCGCGCGAGTCATGAGAAGAGGCGCTGTGGCAGGAGATAGGGGCTTTCGGCGTTAGGACCGATATGCCGATCTGGCTAGTGGCGAGATGTGTTCGAGGCGCTCAAAATTCTGTACGATGTGCAGCAGATGGAGTGTTGCACTACAGTCACTCCGCGCACTGGAGATATTCTGCGCATGGTGCGGGTATGCATGGTTCGTATAGTGTGACCATCCGATGCGCTGCAGGATCGCAAATACGTGCCTCGGCGCAGACAGATCTCTGCGCATCGGCGGCCAGCGCGTGTGCGGAATGCGGACAGGTCACATACGGGTTACCCGTCCGAGCAGTTGTAGAATGATGTGCAACCGTTTCAGACCAAGTGAGGAGCTGTACTCACAGGTGTGGTGAGGTTACTCTGTCCTGGCCTGCGGCGGGAGAGCTGGACCTGAACGTCCTTGTCCTCGAGGAGGAGTCCCTAGAATCCAACAAAAATGAGTTGTTGTAGCACATAAAGACAATGATATTCAACGCACTGGAGGGCATCCGTCGATGATAGCGCCGACCGAGGCACAATGTGACTCGCCGTAGGTGGAAACACGGAAGAGAGTGCCGAAGGAGGACATGGTGGATTAATGAAGGGGGATGGAGAGAAAGATAGTGCCAATCTAGGCTTTGAATGCCTTGCACTTATACTATGCGCTGTATAGCGAGAGAGATATCGGGCAGGGTCGTGGGTGTACGGGAAGAGGGAGGGTGAGGAAGACTTGTCCGCCGATTTCGTGAATGAAACGTGACTTGGCTCAAACCATTATGTCCGCCGCACCGCAGATGCAGCAGTCGGCCTCCCAGCGCTCGCGCACAAACGCCCGGAAGCGCGCCAACGACGAGAACCCTTACCAGACCCCGAAGCACGATCACGACCAGCGCGTCAAACGTATCAAGCGCGATGACGGCCTGCCCTATCCTCCACCACAAGCCTCGGCCTCGAACAGCACGCGCCAATCAAGCGTACGTATTCCCCGAGTATACCATTCCGCACGATCTAATATCTCATACAATGTAGATTGACTTTGTATCTTTGCCGACGGCTGCACTCCATCGTTACCTGGTGCTACACGACCTAGTGCCATACGTCCATCCGAACCCGTTGTCCCCTCGCGACCCACACGCACCCGCAGCACTTCTGTCAACGAGAACCAGGCGAAGTACTACACCGGATAACGGTCGCCGACGAAGTGCACGCAATACGGAAGACGATGCGTTGTGGGCACGCGCACCTATTCTCGCTGATGCGCAGGACGTGCACGAGATGCTCGCGCAGATCTGCGCGCGCCACGCGAACGAGAACGCCGTGCGCGAGGTCGACACCATTGCCGCCTTTTCTGCAGCTGTACACTTTCACCGCAGGTGGGCTCAAGTCGTGCCTCATCATCGCTATGGACTGACTTCATCTGTGGCACAGACTCTGATCCATGGTACGATCCGAATTCCGCCTGTAGGTCATTTCGCATTCCCGGTGTCTCTGCTCTAGTTTCTTTACTCAGGATTGTACGGAACTGTACTACCCTGCCCGACTGATTCGGGCGAACGGACGATCATCTTTTCAACGGCATAGGCTTTTATTTTGCTCTCGCACATTGTATCTTACATCACACATATACTGCTCTCGACGTCTCATGTCCATGGTCCTTGTCTTTCAATGCGGTTGAGCTGGAACCGTCCGAAGGACAACGGCTTCGTCCTGCGCGGAGTCCGCCGCTTCACTTTCAGTTCATGTTGATCGGACGTCGGTCGCGTATTCAGCACAATGGGGTATTTAGACGCTGTGACTATCCGCCGAGCGCCTGCTCTCGTACGCCACTATGCATATGCTGACAAGTTGGTGCTACTTGGAACATCTCGGTGAAGATGTGCCCGATGATACGTGGGAAGTACGAGCAGTTGAAGAGCCACACCGTTGTCCGAACGTGCCGTGCGCGATGCAGCCCAGCACCCCTGCCAGTGGTTTCACCGCTACATCTATCAATCTGACAGCTTGAGTACATCGTTTGCCCGTATGGATGGCTTGCGACCATTCCCTCACATCGCTTGGTTACAGTACCCAACCAACAGATTGTCGTTGCAGTGCAACTGACGGAGGACCGGCATGCGCGCGTCGGAAGAGGACATGCTGTAGTTATCTCCCTTCGGCTTCAACACTTCCCGAGGGGTGTGCATCTATTGTTCTCAACGCGGACCGGAAAGCTCAGCAGACTGACGCCGCCGGCGCCGCCACATCCATATCCGTTCAGCATCTTGTTCGTCGTTCCTGGTACGTAGTCGAGGCGTCGTATCAGGAGAGCTGCCGCGACATCTACGCCAGTAGTCGTAATAATTGGACGAGACAGGACACACCGTGCCTTAGCTTCAACTTTGGGCCAAGACGAGGATGGCAGCGAATAACGTCGCGGAGACCGCGAGGTGACGGGCGCTTCGACCAATGGGAATATCCGGGCGCAGTAGCGAGCTCGTCGTGGCGGGTGGCACTGAGCTCCGCAGCATTACTTGCCAGCGTTTGCTCTTTCCTCCTGACCACCATGAGTGTTTTCGAACGTCCATTCTGCTTGTTTTGCGTTCTCACTGTACTCGCCGCAAGAAAGTGCATACAGCGAGTGCGAGTTGATCACCGCCCGCGACAGTGCCGTGGGTAACTCGAATCTTCTGCGATCATATCTCGTCCGGCAGCCCTTCTCGGCGCGCGGTTTCCTCGCTTGCACGTCGCACAGTGGTCCATTAGCGTGTCCCGTACGGGAGGTCCACGGTTCTATTTTCACAAAGTAGCCGTCCCCGGCAGATGTCGATGTCGGGCAGGGATGCTGGCAGTGTGACCCGCTATCGCCGGCCGTTGCTAGCCGCGTCCTCGCTGCCTCTTGCATGCAGCCCTTCTCCTGGGAGTTCTGGCCTTTCTGTATGTTCGACAGACAGATCGTGACACGCGCCCAACGATCTATCTTTGACATCGTGCCAACGTCGACGAGACGACGAACGTGATCAGACGGGACGCAATTGGCTCGCTCTCCGACCATTGTTGTACCGCTCTTCTGGGTAAATGCTCAAGGGTCCCGTGCTTACCCACACTATGATGGTGCCCTACAGCAACAACGGGAAAGCCGAACTACGTTCGCAGGCGTCAATTTGATTCGGCGACTTTGTTACGGATGCGCGTTGTCTCCTGAACGGGCGTCGGTCTGAAGGCGTTGGGCTTTGTGGCAGAATGACGTCGAGACAGCGAATGACGACGCTCGGCGGTCTTGCCCACGTCGACAAGGGCAAGCTCGTCGCGTTGACGGCCGTCTCGGGGGAGTCGTCGCGATATTGGCTCGGGCGGGGAAGACGGCGCGGGACGGCGGGCGCTGATTGGACCTTTGGGCTCACGGCCCCCATGGCAACGCGATGCGATTCTGCATTGGAACCCTCAATGAAGCACACGCCGGCGTTCGAGCCTTGCTTCTATCGCGTGCACCGCTCCACCTCGAAACTGGGGAGGGTATAAAGATCTTGGCCTTTCGATTTCGGTGACGGTGCTCTAGGTTCCCTTGCCCGGATCTTTCTCTCCTGCTAGCCCGCGCCCGTTCGTTTCGCAGCAGCGCTGCTTCTCTCTGTCTTTTACCTGTAAGCATCTTGTTTGTCTTAGATATTGTCGACGATAAGCTGACGACGATGTAGTCAAATCCTTTCACTTTAGCCGTTCTTTCCGACTTCTGAGAAGCCTCTCGCCCTAACTCCCCCCGCACAACCTTCTATACCTTTCAACTACTTTCAACGATGAAGTTCTCGTTCGCTCTCGCTGCTCTCGCCCTCGTCTCCTCTGCGAGTGCCGCCGTCACCAAGCGCGAGCCCCAGTTTGGCCGCGCTCAGCAGGGCCAGTTCGGTGGTGGCAACCAACAGCAACAGCAGCAGGCTGCCCAGCAAGCCGCTGCTCAGAAAGCCGCCCAGCAGGCCGCCCAGAACAAGAACAAGGGCGGCAACAACGGCGGTAACAACGGTGGTGCCGCCGCCGCCGCATCTGCTTCCGCTGCTGCCGCCGCTGCCGCCAAGGCCAGCGCTACTGCCGCCGCCGGTGGTAACAATGGCGGTAACAACAACGCCAACGGCGGTGACGCCCAGACGTCCACGAGTGCGTAGATCCTGTCAAAGTGACCAAGATGTGATACTGATGGAGATCTTTCAGCGCTTCTCCAGTCGGTCATTGCCACCGGTTTCGCGTCGGACGGCCAGGAGACCCCTACCGCTGGCCAGGTCGCGTCGCTCACCTCGACGAACAACTTCATCAACTTCTGCGCTACTACGAGTACGTTCCCCTGCATCCGGCTCAGGCGTTGAGCGTGTACTTACCGCACTTTGCCCCGCAGACCTTCCCATCACGAACGGGCAGCAGATCAAGACGGGTTCTTGCAACCCCGCTCCCATGGGCATGATTGCGCCCCAGACGGCTATGGTACGCGTTGCGCATAACTCTATCTCTGTGTGAAGCTTACCACTATTACAGCCGGCGGCCAAGTTCGTCAACCCTCCCAACATGGGCAACATCGCCGCGAACACTCCCTTCACTATCACGATGGCCATCAAGAACCTCCAGGCTGGGTAAGCGCGCTTTGTGACGAGTGTATTGTCCGTCGCTGACGTTTCGTATAGCAACTTCGTCAACGCCCAGGCAAACTACTACTCGGCACCTCAGCAGCTTAACGCTCAGAACACCATCATCGGCCACTCGCACTTCGTCATCGAGCAGCTCCAGAGCATGACCCAGACGACGCCTCTCGACAACACCAAGTTCGCATTCTTCCAGGGTGTCAACACTGCCGCGGACGCGAAGGGCAACCTCAACGTCGACGTCACCGATGGTCTCCCCGCTGGTACCTACCGCCTCGGCTCCATCAACGCCGCGGCCAACCATCAGCCTGTTCTCGTCGCTGTCGCTCAGCACGGTCTCCTCGATGACGTAGTCTACTTCACCGTCGGTGGAAACGGCGGTGGAAACGGTGCTGCTGCAACAGGCAACGGCGCTGCTGCAACAGCGGCCGGTGCCACCGCGGGCTCGAGCGCGGCCGGTGCTGCTGCTACTGCGGGCGCTGGCAACGCAGGTGCGAACGCCGGCAAGGGTGGCAACAACAACAAGGGCAAGGGCGGCAAGCGCTTCAGCGTCGAGCGCTCGAAGAGGCTCAACCGTCTCTAAACTCCTCGTTTACGTCTCTTTAGATTATTGCTGCATACCCACGCTATGATTCGTTCCACTTGCTCTCTTAGTTCTCGCCATGGACTGGTTGTTGTATGATAGTTTCGTGTGCCCTGCCCTCGGGGCGCAGGCTCGTCTTGCTCTATTCCAGCGGGTTTGGATCCGGCTTTGAGCCTCAGGCACCCTGAGCGGAGTGAACTGAGCTACGTGTGAGGATCGTACTCGCTATCAGCGCAAATGTCAAGCGCTAGAAAGCTTCGGTGTATTCGGGTAGCCAGGGCGACTGTACGACATCCAATGGCCACGGTAGCCCCATTCTGAACGGTACAAAAATAGCTGACTGAATAGCATTCGTCGAATGTCCGAGCATAGTCCTTACAACCCGATCACAGCTACCGATACAGTACAAGAATACCTTCCCACTCAACGGTTGCTAGCTCCGAATACAGAACGTACGTCCTTCCTCACACCGGCCCTTCGCTCCGCCTCACGACCGATGGTGGGACGCGGCGCGCGGGACTCGACCCGTAGGGCGTTTCTATGCCGCGAACGCCACTCTCCAATACTGTCCAATCCCTCCTCGTAGTGCACGTCGGGCTTGCCTTGGGCGCCAGGCCGTCCAACGCGGCGCCGCTCCGCTAGATTGGGAGGTGGAGCGCGAGCCTTCGCCCGTTCCACATGTTCGTGTGGTAGCAGCCACTCTCTGGACTCTCTGGAGTTCTCCTTCCCTAATATTTCCTTGATGCGCGTCATTTCTTTGTCCTCTTCGCGAGAGAAGAGTTTCCGGATGCTGCCAGGCACTGGAAGCATGCTGAGCGGACGTGGAGCACGGAGGGTCTGTTGCTGAAGAACGGGGCGCAGTGGACGCGATGGAGCAGGAGGAGGCACGACGATGCTTGGCCGAGGAGGGACGAGAGACGCGGCGAAGCGCTCGACTTGGAAGCCGCCAGATGAGAAGGTGAACCCTGGATAAGGGTCGGGACCCATATCGCCGCCGTAAGGAGAGCCCATATCGAGGCTGATGACCTCCGTGTCAGTGAAGGAGACGGACGCGGGCTTTGCAGTGTATGGCAGGACACCACGACCCTTACGCAATGACGACCAGTCTCTGAGAGTGTGATCAGTCTGAGACGAGAAGCAATTGAGAGGCATGGTACTTACACCTTAGCGAAGAAGGGATGAATCTTCGCGCGCGCGATCGTCAAACGTTGAAAAGGATCTCTACGCAGGAGCTATGGTGCAACTTAGCAGACAATCCGGTGACGATGAAGGAAGCGACATACCCCGCGAATGAGATCTTCAGCCCAGCGGTCAAGCTCTCCATCGACGAACGTGAGCCTTTTCGTCATAAGAACCTGCAACTGGGTCTTCCTGTCGTTCTTCGTCGCCTTGTATGGCACCTGCGAAGCGATGTGTTGAGAGACTGGCAAGCTAGCATACGAAGACAAGCACGCACCCGTCCAGTGAGCATCATGTAGAGGATGACGCCCACAGACCATAGCTCAGCGCCATATGAGTACCACTTCCCCTCCAACACCTCCTGCGCCATGTACCGTGGTGTACCACACGGAAGCTTCGTAACGTCCATGAGCGTCTCGGTATCGTCGTCCATGTTCGCAGCGAGGGCGTATAGACCCGACGACCAAGTGTTCATAGCGCTCGGGGCTTCCGGCTCGACGAACATTCTGATCATACCAAAGTCGGCAAGCATGAGATGACCATCATCGCCGATGAGGATATTGTCCGGCTTCAAGTCGCGGTGCATCATGCGACGCGAGTGAAGGTCCTCGATGCATAAGAGGAGTTCGGCGGCCACGACGGCCACCTTGTCGCGAGAGTAGACGCCCGTGCGCTTCATATCGCTTCGTAGGTCACCCTGACTTTGTAATTCCTGAAGTGTAGTGTAAGCAACTTCATATGAAGATGACAGGAAAATAACGCACCGTAAGCATGTAGAAGTAACCGGTATCGTGCCAACTTGCATGCATAGGAAGATAAGATGGACTATCTGAAGCTGAGAGAGCCCGATGCGCAATCTGCTCGCGCAGGATGAGATCAACGTGCTGCGGCTTCACCGTAGACTTATCGACGATCTTCAAAGCATAATCGCGCCCACTGAGCCCATCCTTGACATGATACACAGTGCCGAAGCCGCCCTTGCCGAGCTTGCGCACAGGCGTGAACTGGTCCACAGACAGAGGTTGGGGACAGTAAGATAGTGGAGTCCCAGACGAAGTGCGGTTGCTGACTCCTGGGGCTCTCTTCATCGAGCCAGGGCGAGGAAGGATACCGGGTACGCGTTCTCCGTATTGAAGCATGACTGGGGTCGTCGAGTCCGTTGGGGGCCTTGATCTTGAGGAAAGCGAGCGTCCAGGGACTGGAGATACAAGCTACAGCAAGAGCTTGCGCAGATACTTAGCATGGTGAAGCCGGGCGAGACAGACATTGCAGCCCGGTCAAGAACACTGACGAGCACCGAAATGGCAGTCCGGTCAGAAGATCACACAGGGGCACCGGGGCCATGTCGGTCTAAAATGCTCTACGCGGTTGAGGGTGTGGGCAGGAAAGAGGGGAAGGAGTATTTGGCATTGCTACTAGAAGGATGTCAACGTCGCAGAAGAGGAGAGGTGCGTGCAGAGCAGCGTTGGTTGAGCGCCGGTCCGCAATTGCCGAGGACGGCGTGCGAAGGTGCACGTGCAACATAGCGGCATTTTCTGGGCCTTTTCGCGACTCGGGCTGCCTTTGTGTTAGCCGGAACGTTGATGGTCTTGCGGGCATGTCGACGTGTGTAAATAACGATGCACCTATCGGTCCTGGGCAACTTCAAGACTATTGCTCGGACAAAAGACTGCTACTAGCCATCAGCGCAAGCACCCTACCTTCCATCTTGGTACGCTCGGAACTAGCACGGAATGATCAATATTATCTCGGCGCAGGTCGTGTACGGTCACCGGCCATGTTCTATCTTGAGATACATATGCCCTATTCTCGCTCTCCGACAGTCGGTCTAAGCGTCGTACACAGAACTCGCCCAGCCCAAGCCGGGACTGTCTTCAACCTCACTGTCCTCGACTATCTCGTATACTGAGCTCTTGGCGTACTCATCAAGACCTTTCAGTACCTCACCTCCACTTGAGAGCCACGTTTATACGCTTCCGCTCCGCATCAGTATCTCGGAATTGGAGCGGAAAGACGATTGGCTTGGATGCTGAAGACGTGCTCCAGTTTTCATACCCCGACTTCGCCATTAAGACTATGCCAGCCAGGAACTTTGCAAATTATGCGGCCTTCTCTCATTATAAGACCAATGGACACGAGATGAGCGGAGGGTCCTCTTCCAACCATGTTGTCCACTGTCTTTGAAGTCGGGAAACCGACTTTCCCGCCGCGCTCCTTGACGCGCCCATGGATCTCGAGGTCCACTCGAAACGCCCGGCAGGTCGAGCGTCAGTTAGAACGGGAAGATGAAGATCCCGAACTACGCATGCCCGACAAACCTTCGCTGGTCATCATCATCATGACCAATATACTCTCACAAGTCAGTCGGTCTGCCGTCCTCATCGGGAGCGCGCTTAGAATACTGACTCTACCGACGACGTAGACGAGCAACTTCATCGTGGTGTCATCTGGCCCTCAATATGCGGCCCATCTCGGAGGCACAAACACGTTCGCCGGTCTCATCATCGGTATACCGATCTTGACGTCCGGAATGGCCCTTGTACCCTTCGTACGGTATGACCGAAGTGAGTTCCACTCGTCTGCATCAACGTCTTCACCGTGCTCACATCTATATGACAGGTCTTTACAAGATACCTCTCCTCATTAGCTGCGTTGCCGCCGTGGTTGGGAACGTCCTCTACGGCCTTGCGTACCGAGCCAACTACCTCTACCTGATCCTCATCGGCCGCATGGTCCTCGGCATCGCCTTCACGAACTTCCTCTATACGAAGCGCTTCTTTTCGGACCGCCGTGTCACGGGTATACGCAGGAGAACGACGCTCGCCAGCTGGCTTGTCATCGGTCAAAGCGTTGGGTATGCACAATACTGTCGAGCACGTCAAGCATTGCACATTGAACGTCTCGTGACAGGTTCACTGTAGGACCATTTGTCGGCGGTCTGCTGTACAAGATCGGCTTCTCGAACAGCGTGTTCAATGGTTTCACGAGTCCTGGGTGGATTATGGCGACTGTATGGACGCTCTTCGGGTTGGCCACACTGTTCTGGTTCAAAGAAGTGCCCAGGCAGCTTCCGGTCGAACAGGCACTACCTCTACAACACATGTCATTACAACCCGGCACCAAAGAGGAGCAGGGTGCAGAGCAGGCCGGGAGGTCGAAATCGAGCATCGAGATCGCGGGCCGCTCATCTCATGAGCAGCCACATTCGAGCGCGCAACCCGAGCTTGAGACCCCCAGCTACCGTCCTACACGTCAACAGTGGGCAGTGATAGCGACCATGTGTTGGTTTGCCATGACATGCTTCTTCGTCTTGGGCGCCTGGGAGTCATTCATCCCGATCTACACCGCACGCGCCTTCGACAGCTCCCCCTTTGCAGCCGGCAACCTTATCGCGCTGGGTGGACTCTGCACCTTCCCCTTCATGCTCGCCAACATCCGCTTCTCGCGACGCGTGCAAGACCGCCAGATCCTTGCTGTTGGATCAGGAGTCGGCCTTGCAGGATTGCTCATGACGATAGCGCTCTTCGCCGCGGACAGGATGAAGTTTTGGTCGTTGTTCGGGTGTTGGTTCCTCGTTGCGCTGGGGTTCAACCTCGCTAGCACGGTCACGCTTAGCTTGCTCTCGAAGCAGATGCCCCATCACTGGAACGGAAGGATATCGCTGATCATCCAGTACAGCAACTTCTCAGGAAGAGTGTCAGGCGCGGTGTGGGGTGGAGCGGGCGTAAGCGTCGGGTTGAAGAGCTATGTTGGGTTGCAGCTTGCACTGATTGGGATCGGCGGGGTGATGTTCTTGACATTGTGGAGGGAGCTGAAGGCAAAGAAAGGGTAAATCACACGAAACTGTGGTATTGTACACGGCATAGCAATCATATCGAAAACGTTCTCATCTACCAGCGTTGCATTCGATCTGTCAGTGCTGGGTCAGTAGAACTCGGGCACCAGCCTGGTGCGATAGTGGCGCACCTTTCACACTCCCTGAACCTTGATCTTCCGACCGTCAAAGTTGAAACCATAGACAGGCCCAGATCCGCCACCCCACTGTTCGGTCTCGAGGAAGGGTACAGTCTCGCGGGAGTTGCCGATGAAGACGGGGATGAGGAGGTTCTCAAGTACATTCGCGTAAAGAACGACGCGGAACTTCTTGCCGCTGCTGGCGTCGGTGAGAAGAATAGGCAATAGAGTCGATCCAAGCGTTTCCTGCGTGCTACCCGTCAGGAAACTGACATGGCCCTTGCGAGACGTATCCAAGGCGGGACGGTGCTCTTCGGGAATGAACTCAAGACATGCCTATGTCGACAAGAGTTCATATGAGTATAGGCCATAATACCTCGCGCGATACCTGACGGACCTTCTGCACGAAGACCCCGTTTCCGCCGGCAAGGCAGATGGCGACGCTACCGTCGGTGGTAGGGCTATGATGCTGGAGATAGCCGATAAGATTCGGACGGTTGCCCATCGACATGATCGACAAATTGTTGGGCCATTTCCCGCGATGCGTGTCATCATGAACGGTAGGGATGTCGATAAAGGCGGGAGGATCTTCGCGAGCGTCGGTCACCATGGTGGTATAGGACGAACCAGGCGTTCAAACGGCCGAAGGAAGGATAGAGGGCTTTATCAATATGTCTTAGATCAATATCTGAGTGTGCACAGCCATTGACTGAAGCTGGGTGACATATATTTGAGTTTATGGGTCCCACTTCCCCGCATAGTGCCTGGCATTATATTCTCAGGACAACATTGTTGCTATACTTACATACACGTCCCTACAACGAGCTTCTTTCAAGGAACACACTTCGCCATCGAGACGTTGCCATCCGCTGCTTCGGTACGTCTAAATTCAATCTTCCGCCTCGCGGGCGGACTGAGAGGCTCTGTGTACGAGATTTGAGAGACATACGTAGGTCAGGCCTGAGCGCAGTATACGCTGACAGACCAGGTGATGGGGCGGGTGCACAGGACGATGAGCGGGAGAGACAAGCGAACGCGATGAAGCGCGCCTGCTGCGGGACCCGGCATCACCGACCAGGCGCTGGGCGTCTGCGCATCGGGTTGACTCTTCTCATCTTGGCTCTATCCACTCCTTTCTCCTTTTCTCTCTTATTAGTATTCTGTTTGAGCCCAGCGTCCCGCAGGTCAGCCCGAGTACAGCCCCTAACTTTGGACGACAGTCTTAAACCTGGTCCCAGGTCGAGTAGGTCCGGCTTTCTTCTTTCGCCATGCTTTCGGTGCAACGCCTGCACGCGCTGGCCGCACTGTTGTTATTATACGTTGGAGTCGCATCTGGTGAGTTGTGTTACTTATTCGTGCATGCGCGGTGGTGGTTGGTTCGGTGTCAACTGCGGCATGGAAGCGCGCCGCGCTGTGGCGAACGAATACATCGAGATATTAGCTTGCTGACTACGATCTACAGCCCATAGCGCACCACCTCGGCCACTCGCAAGGATCGCACACCCTACGACACATGCCATCGACATCCTTCCACGCACCCGCCCCGTTAAGCGCCATCACCATCATGCCCGCCAAGCAACACCGCTCGAACTTCCCGAACTCTTGCACTCAGACTCCTTCCGCTTGACACTGTCCGCCTTCGACGAGATATTCCACTTGCATCTGAGACCTAATGACGACCTCATCCACCCCACCGCACGCATCAACTATCACACAGCTTCGGACGACGGCTCTACAACGACTCGCACAGTGCCTCTGATGCGCGAGACCGTGCGCGCTTACTGGGGCGAAGTCATCGCTCCCCACCTGACTGCGGATCGGTTAAGACAGGACGCAGTCCGGGTGATGCGTCCGACGGGCTCGGAACTAGGCTGGGCGCGCATCATCGTACACGACCATGGAGATTCTGAGCGCGGCCGACCTCCTATCTTCGAGGGCGCATTTTCGGCGAACGGCGTTGTACACCACATCTCGACGAAGGAGAACTACCTGCGCAACAAGCACGAATATGATCCGCCTCTATTAATTGACCAGAGTGATCCCGACAGTGCTCTTGTTATGTGGCGCGAGTCGGACCAACTGCCTGAGATCAACTCCGAGCCTGGAAACTTTGGTGGAGGCCGCACTTGCGCGCACGACAAGCTGGACTACAACGTCAACCCCCTGCTCAACCCTACACTGCGTGCATCACCTGGGAGATCTTGGCTGAATCCTTTGGCTGATCTGCTGTTGACGAAGCGTGATGGTGATTTCTCCGGGGGCATGGATACGAAGTATATACCTATCTCACATTCATTACTGGATGTTGACGGGGATTCCAGCTTCATTGACACCATAGGTCAGAACGCGGGATGTCCAACGGATCAGCGCATCGTAAGCCCACTCTATGATTCACCATATGCAGCTATTGACACATTCGTAGGTTTACATGGGCGTTGCCGCCGATTGCGAATACGTGCAGTTGTACGGAAGCCAGGAGAACGCCACACAGCAGATCTTGAACGATTGGAACACCGCCAGTGCGCTTTACAAGAGCACGTTCAACGTCAGCCTCGGCATCATCGAGCTCCAAGTTCAAGATCCCGTTTGCCCGTCGACGATCAACGACAGCGCTCCATGGAACGTCGCATGCAATACTACTGGCGTCGACTTGAACGACCGCCTCTCGTTGTTCTCAGCATGGCGAGGCGAACGCGCAAACGATGGCGCCGGACTGTGGCACCTTGTCAGCGCATGCCCGTCTGGGTCGGAGATCGGAATCGCGTGGCTTGGAACGCTCTGCCAGCAAGACGCCACTACATCAGGCAGTTCCTCGGTGTCTGGCGTCGGTGTATCTACGACTGGAAGGACCGAGTGGCAGGTGGTAGCCCATGAGATCGGGCATAACTTTGGCGCAATTGTTAGTACTCACACCTCACTCAACGCTCAGAGACTGATACTTGCACCGACAGCACGACTGTACGAGCGGCTGTAACAGCACTTCCGCATGTTGTCCGTTGTCTACGACCACTTGCGACGCTAATGCTCAGTACATCATGAGCCCGGTCGCCGAGGCCAGCGAGCAAACGTTCTCGCCGTGCACTTTAGGCAATATTTGTATGTCATCCTCTCATGCTCACCACGACGTCTATTGACTCTTCATGCAGGCTCGCTTATGCAAAGCCAGTCCATGAACACCTCCTGCTTAGTCCCTCCGAGTCAAGACATCCGCACGATCTCCCTCAACCAGTGCGGCAACGGCATCGTTGAAGAAGGCGAGGACTGCGACCCGGGCTCCGGCACGAACAGCACCTGCTGCGACTCTTCGACTTGCAAGTTCACATCCGGTTCCGTGTGCGACTTCACCAGTTCCAGCTGTTGTACCGATCAATGTCAATTGGCTTCGTCAGGCACTGTTTGCCGCGCGGCGCGCGATGATCAGTGCGATACGGCAGAGACTTGCACGGGCTCCAGTGCGACTTGCCCCGAGGATACGTTTACGCCAAACGGGAGGAGCTGTGGGTCTAACGGCCTAAAGTGCGCGGATGGCCAGTGTACATCGCTTGACCGTACGTTCCCTTTGTTATGCCCATACAATATAGAGTATGTGCTCACTCCTTGCGCAGTACAATGTCAGACGAATGGTGCGGCGATGGGTCTGACGACCGCCTGTGGCTCCAAGGATGATACGTCCTGTCGCGTCTCGTGCCAGAATCCGAACTCGACAGGATGCGTCGTACTCGATACGCAGCTTATTGACGGTTCACCGTGTGGTACGCATCTATCGCCACACAAGTGCACTCGCTTTCTGATTTACGGGTCGGATAGGTTACGGAGGAACATGTCAATCAGGCAACTGCCAGTCAGGAAGCGCTCTGGATACATTCAGCGTGAGTCGCCATGTCGCGTCGTCCTCATTCCCATCTCATTTCTGGTGCAGGCACTCTACCGCGAGAACTTGCAATACTCCATCCCAACCACCATCATCACCGCTGTCCTCGTCACAATTCTTGTAGTATTCCTCGCGCGGTGCTGCTGCTGCAAGGGAAGCAGGAAGCGCGACCTCGCAACGCCGACGGTCGCCGGGTTTGCGTTCAATCGCAACAACCCGAGTGGACATCGGAGATTGGGAAGCAACAGCAGTCTGCTGGGACGCCACAGCCAGTTGGCAGGCGATGCGGCATCTATCGATCGGCGCTCACCGGCTCCGAATTACTCGAGCGTTGTACCGGCATTCCCGAGCTCAGTGTAAGAAGCCGTGCTCTCATCTGTGATATATGTTTATTCACATACCGGCGATAGGCAAACGCGAGCGAATGCTCTACCGCACGAGCGAAGGTTAGACAGCGGCCAGTTGCGTAGCGCGGCGAGCTCGCGACCGGGTACAGGCTCGAGTACAAGCTCCGGCTTGAGTTCGGCATCTGGTCAAAGCTCGAGCTCAGCTCGGCCTTTGACTGCACGGCAGAATAGTGCTACACGTCGGACGTTCCAGACCCAGCAGTCGCACGGTGGTTGGGTCGACGAGAGCCTGTGGAATGGGCCGAGGCGATGATGTGCATATGGGCGTAGTAGACTACCATTCGTTGTTTGCGGTCGATTATCTGTATATTATTAGTGGAATAGTTGTGGTTCATTGCTATCACATTGCAACTGGATATAGATTGGGAGCTGTTGTCACACGGCATTGTATAGTCATACAGGATATAAACTACAGGTCATAGCTTTATCAACCTATCCTGAAGCGATGCGCCTTCGGGAAATACGTCGATTGCGCTAGGTTCGGCAAAGCTAGCCCTTACAGGCGTCACCGACGCCCATCCCCTCTCCATCGCCCATGCATCAGATCCCTCCGGAAGTGTATCCAGTCGTGAGCCGATGAGCCCCGACATATCCGGGGCAAACTTGAAGCTCAGCTTGCCCACCTCTTCTTCATGCACCTCCTTCTGTCCCGCCCCTTGTGTGACAGCATCACCAGGTCCAGCGGCAGACACGTCGGGAGATGCATCCGTAGTTCGAGGTAGCGCCTTGAACAGACGACCGTACGTATTGCGCCAGATGCGCGTATAAAGTACGGGCATCCCCTCTTCCGCGAGTAGTCCTGGTACCATCGGGATATTGACGTTGTAAATATCGATCTCGCCTGCGCGTACACCGTCTGCATCTATACCCCAGTTCTTGAGAAGATGCTGAATGATAGATGCCCCGAGCGCGTGTGCTGGGAGGTACAGTTCTGCTGGAGGCGCACGTCCTACAGTCCCATATGAAAGAGCGATGGCGCGGGTGCTGGATAGTGCGGCGGATAAGGCAGCGCCAATGGTACCAGAAGATAATGCAAAGGCAGCTGTTTCACATGATGAGCATGCGACGAGTATAATGATAGTATAGAGCACATACAGGACGTGTTCCGTCCAAGATTGGGGCCACTGAGCTGCAGCATTGTGAGCCAATACTCGTAGACGACGGCATGTTGCTCGTACCACAAGGTCAATCTCATCCTTGTACAGATTGTGAAGAGCAATATTAGAACATGATGCCGGGGTGCCGTCCAACAGGACCCATTCGCCGAGTTCGCCCTCCTTCAGAGGCCTGGATGTTTCTGATACCTCGCCTTCCCCATCTGGCGACGGAGTAGTTTGTCAGACGCCGTACTCGTAGACGCATCATTTGGATGCGCGCACCTGGCAATTTGGGATAGAAGTAGTTTCCCTGTATGGTATCATGTATCTGATACGCCTTGCCTGCACGTCATGAGCTTCGACCTGTCCCACCCCGCACGAGATTGCTCGCACCGATCCACGACTTCTGCGAGCTCGGAATCACGACTTTCACATCCCATCCTGGCAGAGAAGTCAGTGACTGGGTAAGACACCGTGACGGGGCACTGCACACCAAGTTCGGTCGTAAGGTAGTGCCAAAACCCGAAGATGTACGGTGAAGACTCGGCACTCGGCGGACCGTCATCGTTCTGTGCACACGGTAAGATCAGGTGCAGCACTTGATAGCGAGTAGTTGTACGGTGAGGAGCACGCGGAATCTGGTGTTCGACATTGGACGCAAAGGACCCCGTTGTGGCGGTTCGAAAGCAAGCGACTGTCACTGAGATCATCCTCTGATCGCTTCGTTGTGAGATCAAGATTGTGGCGCGTTGGCCTTTCATTATGACGTGCTACTCGGAAGACGCTAAGACAGTAGACTATAGGTCGCCATGGCATCCGATTCTGGGTCTATACGTTACAGCGATGCACCATATCATCGGTATCATGAATCCCAGCTCAGTCGACGTGACATATCTCAACGCCGCCCCTTCGAAGACTGAATGGGTCGTGCTTCCCTTCTCCTCAAGACACTCCGGTGAGTTCGCTCACGCGGGAGCCAGCGCTTGATCCATCGTACAGGCCTTGAAGGTCGTGACGGTTGTCACAGTCCGAGCGCTATCCCATATGCCTGTCGCGGACAGCAAGTTCTCCTCGACCATCAATTCTTGCAGGTGTGCCCCACCGGACTCACGAACATGCAGAAAGTCCATTAAGGCAATATCGTCCTTCTGCGTGACTAGCCCGTCATGCAAGACTAGCGTTTCGAGTTGGGGAAAGAGCTTGAATCCCGCCTCCGTGCCAAGATCGGACTTGGCCGTAAGAGCGAGGAAGAGATCCACGGTACGTCGGTACGACACAATGAGCGTGCGCACATTGGTTGCGCCGGCGAAGGCGTCTATCCAGGCGTTTGGGTCGGGGAAGTTGTGCTTGGCGACGGAAGACGCTACACTGACTACCCGTAATGCACTCATGGGCAGGAGGTGAAGGTAGGGATACACTCTCCAGCGGCTGATGCCCGGGATCCCCATGCGATTGGGATCCGCAAGCCAAAGATGTTTGCTGGAGGTCATTCGGCCTGCACGCTCGAAGGATCCGTCTATCCTGACACGCCACAAGGACCGCGGTCGAGCATTGGCGTAAAACATGACGATGTGTTGACTCGTGAGAACAAGTTCCACGGCCGGGTAACGATCATCGTCCCAGGTTTTGAACAGTTCGCGGACAATAGGTGTCAGTACTGGTTCATCTTCAGTACTGACGACAACCATGCCGCGTGTGCATCGCGCTCTCTCGAGTAAAGGTATGTGTCCGGCAGATAGTCTAGCCGTGGATGAAAGGCTGACGAGGCTCGCAAGGCTTCTTGGAAGCTCGTATTGCGTCGATGAAACGGATTGCTGTGGCAGGACGTCTCTCAGATCGAGGGCACGAAGGCTGTTCATAGTTGTTATGACAGGGAGCAGTTGAGGCTCGAGAGATATCGCACTGAGCATCATTTCGCGTGTATGGGCTTGAAGCGAAAGATGCGTCAGGCCGGACGCGAACATTGGCCAATTCCAGTTCAATGCCAGCCCTCTGATTGTAAGACGTTGAAGGCGAGGAAACGAAGACTCGGCCAATCGCGCATCCAGATCGGCAGACAATCGGACGGTGATCGGAAGAGCTAGGGCGAGCTCTTCTAGAACGGGCATGTCGTCGTCGAGAAGTCTGATACAGGCGCCAAATTCGGATATTGACATGTCTGTGATGGAGAGCTCCCGTGTCCGACGTAGTACTGGCGTGTACAACCAATTGCCAAGAGCGTCGGGAGACAGGCCTGACCGATGTATGGCGAGAGAAAGTGGCATCGTCTTGGAACGGCTAAGAAATGTGGCGGTGAATGAAGGTGGCAGATTCTGACACGCAATTCGTGTCCATAGATCTGGGGTGTGCAGAGCAGTCTGATGATATGGTTAGCGTCTTGGTCGTCAATCATGGAAGGAAAAAACATACTCTCCGCCACCAATGACAAACGTGTGTCACTGTCATCCAAGCATAGTCGAACCTCTGACTCCAAGGTCCGGCATTATCAGCAAGTTGCGAGCGCTGCACAGGCTCCCAAATCGTTTGCAATGACACGAAGATAAGAGCCAGAAGTTCAGACGGCAGGCGACAGCCAGGTGTCGCGAAGTTTCTGCGCCTCTTCGCTACAACCAGCTGCTTCTGAAAGACATTCAACTCAAGATCTAACGTTGATAGGCGCGCTTCCAGCGAGTCGGTGGCGCCATCTTTGACTTCATGATCGAACCGAGAGGCAATGAAGGAATCCCATGCTTCTCTGTGAGTCCAGGCATTCAGTATTGGACGTTGGTCAAGCACACGAATGGTCCGTACTGGGCATTGATGGGTTGAGACATGTGTTGCCGGACGGTGGTCGGCGTAGCAGGCAAGTAGATGAATGGCATGTTGCGCCCCTTGATGCATCTCGGCAAAACGCGAGACCCACTCACACGAGCCTTGAGGCAGAGTACTGCTTCCATTCATCCGTCCATGTCCGCGAGAAAAGATGTACAACACTTGATATTAAGTCATGGGGTACATGGTTGCGATAGACTTAAGCTGGAGGCTGGTACGGTTCGACGAGCATCTTGCTGAACTGCTTGAGTTTCTCTGGCCCACGGACCTCCTCCGTCAATAGTGGAAGCGTTACGATATGGAAGAACTCTTCATAGAGTTCGTGCGCCTCATTAAGATACTTCTGTTGCATCTTGTGACGTACTTGACAGTGCTCGCAGTTGGATCCTGGTCAGGCCATTTAGCCTGATACCCCCATCACTATTGTGACAGAAACGCACCAGATTTAGGGAAGAGAAGCTGATTGATGACGATATTGTGCGAGTCAATCTCGTACGAAGCAAGCTCCTGGACCAACCGTTCTGTCTCGTACAAAGACAGGAACTCCGCGATGCAAACACAGACGAACGTCGTCTTCTCCGCGTCCTTAAACTGTGAATTGACCTCCGTGATGACGGCCCGCATGCTCTCAAGCTTCGCGAACATATCCTCCGTCTGATCTGCCTGGCCACCCATGAGCGCAGACATTTGCTGGATCATCGGCCCCATGCGCCCAGACAAGGTGGACAGCTTGCCGAGTGCCTTCTCCAATACGGTCGGGAATGACAAGAAGCGCAGAGTATGACCTGTTGGTGCTGTGTCGAAGACGATGACCGAGAACTCCATAGACTTGACATGTCTAGTGTGCATTGTCAGGAGGCCGTCCATGTTCAAGATTATCACGACGTACTTCATGATCTCGGCGAAGCTCATCGCCTCGTCAACACCAGGAATGGCAAATGCAAGGTCTTGCATCATCCCGCCCATCATGCCGTTCTGGTCAGCTAAGCGTCTGCTCAGTCGGCGTGTCTAACTCAAGAAGGTCAACCACTCACACTGCTCTACCATCTCCTGGATAGCGCTTGTGGGGTCGATCTCCATGGCGAACAGGTTATCGAAGCCGTTGACCTTGGTCGCATCCTTAGAAAACTTCTGGCCAAAAGCGTCGGAGAGGTTGTGGGCCGGGTCGGTGGACTAAGACCAAGAGCACTTCATGTCAATCAAACGGGCTTCCATGCACGAGGTAGGCGCGCGTACGATCAGAAGAACGGACTCGCGGCAGGCAGCGAGTTGTATAGCAAGAGAGCACGAGGTTGTAGTCTTGCCTGATCGGGTTCCATATGAGACGAACCGACATAAATGTCATCGACAAGCAGGCGTACCGACACCACCCTTGCCGCCTACAGTGGGGTATGAGCGTTAAGCTAGCCAGAGTAAACGCGTCGGGACATGCCGCAAAAGATCCACTTGAGTGACTTCTGGTCCAGCACATTCTGAAGCGTCGGTGGGAGGGGTTCGTCGAGATCGGCCATTGTTATTGAGTAGGAAGGAAGATGGAGTGGTCGTGGGTCGTGGGTGAGTTGAGGCAGCCTGATAGACACGCGCGACCTGGTTTTGCACGCGTCGTTACTTCTCGCACCTACCATCACCTTCTCGTGCGCGCTAGCTTCGACAGGAATGAGCTCAAACACGGGCCAACTTTCGTTCAGAGGTATGTTGCGCCGACAAGATAGTCTTGATCGCGTGCCGATGCGCGAACAGCGCTCCAGCTCGCGAATGAGCAGCGCAACCAGTTCGGTATGCGGTATAACGACTATGAGCGCTATAGGTATGTCACATACCCAAGATATCATACCAGGGTAGCTTCTGATATTTCTGCAGGAAGCATTGCGCCAACCGGACACATCGTCTGCGCTCAACGCTGAAGATGACCCATGGCAAGGGTCGTGAATTCAAGAAGCTCCCTGCTGTATCAACAGAGAAGTTACAGGACGGCCAGTACGTATACCTCTATAGAGTCTATATATGATCTACAACTCAATGTTCTACCCTCAGTCTTCAGCTTCTTCTCTTCGAGGCAGAGCGTGCATGGTCCTACTCGCAGGAGCTACTTGCCCAGTCAAACCTACCCGCCAACGACGATCGTGCTGGGGGACTGCGTCATAACGCTACTGGTCGCTTCAGACGTGCCGTGCACTGGGCGACACAGCTTCTCTCTCAATGCCAGGCTCTGCACGCTGCTGGTCGTCTCAGCGCGAGCGGTCTTCTGGAAGTGACCGCATATACGCTGGTCTTGAACGGCCGTTTCCTGCGTTACCGCGAAGAGTTCGAGGACGCCCTTGTGCAGCTCTCGGTTGCTCGCGGTATCTTCAACACGCTCGCCACCCGGGCGCGCACAAGCCGTGATCAAGCGCTTGCCGTCTACTTCGCGGACGAAACTGGCCCTGAAATTCGCATCTGTGCCCACGAACTCGGCAGGGAGCGCTCGTACGACGTGGACGGAATAGCGACCGAAGTTGGCTCCAAACATCGCGCCGATGTCGTAGACGGATATGACAACCTGATATCTCAGCTGAACAGCGAAAGCTCCGCCGGCCAACAGGATGACGCCCGGAAGCGTCTTGAGGCTCTCGAATGGGAGGGAGAGCCTGTCCCCATTCGCAACCCTGAGCTTGTCGATGTCCTCATCAAGGTTCAGGAGGGGGAGTTGAAGCTCAAACGCGAGACGGCAGAGCTTACGGAAGCCGCCCAATCCGGGAAGAAGGGCAAAGGAAAGAAGGGCAAGGGCAGCAGGTCAAAGCGCAGCGTTGCAGCTTATGACAACATTCTACTCGCTTTGAGCGACGCCGAGGATGTTGCTCGCAAGTTGGTCGAAGCTCAGCAGGTCTGTACCATTCTACCAGGTTTCAGAACTACACGCTAACGCATCGTGCAGCTGAGTGGATCAACATCCGCAGCGACACCTGGTACTCGCGACATTCAGTTCGTACACACGTACATCGTGTATCAGCTTTTATCGCGGCGTATTCAACGCGACCTGTTGCTTGTATGGACCCTGCTCACTTCGCATCATGCCGCTCGAAAACCGGCACCAGCTGCCACCGTCAAGCCGCAAAAGGAGGCCGTGGATGCCCGTCTCTATCCTGGTCTAGTCAAACTGCTGGATACCGTCCTGCAGAGCCTCAACCAGATGCGGACGTTGTCCATTGTGGACGATAGCCCAGATCTAGCGAGTGCCGTAGAAGGACGGATCTCGTACACGAGTGCGCGCAGGTAATATCATCACCATATTCATATCGAACGCTCCAGCTCACCAAGCCTGATAGATGCTTGTATCTTTCTCGTTGCTACTCACCGGTGAAGAAGTACGCCGAAGCGCTCACGCTCGTACAACGCGGTCAGATTCATCTCCGCGAAGCAAGTTCGACCCTCTCGACCCTGGAAGCCGACCCGATTACTCAGGGTTCACCCGCCTTCTTCTCCCTTACTCCTGATGAGCTGGCGACGATTGGCTCCGAGCTTGACGCTGACGCGGCCTCGCTCAAGTCCTCTTGGTTCGCATTCAATGGCGGCGCACTCAAACCCAGTTCGGACGGCTACAAGAAGCCTCTCTTCTTTGACATTGCGCTCAACTACGTACAACTGGACATGGAGCGATTGGAAGAACGTGCGGGTATAGTGAAGAAGGCAGCACCTACACCGATACCGGCAGTGCGGAATGACACAGTGCAGGAGAAGAAGGCGAAGGTCGAGACGGAGATTAGTCGGACTGCAACACCTGAACCCAGCGCAGCTCCGGCGAGGAGCGGGCTTGGGAGTCTCCTGGGAGGTTGGTGGGGCAAGCAATGAACTGCATCGTGTGTATAATGAATCATTTCCCGTGTAACTTCATCAACCGCGATGTTCATCTACGTTGTATTCATGCCATCCGCTCCGTCTTCGGCGCCGTTCTCGCAATGAGCTTTTCTTCTGACTCACAAGCATCGTTAGACATCGTCATATGCAGTACGGTAAGGTCGTAACTCGTCATATCATCATTGATGCCGTCGGTCACCCAACAACAGCAAAGGGCCCTTCCCCTCGTCCCTCGTCTCGTGCGTCTGTCCGTAGTTCACCTGTCCATGTTCTGGTCCCGATGGCTTTATGCCCTCCAGAATGTTGGGCGATATCCAGTCTGGACCGTACGTATGGAATGGGGGCATCTCATGAATCCCAATCCTCGCGGAGCTTTCTGTCTCCTGGAGATGGGCAGTTGCGCAGGAAAGGTCGGCGAAGATCAGGGTGCTCTCGGGTGCACCGTTTGGCTTCATAAGTGGATGGAGTTTCTCGTCATACTCACCTCTCTTGAGATCACTAACACTGCACCAGGATACATCAACAAAATCGCATACTGAGGGTGGAAGGAGAAAGGACTGACATAAAATGCAACATAAAATCGCTCTGAGCTTCTTCGATAGTGAGCCTTTTAGCTGGGTCCATCTCCAAAAGCTGAGGAACGTGAGTCGCGCTGCCTCGCATCGTGATAAGCCGACTTACACCACACAGAAAGTTGTATATCTGGATATTCAACTGTTTCTTGAGCTGCCGGGCCATGCGTTCGCCACCTTCGCCACGATCTTCTCCCGACATAGACCACACATAACTGATGTACTCGTGTAGAGAACGTGCCTGCGAAAGCACGTCTGTGGACGTGAAAAGCTCGGGTGCCAACAGCTCAAAATACGGCTGAAGTGGAGACGCAATCTTAGTATCCGTCTGAACTAGACGCGACGTAGTTGGCACTCACATCGTTCAGCATCAAGGCGAACTCCAGTAGTGTCATGCCAAGACTCCACATATCCGCACGTTGAGTTGGACAGGCAACGTCGGATCTTCCCGTAGGGCTTGAGACCCACTCCAGAACTTCAGGCGCCATATAGGCGGTAGTCCCGCAAGCATGGTTCAAAGGAGTATCTCGGTAGGTTCTACCCATCTCCGCACCATTTGCAATGCTGGGATAAGATAGATCAAAGTCACCTAGAACTACATGGCCTGTCGGGGTTACGAAGACGTTGTCGGGCTTGACGTCGAGATGAACGATGCCCTGCTTCTGTAGCTCTTCCATCGCAAGGAGCTAGTGCAAGGCGATGCTACGTCAATCTAGTGCACGGTATACCATGAGTTGAGCTACACTTACTAGTTCAGCTGCGTATAAAGCAAAGCTCTTGCAAGAACTCGTCTTGTATTCAAGGTGATACAACTTCCCAGATTTGTTATTTTTCTTGTTTAAGTGCCGGATATATTCGCTCAAGTTGCATGTGTACCATCTCTGCACGCGTGAACATGTATGAGCAGACATAAAGGGGTAACATCATCGGAATACGTACCGAGACTATGTATAGCCAGTCTCTATCCTGGAATGTCGCCAATGCCTGGTTACAGAAGGCGGCATTCGCGACGGCTAGCTTTCGCATCGACCGTAACTCGGATAAAGCCTGCGCATAAGAAGAAGATCTCGGTTGTTCAGGTTTGGAGTCCTCCTCCACTATCCTGGCCTTGGATCTCATCTTGAGCACGACTTGCGCTGGAAAGTTGGACAACCCGCCGCCGAAGGGGCGAGCTATGGCGGCATACACGATTGCATCGCGAGGTTCGGCCAGCGATCCTACGAGTTGAAAGGCGACCCCGCTTCCCGTCTCCTCTCCGTGCTCCAGCTTCTGAACATACGTAAAGGCAAGTGTTTGTACCGCAGAGGGTGATGGCAGCTCTGTCGAAGCCCCATACACACGAAGACGGCTGGGATGCTGGGATGCGGCGGCGGGATGTACCAGGCCAACCTGAGTGCCGGTTGAGGCAACGCTCGTCTCCGGGGTGGCGTAGATGGGAACTTCAGAATCTACGCCAGATGTGCTACCATTGAGTTGGCAAGATTCATGGCGGGGTCTCCTGAGATACTTGCGCGTCAAATTGGCGATCTTTGATATGAAAGCAGGACGAGGGCGACGTGACGGTGGTGTGGCGGAGACGGCGGGTGTTGGTGCTGTAGAGAGAGGGGGATCGACGTGAGGTGTTGAGGCATGTCGAGTACCGCTGGGACCGAGCGCAAGAAGATGCGGTATCAAGTGGCCCATACTTTGAGGACTGTAAACGGAGTGATGAGAGGGCGGGCGATAGGTGAACTAACCAGATTATTCGAGATGGGTGGCACTTTATACCACGAAGCTAGTGTTGATGAGCCGCAGAAGCCCTTGCTTTGTCTGCTATCGAAGATCATGAAGCCTTTGTTCTCGTCAGGGACTGTAGGATAACAAAAGCCAATGTTTGATGGAGGGGTGGACGGCCGACAATAAAGGAAATAGGTGTCCGGACTGTGACCTCGCTGGCGTGCGTATATATGCAAAGTGCCGATGGCCAGCACATCGTGGGGCGAGTAGGAGGTCAAGTGCCTTGCGGCTGGTGGTGATAACGGCAAAAGCCAATCTTCAGCCGACCATTGAACCAGCAACAACAACATTCACCACGTGTTCGGACACTTCGGTCCGGGGACTCGCCGCTTGAGCGGCTCTGAAGGACCAAGGAAGATATTCTGTAGTAGGGCCATCACTCTAGCTATGTACTTCCAGTGATATCCACCCCGAGAGCTTGACTGACCATGACATGATCTTGGTCAACAGTACGCCAGCCGTAGGGCTCAGATGCAGTAGTACGGACGACGACGTCGGGCTGTGTCAACATATGCGATGAAGCGATGAAGATACAGTATCCAATACATGACACTTCGAGGGCTACTTGACCCTGACCTCCCCGTTCTCTAGCCTACGTCTCCTGGCCGGTGCTTCATCGTTCTGTGGGGGAGCCCATGGGATACCCTGCGGGAAAGGCGATTGCGATGGATGATATTGCAACGCAGGTGGGTAAGACGGCATGTGTTGGGGTCCAGGCGGAGGCTGGGTCTGCTGTTGTTGTGCATGATTGCGCCGATATAATGTAGGGAAGAAGTTGACAAAGCCTCCAGCAAAGCCGATAGTCAAGATCGTGAAGGCCTGTGTGGAGAAAATGCAGGATCAGTCTCTGCTTGGATGTAGTTTAGAAGACCAGCATACAAAGGTTTTGAGGGATATAGGCTCGACGAAGGCGTTCCATACGTCTGCAACGGTGGCTGCGAAGAGCGTACTGCGTTCAAAAGCATCGGGATCCCGTTGCATGCACGCCTCCCATGCGGCGCATTGCCTAACCATGGCTGGGACTGGACCACCCTCACACCCGTTTGCACGCCAGTTGACAGCGCAATGGGAGATCTCCTGCACGATAGCTACATGCAGATGTTACCGGTACTTCGTAAAGACTTGGTTTACAAGACTCACTCATGGTCTTGTCGGCAATCTTCACCCGCATGTCTTGCTGGAAAGTGAGGATGATCTGACCGACGGCGTAGAGGAACAGCAGGACGAGGCTGCTATTGAATGCTACCTGAAGATATCTACGTGTGCAGAATCAGTATCGACGTTTTCATCTGTGCATAGTATTCGTGTACCCGACGAGTTGAACCGATAGGTCCTGCACAGGCGGGGCAGGCGGTTGCATATTCAACGTATAGTGATGCGAGGTCGTGTGCGTCCGTGGTTGGCGTGACTTTCGAGGACTTGAAGGCAATTCATCATCCAGTTCATCCGCATTCTCCCCCTCGCTTTCGCTCTCACTCTCAACTGTTACCGCGCGTCTATGCGAGCTGCGTGTACGCCGACGAAAGACGCGCTGAACGGCGCCATTCGAATATCGACGCCGGTCTGACTGATCGAGACTCGCATCCGCCATTTCAATATCCGGTACGTCTGACGCAGGGGAAGGCGTCCAATCTGGCTCGTGTTGTGTTTGCGGTGGTGGGAGATGGAAAAGGAAGACACTATGCGGACCCTTTGCGCCAAATGTGGGGACTGGGGTGGATGCAGGAGGCGTATTGAAATCAGGAGGGGGAGTCTGAAGTTCATCATGAGATCCTAGAATGCAGTATGATGCGATGAGTACGCTTGCGATAATATGGAGATCCACGGAAACATACGTTTCTGAGCAGAACGCCACGCAGGTGGATTAGGTTGTGACGATGAGGTGCGTTCCCAGTCCATAGGAGCTTCTCTCGAGCGCTCTTGTCGTGACATGTCGTACAGGCGTGAAAGGAGATACGAGCCCCAACTCGAGACCCGAGATGAGTTCTGGGAGCAAGTTGAGATCACGCATGATTGACACGCAGCGAGCGAACCACGCACGCGTCGGCGGCAAACGCGTCGCGTCGACGCGTCCCACCTGACCGCGAGCTGCCATGAACTTCCTGCGCCCGCTCAGAACTGCCTCGACCAGAACTCTACGTCCATGTCAATCTAAGACAAGAAGTTTGCATACGCCTGGCTCATGGTTTCCGCCTTCCTCGGGTCCACGGCCGCTTGCGGGCGAGTGGTCGGAGCCGTCAGGCTCAGGGCTTGTGCCCATTGTGATTGAGCAGACAGTGCGTGGCGCTTCAGACGGATACACATTGTGACTGTCTTTGACATGAAAGTAGGGCCGAGGAGAACGGTCGTATGATATATTCTCCAGGTTATTGCGGGAACGTGTCATCATGCTCTATGGACCGGTACGAGCAATACCCTCGCGAGTATAGTCGAGCCATCTGACCAATCATAGATCCGAGATGCGGACTCCGCACTCATCGTATCCCAATTACTGTTCTTGGAGGCAGAAGAGACGTCCAAGCCTATACACCTGTACATCAACTCCCCGGGAGGTTCGGTAACAGCCGGACTTGCCATTTATGACACAGTAAGCACTACGACTTCCCTCGCATGGCTAATAGCTAACTGTCGTAGATGCAGGTTTGACGCGAGATCATATGCTCGTGAGTATACAATTGACGGTGCCTTCAGTACGTCTCCTCGCCCATACACACGTACTGTGTGGGTCAAGCTGCCTCAATGGGATCGTTGCTCCTCGCCGCGGGCGAGAAAGGCAAGCGGCATGTTCTTCCGAACGCCAGCATAATGATCCACCGTACGTGAGTCCGATGCGCGCATGTACCCGCGACTCACGCTACCTCACAGAACCGTCTGGCGGCGCAAGCGGTCAAGCGAGTGACATTGCCATCCATGCGAAAGAAATCCTGCGCATCCGCAAGCTATTGACCGGCATCTACCAGAAGCACTGTGCGCGCTCCGGGGAGGCCGAGGCGGAAGGCTTGCAAAGATTTGAGACAGCTCTCGAGCGGGACTATTTCATGACGGGTACGTGGGCTCACGCGCTGTCACCCTAAATTCAGAAGCACTGAATTTGCTTTCTACAGCTCAAGAAGCGCTCGACTTCGGAATCGTGGATGGGATCTTGGAGAAGCGGCCGTCTGCAGAGTCGTGAGAGACGGGAAGAGGGTTGCCTAGGCTCCACGTACTGCGCGGACAGCTCCCAATACGCTTGTTCGTAAGAGGTTACATGGCGGCGAATATTTGCCAACGGCGCAGAGGTCCGTCGGGTTGTGGTTGCACGGGATCCTCCGCTGTTAACACGGCTATGTGCCGGTACCATGTTTAAACCCAAGATGCATATGCAGTAGCTGTGGGTGTGGGCGCGCATACATCAGCATTTGGCCTGTGATGATTCTCCCTGGCTCACGACCAGCGCGGGGCCGCGCATCTATACTTATTGAGCTGCATCGCAGCCCGGTCTCAACCTTCGTCTGGACCGTCGTTCTCAAACCAAACGCTGAATTCAATTCTCCTGGGATTCTCGTGTCCGTACCGCCTTTGGTCTTTCCCCTTCTCTACCTCAAACGTTGCTATTATCCCGTGCACCTTATCTAAGGATGTGTCCAGAGGCACTTCTTCAGATGCAGTCTTGGAAGCACCATTACGAAGGGTGCCTCGCGCCTTCGACAATACATTATCCATCACTATATGGACACGATGGTCGCAGCAGATCTCGATAGCCGATGAACGAATTGCAAATCATCGTTCCTCGTGAGACCGATCATAGTTGCTGCATACGTGAGGCTGGTACCTCCTCTTTACATGCAGTATTCGAGCACTCGTCCGTGGTTGCGCAACTCAAACTGAGAAAAGAAGGACGTTGCCAGTATAGCGTGAGAACCTCCTACCGACGCGGGATTCAGTCGCGTCGGGCGCGAGGTCGCGCTTCCTGCTCCTGACTTTCACCACGAGCAGAATGCTCTTCCTCGGCCTCTTCTTCCAGAGAACTTTCCCCGATGCTCATCATCTGCATGTATAGTTCATACTATGGGACTTGTCCGGGAGCGCCGCAACACTTCCCACAGTCAATGCGGCAATGCTCTACCCTCGGCCGATGATACCACCCAAGTTACGACGTTTACACCCGCCTCAATCCCGTGCCGCTCTTTGTCCCGGCCAAGTACGGTTGCACGGTCCTACGCGGGTAACTGTCGAACGCCGTTATTCCTGCCTTTTTACGACACGTATCACTGCCCCTCTCTTGCGCTGATCATTCGGAATGACCTGAAATCGAATATGGAAACAGTGTCTGCAACATGCCCGGTCTAAGCGCATGATGATCTCGTTTGACAGGTTCGAACACACCGGCCATTCTCAATATTACGGACTGGTGCGCAGGAGTCTAGAGCGATTCTGTTCTCCGGGAAAGGATCAACTCCCTGGCAATGTTCTTCCCGATATGAATGAGCGATAGTAGTATGCAGATATAATGTCATGACAGACTTCAATTCCGTTACCGATATGAAACATATTGACACTCGACTATCTTGATAGAGAGCGAAATGTCGGGTATGGGATTTTGAGACCGCGGAGATTGGGACGGTTTCGATGCATTAGTTTGGGCCTATGAGCGGTGCGACTCAAGGCAGCTTCATGCAACATTGACCCGACAAATCATCAGACAGAGTCATCGGAAGACGTTCCGCCTCACACTGCGCAAGGTTCCTTCTCATGACGCGGAAGGAAGCAGCAGGAGGAAGCCTGTGTCAAGGCAGCGCCTATCGGCCATCTATCCCAGGTTCTCAGCATCTCACTAGCATCTCATGTGTGGGAGCATTCTAATCAGACCTTCCGTTGACCACGCCATTAGAATATAGCGTATAGCCCACAGGGCCCGGTCGGGTTCTCACTGCGCGAGCCGTCAAGTTCGAAGACGGCAGATCTTCTCGCAATTCGCGACACCTCCCACACTGCTTCCTTTCGGCACATGGCCGTCCATGGAAGAGAGCGTAAACGCCGCTGGCTGTATAAGGTAGGCGCTCCGAGATCTGTTCGGGCTGTTCCGCCGTGCAGTTACGTCGAGGTGAGGTTGACCGACTGCCGCGCGCATACCGCGCAGCGTTTCTTCTCAGGACACCACTTTCGCACGGTACCCTTCGGGCTGCTACGTATGAGACTAAGTGCCGACCTCTCGCAAGGAGAGCGCTTCGTTCCTCGGCTCTGTGGTCCTAGCATATAGCTGACTTCGAAACCCTGACAGCTGGAGCCCTGTGTGCCTTCGTAGAGTCAGTGTACGCGTGTGCCACACGCGTCGGCCGCCCTAACAGCCTCCCTTGACAGCTGCTCTCCATGGAGACGCTCAATTGAGAGATGGAACCTTGTCTTTTTCCACTTCTCGAAGCAAACAGGCTAACACCGGTGGGGATCGGCCGCCTTCTCTCCAATTGTTCGGGCACCTGATGATAAAGATGAGGCGCGCATATATGCGCGCAGGTCCTCGTCTTCTGATCCTCCGCGTTGCTCGCTCAGTAACCCTTAGCCGTACATGGAGATCGCCTCCGAGTTTATGCGCACGCACGGTCGGGCAATCTGCGGGGATCTTGCCACAAGACGCCCGGTGACATCCGGCGACCACATCTCATCAAAACGCCACCATTTCAGGCAACGCCTTAATTCAGTCATCGCGATCCGCGAGGCAAGTGTCAGGCGCCGATCTGAGCATCAAGCAGGCTACGATCACTGCTACGTCAAAATAAGCATCGAGACTGCAGTGGAAGGGGCTGTTCATGAAGTTTCATTCATCAATGCGCGAATATGTGCGCGAGTGGCGCAGAGGCAGATGTCGCGAGCAACCCAACTGGATAGACCTATACCCTTTTCAGCGCATAATACTATCTCTATGTGTCAATGACGCTCCGCTGCGATACCGATGCAATATCGGCGTAGATCGCTAGTCCACTTACCTCAATTTAGGCATGGGTACCATGCGCTTCTGGGACCGGCGGAGACGTTTAGGTCCACGACGTGCTACAAGGCGACTGATCTGAATGTGCACACCGCCCACATTCGGTAGCGGGAGTACCTGATGGGCGCATATGTTTGAGTTAGACTCTGTTGTCGGGGCTGGAATCGCCTCCAGCTCGCGATCTGCCGCCGGGAAAGCCACGCACCATTCCAGGTGCGGATGCGCGGCGGCGGCGCCTCGAGGCGCGAGGTACGCCCATCCAGCTGAAGAATGACGGTAGACGCGCGCCACAGAAGTTCGTTGAACGGAACGCGCTGTTACGCCGCAGGACGTTCGTTCCACCAAGTCCAATCTGTCTCGAAGGCAGCGGCGGCCGCGCTTCTTTCCCCATCCCATCCCGATGAAAGCGTAGGCCCCACTTGGTCGGGCTCTGAAGGCGTGTACATATATGCGACCCTTCGCCGATACGGATTTGATACAACTTGATATAGTTGATTCGCTCGTGCGACTTTGCGAGAACAAGGTCGGCGAAGACCGTATTCGGACGTGTTGCGCTCGCTTCTTCTGTGCATCCTGTCTATCGGCCCGGAATCAGCGAAGATTCCTCGCGGCAGCGGGGTGTGTATGCGAAACAAGGTGCTTCTCTTCTCGTCATCGTATCAAACCCACGGGGCGGACAAGTGCGGTCACAGGGCACGTTCTGAGGAAAGGGACCGTACATCACTGCATGCGAACGGCTTCTGGCGCAAGGGCAAGTACACGGTAGAATGTGATTACGGTAATGATTCGGGTACAGGAAGACGTGCACAGGGCGCATGGGGGACTGATCTGGAGTCTGGGTCCGAGATGGATGGCATAGAGAGCTTAACGCATCCGGAAATGAAGTGAAGAGCTTGTAGCGCATGGCGGCTTCGTTGCGCATGACCGCCAGGCTATAAAGATCGCAGTGCGGCTTGTGAACAGAAGGCTAGGACAAGGAAGGTTCTCCAGATGGATTCATCGATCGCTGCGTGTCCGAGTAGGCCCGGTAAAGGGCAGGGTCAGCTGTGGTAAAGCTTGCTTCCGCGTAAAGTAGTGTGTCCGTTTACGCCCTCATCTCGGGCGCGTGCTCGAAATGTCAGAACACCTCATAGGGCCGGTAGAAGATAAGCCCCAAACAGCCATGCTTCTGTCCATATACGGTGCAACCTTTACCGCACACAGCGAAGTTGCGCGGCAGGACTTCGCTAATCAGACCCCATGCTAGCACAAGCTCTGCTTTATTGATTACACGATCACAGCCCTGATTCCCAAGAGATAAGTAGCGACGTTGCGTCAATGGCGTCGTGTGTGTATGCGTTCCACGAAACATGCGATAGGTGCGCTGTGTCTCGGATCGCGACTAGACCCGAGAGAGCCGGAGAACGCGCAGGAGTTCCTACAGATGAGATAGCCTGCGACTAGCGCGCAGGGGTGGGACGGCCACGTTGCGCGTATCTGACACGACTCATCGCTCGGATGGTGTACACCTGAGGCCTGAAGCCTGAAGCGCTGTCAACGAACCATATATACCACATGAAATAACACTTTCGGCCCACTGCCGTAAAACCTTCCTGTTGAGTTCAGTCATTGCCATTGTAGTGGATGGCGCCGGTTCCGGTTCCGAACGATGCTAGTACACGGGTGATTGATAGATCAATACGTATGGACTGTATAAGATTTATCGTATTGTGGCGTCGGGAAATGGGACGTAACACATCGATCTGCGATCCTCCGAGGGAACCTGTTCATGAAGATGTGCCCGAAGTCGCTGTACCAACTCTTGTAGATTCGCATGCCGTTAGTCATCATCACGGATGACAACCAGACCCGAGAGCGGTGGGCGTTTGATCAGTAACGCGGGTAAGAAGGAGAGAGCAAACGGAGATGGATTTGACGAGCAGGATGATAGCTATACAACAACAGTACGAATCAGAACCGTCTAGCAGCCGCGGGTTATTCCCCCGGCTGGTCCAAAAGAATGAATGAATAGATGAATCGTGATGTGGAAGGCGATGGCGATGCGAAATGGTGGCCGGGGCCAGGCGTGTTGTTATTTGCCGCCTCCTGCTGCGGCCTTCTCCTCTTCTTTCTTCTTCTGCTTAGCGCGCAGGGCCTCGGCATCGCTGTGTACACAATTAGCACATGTTATACCGGAGATGACCAGCCACGCACGCCTCTTTACGCTTCGCGAGCGAGCTGGAGCTTTCCTTCGGTTTGGTCTTGTTAGCCGCAGCCTTCTTCGCGGCTTTGGCGCGGTCCATCTCACGCTGATTTCCACCTAGAAAACGTTCATATGTCAGTTGGAGGCGAGGCTTTCAGTGTACATGATAGCGCACGAGTCATGACGGGAGTCTTGAGGTGACGATGGCGAGCACGCGAAGTTTGGTTTGTGCGTGTAACGCGGGCACCTCGGTCGGCAAACGCCGACGCGCGATCTGCTGACTTCGTTTGCCCGCGCGTCACGACTTCCTCTCGGCCACCACCACCACCATACCCACCGCACCAGACATGGCGAACCTTCTCCTTGCCCTTCATAAGCTGCAGTTCATGGTATATTATGCTCATTTTTCATGTCTTCGATGATGCTCTCGGTCCCATTCACCGTGAAAAACGAGACATGGTCTCATGCTCGCACGCGAGGCGCGTTGGTTCTCCGTCTACGGAAGCATTTAGCCCTTTCGAGTAGTGACGAAGGAAAACAGCCGTCATCCTCGTGTTGACATGGAAATACGTACCGCCAATCATGCAAGTTCTTGAAATCATCCTCATTTTCAGTCGTGTATTGCTACTGAGATGGTCTTACAGTAGAGGTATTTCGCCCTCCTCACTCTTTCGTGTCTCTCCCATCGAGCATGTTCGACTTAGAGTGCCTCGAAATATTATGAATGAGGCTTACGGATTTCGCCTTTCGTACATTTTGCGGATTCAAACATGTCCATCACGTGTGCGGTCAACAGGGCGCTATCGCCGAGCGTCAGCAGGCTGACCCGGAGGACCCTGATCCTGCCGTTCTCGGCCGTGTCTCGGTTTCTATCTCTAATCGAGCGGTGCTCCACGCCGTATGCAGATCATCATATCAGGCTCCTCCATGCCGTTCCCCTTGTTCCTCTCCGCGGCCACTTTACCCAAAGGCAGATCGCGACAAAGACAGGCCTAGCGCTCGATGGGGCGTACGTATGTCTGGCGTTCCGAACACAATCGCGACGTGATATGAACCATCTGTATGGTTCTGCCGTCAGACACCTCCACCTCTGCATGCGCGCGCTGATCCCTGTGACGGCGATGCACAGACGTTGAACGTAGCTGCTCGCTTCGAGAACAGCCTCCGTGTGTCTTTGTCGGCGACGGCAGCGGGGCGCTGGCTGTGGCCACTGATCTCGAACCTTGTCTATAGCCGTCCTGGCTTCTGATCATGACGGCCCCTATCGCGTCCTCATATGACCGCTCGCACGCACGCCCCTTCTCCTCGGGCTTCGCAATGGAATCCGGAACACGCACAGGGCCTTTGTCGGGCGCTTGGTTGGCCTGCGCTATCATGCATCAAGATTCGCAGGATGCCAGGCCGTTTTCGAGAAAGCTTAGTCGGGCGTTCCCAAGCACCGCTTCGCTCACAAGGGGCGCACATATGCATACATGGCGTGTATGTGAGAAGGGGTGCTGCGCAACCGGTCAGAGGGTCCGAGCTAAAGTCGAGCGCCGAAGGCGGACGAGGAACGGAACCGGGGCGTGACTCTGCGGCGTACGGTTGACGCGGCAGGGCGCGGCCCATCGTCGGTCGGGAGGATTTTAAGATGGCGAAGTGCCGCTTTGACGTCGCCGCGCCGGCCAGCGGAAGCTTTGTGCATTTCGAACGGGTGGCCACGGAAGCTTCTGAATCGATTCACTCTGACAGATCTCGTTCCGTCTTTGGGTTCGCTCTACGCAACCGATGGAGGGTTGGGTTGGGAGAAGAAGGGGTACGCGTGAGCGTGGAGATGCATGCGGACGGAAGGTGCAGATGGTGAATTGCTCGCTTTGTGGACTCTTCGCACGTCGCGTGGCGCCGGCTTCTCTCGCCAAAAGGTGCAGACGATCACCCATCTGCGGCCGCGGTTGAGTTGGTCGCGACGTGTGCGCCGGGCCGATTACGGTTGTACCACGAGATCGGATCTGCACTTTTGAGATTCGAACCCTCCGGCGTCAGCGCGCATGACGAGCGCCTGAGCCAAGGATACGCTCCGCGCATGCTGTTTTCTGCCTTTGTGGTGCACGGCCTCTTAATCGGGGCTATCGCGCGGTGCTTTGTGTGCGTGTCTGGGCAGAGAAGCCGGCCTGCCCTTGCGTGTTTAGGCTCTCGGCGACGTTTGGCTATGGGCGCTGCGGTTGACGAGATTCAATTGCGTGCGAGTCGTCGGCTCGGAGGAAATGAAGTGGCAGGGAACGCGTGGCGTGTGTCCCGAAGTCCCCGCACGCGGAGGCAGCGGCTGGAATTATATTGAGTCGTGCCTTGACGAGGCGATCTGATCTGGGCAGGAGCCAGTTGTTATATAGACCTTCCGCCCGTAGCCGCGCGCGCGCCTGTACCCTGCCCCAACCCAACCTTCGAATGTCTGTCCGGCAGACACCGCGCGAGCGGGATCACATGAACGGCAACCCGCCCCCCGTCCTCAACGGCGGCGGTGGCCACCCGCCCCAACTCTCGCCCAAGGCACCACCCCCGGCACAGGGCCCGCCCATGCCAGAATCTCTGCAGAAACTCGTCAGCGCCAACGAACAAACATGGCTCGTAGTAGGTCAGCTCTCTGAACAGATGGGCGACCTCGAACGCGCGCTCTCCGCCTACGAGCACGTTCTCCGGCACAACGCATACTCCATTCCGGGCCTCACCCAAATGGCGGGCATAGCCCGCATCAAGGAGAACTTTCCCGTCGTACGTGTCCCTCCAGGCCCTTATCGACCGCCCTGATAGCATCATCCCATCACCCCATCATTCTGTCATCCGGACGTTCTTCCCGCTAACTCCGTCGTCATAGGCTATCGACTATTTCCAGCGCGTGCTCAGTCTCCAGCCTGACAACGGCGAGATATGGAGCGCGCTCGGCCACTGCTACCTGATGCAAGACGAATTGCAAAAGGCGTATCAGGCCTATCAGCACGCGCTCTACTCGTTACCAAATCCGAAGGTATGTTTGTTAGCCTTGTTGCCATCTGAGAACCGTTCTGATGTGCGCCTTGTTCTCGCAGGAGAACCCGAAGCTTTGGTACGGCATTGGCATCTTGTACGATCGCTACGGCTCGCTCGACAATGCCGAGGAGGCGTTCGCGTCGGTGCTCAAGATGGACAAGGACTTTGACAAGTCAAACGAAGTCCTCTTCCGCTTGGGCATAATCTACAAACAGCAGACCAAGTACTCCGAGAGCTTGCGCTGCTTCGAGCAGATACTCCGCAACCCGCCAAGCCCGCTCGCCAACGCCGATATCTATTTCCAGATTGGACATGTCCACGAACAGCAGGGTCACGTAAGTCGAACTCGCCTTCTCTTGTGGCTTCTCGGAGCTAACACAACTCACAGTTCGACCGTGCTCGTGACGCCTACACGCGTGTAGTCCAGGAGAACCCGACGCACGCCAAGGTATTGCAGCAGCTCGGCTGGCTTTACCACCAGGACGGCACTTCGTTCCAGGACCAAGAACTCGCCATTCAATATCTGACGAAGTCCCTCGAAGCCGACCCTGGCGACGCGCAAAGCTGGTACCTTCTTGGCCGCGCGTTCATGGCCGGCCAGAAGTACAACAAGGCATACGAGGCGTACCAGCAGGCGGTCTATCGTGATGGCCGTAACCCGACGTTCTGGTGCTCTATCGGCGTACTTTACTTCCAAATCAACCAGTACCGTGACGCGCTCGACGCCTACTCGCGTGCCATCCGCATCAACCCCTACATCCCGGAAGTTTGGTACGACCTCGGCAGCCTTTACGAGTCGTGCAACAACCAAATCGGGGATGCGATCGACGCCTATGCACGTGCCGCTGAGCTGGACCCGAACAACGCCAGCATCGCGGGCCGACTCCAGGTCCTCAAGCACTCGCAAGCGACAGGTGCCCAGGTCTCGGCGGCGCCTGCGCCACAAGACGTGCACCCGACATTGTACGCCAACCCGGCGCCGCCAGCGCCTGGTCCACCTGGCGCTTTGCTTCCTATCCATCCTGGCGGTGGTTCTCAGCCGCGTTTCCGCGCCGACTCTCGCGGCCCAGCGAGTGACATGCCTCCACCAAGTGCCGGTCCTGCTGGTCGCAGCCCGCCGCCGCCGTTCCGTGGCGGTCCTCCACCGCCCGTGATCCTCGACGACGCGCGTCAGGGCATGCAAGTCCATCCCCATCTCGCTCCCATGGAGATCGACGCGCCTCAGCAACCGCCTTCGGCTACGCGTGAGCAGGGCTATGCGCCTCCTCCATCAGGCGCTCGTGGCATGTCAATTTTGTTACACCATGACGAACGTACCGGTGGACCGCCTCCCCTACACCAGCACGACTCGTACTATGCACCGGGCGAGTCCCGCGGACGCAGATCATCAGTTGCAGGGTCTCCTCGAGACCGTGCGCGCTCGCCCACGACATCGCCCTACCATTCTTACGGTCGTGGCGGTCCTCCGCGGTCGCCGCATGGCTACTCACGCGAGCCTGCGCCTGTTTCACAACGCGAACGTGAACAGGACCGCGAGCGTGACGCGGATTGGCAGCGTCGCGATTGGGAACACCGGCGCGAGATGCGCGCCGGTGTTGGGCCCGAGTATGCGCCGCAACAGCCGCCATACTACGAGTCTCGCCATGAACGTTCCCCGCCCAGTGGTTCTAGCCGTGGTTACCCGCCGCCTGGTTCTCAGATCCCGCCTATCTCCCCGCGCGAACATCCCAGCATGCGTGGCGAGCCCATGCAGGTGGATACACCCAGCAGGCGCTACGAGAACGGACCGCCGCCTCAGGGATACGTCAACAGCGGCGCTCCGCCTCCCCCACCGTCATTCCCGAGCCGTACGTCTGAGAGCCCGCACGTAGCGCACCGCTCCCGCAGGGGTACGTTCAGTAAGGACGAGCCGTCTCCGGCGGAGATGCAGCCGCCGCAACAGCTTGCTGGTCCCGGTGGCACGATGGGTGTTTTGGCGCCCGAACCGAAGAAGCGCAGGCGCGCTACGACGGGTCGCAGCAGGAACAACGAGCCCACGCCCGTGTCTACGCCTGGCCCAGGTCCAGCGCCGCGTTCGCACACCGAGACGCCCAAGCCCTACCAGCAGCAGCAACAGCCGTCTGGCTCGTACCGCCCGTACAAGGGTCGCGAGACGCCCGAGGCCGGCAGCAGCGGCTCGAACCAGAGCCAGAAGCCGAGTCCGCCCGAATCGACCGTCAGCGTGCCGAACCGCGTCGTCGACGAGGACTACGACGAGGGCGTCGCAGAGACGCTCATCGGCCTGTCCAACTACCGCGGTAGCGCAGCCCCAGCTTCGCAGGCGCCAAGTGACCCGCCGCCGGGCTACAGCCAGGCGCCGCCTCCGCCGATGAGCGGTCCTGGCGTACGCGCTCCCAGCCCGACGCCCAGCATGCGCTCGCGGGCTTCGCATCGCGGTAGCGTGAGCAGCACTCGGTCTGGTGGACAGGGCTCGCCTCCCGTCGGCACGAAGCGCGCGCGCTCGGCTGACCGTGACCGTGACGACTCCGACGGCTCGTCGAAGAGGACGAAGATGGACACGCCTGCGACTGCCGCGACGAGCCAGCCCAGCACGCGCCCCAGCCCGATCCCCTTCCGCCAGCAGCCGATGTCTCCAGACGAGCGTGGTACGCGCCCGTCGCCGCCGCAGTCTGGTGTTGGCCGGAGGAGCCCGCCAGGGCAGCAGCAAGGCGGTAGGAGGTCTTACCCTCCGAGCCCGCCTATCCCTGCTGTGCTTCCGCCTGTGCCGCAAGCGCGACCGCAGAGCGCGCTGCCACCGATCGCCACGCTCGAGGATCGCGAGGATAAGGGCGCGGAGCCGGAGCGCGAGAGGGAGCAGCCTCGGCCTGCGCCGCCGCCTAGCCGGGGTAGCATGGCGGACGTCATGAACCCCGCGCCGCCTACGCCTGAGAAGAAGGAGGATAAGGCGTAGAGTGCGTGGCCCGGCGCTGCGCTCCTTGTGTTTCGGTCGTTTTTATACTCTTGCACGTTAACGTATCACGGACTCGGACTTTCTGCATACTTACCTCGTCGCTTGTCTTGTGTCGTCTTTATCTTGACCGCCCCACCCATCATCATCGTCATCTCATCGCAAACCCCCCTCCGTTCATCCCATCGCCATCGCTTACACATTGAAATCCCCGCCGTCTGTTGCAAGGTCTCGTTGGTTCGGTCGTATACCTCATAAATGTGTATCATATTGTCTCTTGAGCGTCTCAGTTTCTCTCTTACTTCTTATTCGTGGCTCGTGTGTTTGAGTACTTACATGTCGTCTTTGCTGATACCAAGTTGGAAAATTACAATGGTCAATTTGCACTACTACAAAGTTTGATTGCGAGGCTCGAGGAGGTCCACAGAAGATGATTGATCATGGATATAGCGGAATAGTAGTCTATAGGTATGGACCCGGTTCCGTGGCACCGTAGATGTCACTTGGGCGACAACCAGCAAGACTTGTGCGGAGACGCTCTTACTCAGAGTTTTCTCCATCCGATTTCTCACCCTCACCCTCATCGCTCTCTGCTCCCTCGTTGATACGCCAACATCCATGACCGCGCTCCACTGCAACCCACTTCTCCCACATACCCACCCACGAGGCCTTCAGTCCGGAGTGCGTGACCTTGAGTACCGGATTGCTCAGGCCAGCAGCCTTGCGACGCCCAAAAGCACACGAAAGATCCTCACGAAGTTTGCGGCCGGTGAGGTGGGAGAACTCGGAGAACTCGAAGTTGCTGAGACGCAACATACGCAGGTAGGGCAGGTATCGCTCGGCTCCGTGTGTTCGTATGGCATCCGGTGAACGTGGTGAGAGGCGATTGGCGAACAACCAAGAGAATTGTTCAGCAAAGGTATGCTCATAGCCATCATCCTTTACACCGACGACTTCCAACTCTCGAACGGCAGGAAATTGGCGCACAATTGACAGCGAATGGTCCCGCAGGCTGTAGTGATGAAGAGATAATGATAGCGTCTCCACTACCACCTGAGGAAAGAGTGCAAGTAAAGGCAGAATTACTGCAGTCCTCCCTAGGGCCTGAAAACAGATGGAGAAGAGAGGGCCCTGTTCGGTGGTGTATGTGTGTTTATGGTCTCTTCGAGAGGTCCGTTGGATGGTTTCCAGTGTGGTGTGCGCGGAGAATCGCACGACATCGTCCTCTTGGATTTCGTCGCCGACGCAGATATGCCGGTAAGAATAGCCTTCCTGTAACAGGAGATGGGCTCGAATGAGTGAAGTGAGTTGAACGTCGTCATCGGCTGAGAGTCTGTCAATTTCCAGGTAGATAGAACACCCGGGGGCGAGGTCAAGGGAGGACCACAAAGAGAGGCAGCATCCCTCGATATCTCCGATGAACAAGACACGAAGACGTGGCAGGGAGACGGGTGCACCCCCACCGAGTACATCGTCGTCCTCGTCTTCCTCGTCTTCCTCGTCGTCCTCGTCGGGGATCGCGTAGCGAAGATGAAGGCACTCGAGCATCGGCATGCATCGGAGACTTTGCACGATGTCCGCAAGGGTATGATTGAACGTGGTCACGCTCGGGTAATCGAGTTTGAGAGAACGGAGATTTATCGACGACGTGAGGTGCCAAGACATTTCCACACCAGAGAGGCGCATGTTGGCCAGCCGCGGTGCACTCTGCAGGAATCCGTTTCCAATTACAAGGCTCGCAGCACCTGGGGGGCGTGGGTCGTGTATGGACAACATCAGTTCTCGAAGTTCAGGTGCTTCGGCCTGCAAGACGGCCAGCCATGGGTGCTCCCTCTGCAGTGTGATACCGTGGTCGGGCATGTTGACGACATCGAGTATTCGCACCCGCGCGATGTCCCGAAGTATCAGTCTTGAACTATAGGAAGAACGATGTGTATGATTACGCAGATCCCCTCGTACAGTCAGCAGCGCTTGCCGGGACCTGGACGACAAGGTATCCCACAGTGCACCGTGCCCATCCACGGGTAAGGAACTCCAGAGGTCGCGGTGCGCAAGAGCGATCATACGGAAACGCCGACAAGTGTGCGTCACGCGTGCCCATCCCCAGCTACCATTGCTGATGTCGATAGGATCCATGATAGTTAGCTGTTCGAATATCTGCTCCAGCACTTCTGCAGGCAACAGACAGGGAAGTGCGTGCGCGTTCCTTTGTTGTTTTGCCGCAAGCATCAGGCGCGCCAGACCATCGATTTCACTGTCCCATCTACGCCTGATTGCCGAAGACTGCCTCAAGGACGACGCTGTTCTCGTTAAGGGAGCCATCTGAGCGCGAAAGACTTGAGACCAGTGCGGCATAGCCACGGCTCTAACACAAATGTCATTTTAGTGGCGCGACGTCGGGATTCTCCCACGACTCACGGCTGGCGGGGTCTTTCGCTATCTGAAAGTTGTCCTTCGGAGTGGGTGGGCATGATACGCCGATATAGGCTGTTTCGATGTAGATGGCGGTAAGAGCCAAGCCGACAATCGGGCTGATTTGCGGCGGGCGTCCTCGCTGCGCACGACGGCAATGGCCACGCATGATGCCGGATGCTTGATAGCTGTCAGATCGGAGACTATTGCATGTCCTACGGACACCATTCCTGACCACATCGTAGTCATATGAGCACATAAGCTAGAATAGCGGCTACGTCAGAGCTATCGTACAAAGGTTTCATCCGTCATGTATTGACTGGTGTAGTAGCCCCCTACTCTTCGCCATCGCTCGCACTCTCGCCGCCGGACACATGATCTTCAGCCGTGATATAGCAGGAGTCGTCGTATTCGACATCTACCCACTCCTTCCACGCCCTCACCCACGACTCCTTGAGTTCCGATCCGGTGATCTTGAGAGTTGGGTTGCTGAGCCCGGCAACCCGACGACGTTTAAACGCATTGTTCAGCGTATCGACTACTGTTATGCTTCCACCGTCCGATCTACGGCGGAGGTCAAAGCGAATGCACTCAAGGTGGAGAATGCGCAAGCTAGGTAAGACATTCTCGTAAGTCCCAGACTCAGCTTCGCCAGTACCCAGAAGCTCAGTTTGGCACTGGAAGAGTGAGCAGAGATATGTCATAAGGGTTTCATTGTCATCGAAAGGAGTGCTGATCAGTTTGAGGAATGATATCTGGGAGAGATGGCTCAATATCTGAGCGAGGTGATCGGGTAGTTGGCGGGAGCCACCTGTGAGGCATAGCGTCTCTATGACTTCGTTCGGAAAGATTTGAATCAGTGAGGGGAGTATCCAGGTCTTGAACATCGCCCGGTAGGTGACTGATAGCACGGGATTCTGATCGACATCGTGTTTGTGATCGCTGTCATCGCGAGATGCATCCTGCATCATGGTATCCCAGTCCGAGTGGGCTGCTAAATTGATGTTATCCCCGTTGTAGTCGACATTTTCAACGCTGATATGTCGGAAAGAGGGACGTCCAGGAATTGCAAGGTGATTTTGCATAAGCGTGCGGAGTGTGCTGTCGTCTTCAATGAGGTCGGTGATATTCACGTAGACAGAGCACATCGGGTGGAGGATGAGAGAGGACCAAAAGGACAGACAGCGCTCGTCCATATCATTGATGACTAAGATGCGAAGATGCGGCAGCGAGACGCGCACAGCTGATCGGCCATCGGGAAGTGCAAAGGTCAGGCAAAGGAGCTCAAGCGCCGGCATACATTGGAGGCCCCGTAAGATATCATCAAGGGAGAACTTGATCTCTCTTGGCTCGCTAAGCACGAGTGATCGAAGATTGGTGGGCGATGAGATACTCCAACACATCGCAATGCGAAGGAGGTCTAGATAGACCAGCTTTGGCGCGGCCCTGAGGAAATCACGTCCTAACTCAGGACGTACGGAATCGCTCGCGTAATAATGCTCCGTGACTAGTTTCAGACGTCTGAGTTCTGACGCAGGAGCCTGGAGGAGGTGTATCAGAGAATGGTCTCCTTCCTCCACGCGAGAAGGGACTGGAATTTGATCTATGTCCAATGTTTGCACGCGGGCAATGTGCTGAAGAACTGACCCGATGTATCGGGATGCCCTGGATGGAATCATACGTCCATATATGGATATCAATGCATCTCGGGATCTAGAAAGTAGCGTATCCCAGAGAGTATAGTTGCCGCTGATAGACAAGCGGCTCCATAGAGTTCCATGGGCAAGCGCGACGGCGCGAAAATGTCGGCAAACATGCGATACTACTGCCCATCCCAAATTGCCTAGCGTGGTTCCGCCCACGGGTGCCGCACGCGCAAGATGCTGAAAGATATGCACCAGCACTTCGGATGGCACCATGCAGGGAAGCGTGTGCGAGTTCCGAAGTTGTTTGGCGGCTAGCACCTGACGCTCCATAGCCTCGATTTCAACATTCCACCTCCCCACAACGGTCGATGATCTGCCCATAGAGGGAGCGATGTCCGCCAGAGGCGCCGTTCGAGAACGAAATACCTGAGACCAGTGTTGCTCCGCTGCATCCCTTTGCCCGAGTCAAACATCAATAAGCCGTCACGTGGAGCTTTCACTCTGCTCACTTGTCAATGGGGTCATATAGGGTCGATATGCCCTCGGCGGATTCAGGTTGCGCCATGATCGTGGCGAGAGGCAACCTGTCGTTCTTCACACCATGATCAACAAACACCGGCCCCGGACCGATCAACCGCAGCTCAACGTCCACACCTTCACCCCGCGATACTACTTAGACCATCGGGCGGGGCACTCAATCAAGATAGACAGACTACTAAAGTAAGAGAGATATAGACATCCAAGCAACGTATACGTGCAATCAAGAATGTGTGTGTAATCATTGGTCATGATCAAAGCCTACAACCAGAACTCCTCCCAGTCACGACGCCGTCACGAATCGTCCCCATCGAAGAACTACCAACAGCCGGATTAGCAAACGAGCAACACTCATACCAGCGCGCACGTACCTTCTTAACATCCTTCGCATTATACCCGCTCGTCCCACCGTAAGGCAGCGCCTGTCTCCTCGTAATCATCCCCAGCGTCTCCGCCCTCCCCTCCGCATCACTCCTTATCCCCTCCCAAAAGCTCCTACACAGCCCCCCATCCTCCTCCAGACACACCTGCTTCACACTGAACACGAACGCGTTCCACCCCTCGATCTCGTCCTCCGTCAAACACGCCTCTCGTAGCTCTTTGAGTAAGGACTTGAGCTCGTCGGTGCGGCGCGTGGCGAAGGGTTTGCGGAGGATGGTGAGGACGGCGTGGAAGGTGTCCATGACGGCTTTCGTGACGACGTCGCCGCGCGCGAGGTTGGCGCGTAGATCCGCGGCGGGGTTCGCGAGGCCTATGAGGCGGCCGGCCGGGCGTTGTGGGTCGGGAGGCGGCGTGCTCAAGTCTTCGCCGTCTTCACCCTTGTTGATGTCGATCATCTCGTAGTCCTGGTCCGCGTCCTCCGCGCCGGAAGAGTCATCACGCATTCGCCGTTGGCTCTGGTTCGCAGCTTGACTGCGCGAGGACGATGCGACGGGTTTCGGCGCGAGCACGCTGGGCGCTACGGGCGCGTTCGCGATGAGTAGCTCTTCGTCCTCCTCATCTGCGTTGGCGTGCACATGCTCGTCTTTCCTCGCTTTCCGCGCTTTCTTCGGTACCTCTTTCACGTCCATAGCCTTCTTGAGCTCTTCGAGCGGCTCTCTGGCACGCTTCAGAGCGCGGCGCGGCGGGTCGAAGTACTTCGTGAGCTCGGGGTGCGGAGGTGGGATCGGTGAGATGGTGAGGTCCGAGACGACTGCGGCGTGGAAGAGGGCTTGTTTGGTTCGGTGGATGGCGGGGTTGTAGGAGGATGAGGGGTCGTACCAGGGTTCGCGTTCGCTAGCGTCCTCTTCAACATCACTCATGGAAGCGAAAGGGGATAGATGTACCCGAGTTCATTCTTAGGACCCGCATCGCCAAGGTCCATAGCGTCAACGAACGCATCCATCGCATCTTGCTGCTCGTCCGTCGGGATGAACGGGTGTTCGGTGATATGCTCGCCTTTACGATTGAGCAGATGTTGTAGCGGGCTGAAGGCGTACTTGCGCACGTCGTCTGCGAAGGGCATCTACAGCGTCGACGTCAGCACTTGTACTCACTAGCAAGGACAAGAATCTTACCGGAGCCCACAGCAGACAGTCGACCTCCGCGAAGCGCAATGGCCATAGCACGCCCATACGTGGATCACGTCCGTCGGCTGTAACGAGACGCGCGATGGCACAGTACCGGAGTTTCTTCGGCTTGCGCTTCTTGCCCGTCTCCTCGTCAATGTCTACACGGCACAGCGTCAGAGCGTCTGAGAGATGAAGACGGAGGGGCGACGGCGCACCATTGTCTTTGATCTTCGACTTGTCCTCAGTGCAAGAATCCATCGCGCGTACGAGCGCGCTGAGCGCAACTTGCTCAGCCGGACTGTTCGGGTCGGCCCAGACGTACGAGACTTCGCCCATTGAGTGCTCTCTCCTGAACTTCATACATGACATCCACGTCAGCACCCCTCCAGTCACACCGGATACACGAGAGTAAGCGGGTACCCACGTTCTTCGTCTCAAAGAAAGCACATATCTCCAACCCCTTCGTTGTAGGCAGCCTCTCGAACTGTCCGGCCGGACAAGGGACGTACGAAGCGCCGTACCGGAACCCGCGTACGAGCTCTTCTTTCTCAATGTTGGTAACTGTGCTGGCGTCGAATACGCCTGGGGCTTTCATTTGGGCTTTGGTGAGGACCGGTTTGTTCGCCTATTGTGCGTAACTCAGTACAGGGATGGTGAAGGGGTAGACGGAGGTGAAGGTACCTTGATAGCCTCCTCGGCCTTCCTAGCCAACACGTCCTCTTTCCATGTGAAATATGCCGTTCGCGGTCGGAGCTCAGCCCATACATCGATCTCATCCTCATCCCCAGCCTCCTCATCCTCTTCCTCCTTCTTGACCGCCCCGCCCTTCGCTTTCGACTCAGGCTTAACTCCAGCTTTAGCAGGCGAAGAAACAGGCTCGCGCTTCACCGGCGGCTCCTCGTCCGACTCAGGTTCAGTATCCGAGCCTTCGACTTCGACCTTGGGCTTGGGTTGGACAGGTGGTTCTGGCGTCTTGGATTTCGCTGAGCGAGAGGAAGTGGGAGGAAGGATATGCTTCTTAGAAGACGATTGACTGTTGCTTGGGTCTTGATTCTGCGACTCGTCTTCGTCCTCGCCCCTCTTGTTGCGCGGGCTGAACCGTTTCCAGCTCTTGGGACGGGCGAGGGCTGTTGCTTTACTGAGCTTAACGTGGATCTCGAGTGAGTGTTCGGGATCGAGCGCGGGCAAGCCGATCTATATTATAGCGTCAGCGCCGGCACAACGACCGGTAAGAGGAGAGAATGGGAGGGCGTACGCGGAGGATGTTGCCCTGTAGCATGCTCTTCGTCTGTTTGAGCTCCGGTTTGGCTAGCTCGTCGAGGGCGTGGGAGAGATTCCCGAGGACGCCTTGGCGGCCTGTTTCGTTGATTGCGGCGATGAAGTCGTTGTAGAAGAGCTCGTTCTCTTCCTGAGCGTGCGTCAGTAGAAGCACGAGGGCAGCCTGAAGATGGTGTACGACGATTGAGATGAGGGTTTACCTTATGCTTCGACTTGACTTCTTCCTTGAACCCCGTTTCTTCGTCGTTGAAGTCGACACCACTGCGAGCACAGGCGCGTCAGCGAAATTGTCGCATAACATACATCAGACTCACACTACGGTGACGTCCACGCCATACTCCTCAATCTTCCTTACAACCGAATCCCAGTCTTCGAGCTCGATCGGGCTCTCGCCGTCGGTCAGCACGACTAGTTTGCGCGTCCAAGTGCGTTTGTTGGCGAGGTAGCGTTGTTGGGTCTCGAGGGCTACGATAATCGCGTCAATGGCTAAGGATCCACGTCAGTACGTTATCACTCTCTGACGAGTAAGATAGAGTGAAAGAGACGCGTGATAGACAAGTCAATGAAGAAGTAGAGCTCCACGAAACCAAGGCGATGCTGCTGTAGTACCTGGCAGTTTGCGTCTTGGTACGTCCGAATCAACTCTCTCTGTGAGGCCACGAAAAAGCAAAGAGAAAGGCACTAGGAAGGAGATAAAACTTACGGTCTCCGAATGACGAACTCGGTATTAGGGTGTCCAGCTTCGCGAGCGTCGCGGCGCTGGCCGTTCCAATGGGTATAAACTCTTCGACGTTCTCGTAGCCTCCACTCTGCGTGTGCACCATGTTATTTGTCTCTGTATGTAGTAATGTCAGTGGTAATGAATCTTGAATGGGAGGGGCGGTGTGTTTACGATCGGAGCCGAAGAGAATGACACCGCATTGGTCCGTCTTGCGGCCGTTGTATATCTAGAGCAAATATGAGCATTTGAAGGACAACGAACACTGTAGCAAGCCTCGGACATTCTCTTGCATCTTGAGTTTGACGAACTGGAGCGCCCATTCGAGATGTGTCATCTCGATTGACTTGACCTCGCCATTGTGGTCCTCCGGAAGCTCGGCGATGCGCATCTGGCCCATGGATGGGCAGACATCTACGCAGAAGACCGTCGCGGTATAGCCCGCGCGCTCTGCAGGCATAATCAAGAGATGCCAGAGGCAGTAGATGGAGGTGAACGGCAGCAGACGGTGGTGGTGGTTCGGGAGCAACGAGCGAGACGCGCCTCGCGACGCGTCGTGTTGAGCGGTTAGATGACTCGCGTGACCGTGTGTCCGCCACGTGGGTGCTTACACCGCCTCCGCGGGTGGGGGCCGCCTGTTGTTTGTCGCTCTTCCGACGCTTTCGCGGTCACGTCCTGTGTGTATACTCACGTCGACGCGCGCTCATACCCCAGACGCGACTTTACCGACCATGGCCTCGCACGCGGGGGCCTTCCCCCAAGGTCTGCCCTCCAAAGAACACATAAACAATGTCGTCCAGGTAAATTCGCTCCTCGTGGTGGCGGCTGGGATAATTGACATGGATATTCGTGAACAGCGAATCAGGCATCTGCAGAGCCAGGGCGCGACGGCTGAGAACAACGCCGAGGTGCTCAAGCTCTCGCGTTACCTCCAACAATTCCAACAAGGATATACGAACAACGTCCAGCCCGCCGCCGCCGCCAACGGCCAGAACGGGCACGCCGCCAACGGACCGCCCGCGCCGGGATACAATGCGCCGCCGTCGCCTGTGACGTTCACGGAGGAGCAGATGAAGACGCTCAGGGCCCAGATCGCGGCCTTCAAGCGGCTGTCCTCGGGTCTGCCGCTGCCGCCGGCACTGGCGCGGGTGGTGCAGAACCCGAATACACCGATCCCAGACTTGAACAAGCTGCTCTCGGCGCAGGACCCCGCCGCTCGCGTGGTCGACGCCGCCGTCAAGCTCGTCAAGGAGTCGGCAGCTGCCGAGAGCGACGAGCTGAGGATCGAGGATGCCGAGGGCGTCGAATTGTTGGCCGAGGACGAGGGCGAGAACGCGCTCAAGCCGTACAACGCCTACACCCACCCGTTCACACACCTCAAGCGCAACGTCGGCGAGTCCAAACAGGCTTATTTCGCAAGACTCCAGCGACTGTTGGTGCCGAGTGTCATGCCCGCTGGCCTGGACCCCCAGTCCTTGCTAGCAGAACGCAGTCGCTTTATAGATGCCCGCATCGCCCAGCGCGTTCATGAACTCGAGGAACTGCCGGCGACGATCCAGGACGGCGGTCTGGAGCCTCCCATTCCTTCCGACGACGAGCCATTGAGCTTGCAGTCGACCTCGCACGGCAAACTCCGCGCCCTCATCGAGCTCAAGTCGCTCAAAGTCGTCAGCAAACAACGCGCCCTGCGTGAAGCCATCGCTGAGCGTCTCGCACACGGCACTCTATTGCCGCTCAACCGCTTGGACTTCCGCCGTATTCGCAGGCCCGCGCTCAGGGATGTTCACACGACTGAGCAGGCGGAGCGTAAACAGCGCGTCGACCGCGAACGTCGCGCAAAGCAGAAACACGTCGCACAGCTCGATGCGCTCGCAGCTCATGGACGCGAAGTTCTCCGTGTCAATCGCGAGGCTACGGATCGTGCTCGCAGGCTCGGCCGTGCTGTTCAGTCCTTCCATGCTCTGGCCGAGAAGGAAGAGCAGAAGCGTGTGGAGAGGCTCGCGAAGGAGCGTTTGAAGGCGCTCAAGGCCGACGACGAGGAGGCGTACATGAAGCTCATCGACACGGCCAAGGACACCCGTATTACGCACTTGCTCAAGCAGACCGACTCGTTCTTGGACTCTCTCGCTCACGCTGTCCGTGCACAACAGGCCGAGCCTGGAGGTCCGCCTGTGCCCATGGCCACGGAAGGTGCTTCCGAAGAGATGTTCGGTGCCACGCGGAGCGCCGAGGATGCTGCTGAGGATCGCGGCAAGGTCGACTACTACGCTGTGGCGCATCGGATCAAGGAGAGCGTCTATCAGCCGAGTATCCTCGTCGGAGGCACGCTCAAGGAGTACCAGCTCAAGGGTCTCCAATGGATGGTCTCGCTCTACAACAACAAGCTCAACGGTATCTTGGCCGACGAGATGGGTCTCGGCAAGACGATCCAGACTATCTCGCTCATCACGTACCTCATCGAGGCCAAACGCCAGCGCGGACCGTACCTCGTTATCGTCCCGCTTTCGACGATGACGAACTGGAGTGGCGAGTTCGCGAAGTGGGCGCCGGGCGTGAAGGTCATCTCGTACAAGGGAAGCCCGATGGTTAGGAAGGACCTGCAGAATGATATCCGGATGGGGGATTTCCAGGTACTGCTCACGACGTATGAGTACATTATCAAGGACCGCCCGGCGCTCTGCAGGATGAAGTGGGTGCACATGATCATCGGTCAGTATTATGTCTTGTATGATTCTCTCGCTCATATACTGATATGATACGTTCGCAGACGAGGGTCACCGTCTCAAGAACGCGCAATCCAAACTCGCCCAGACGCTCACAACCTACTACCACTCCCGCTACCGCCTCATTCTCACGGGTACCCCGCTGCAGAACAACCTCCCCGAGCTCTGGGCCCAGCTCAACTTCGTCCTCCCCAAGATCTTCAACTCGGTCAAATCGTTCGACGAATGGTTCAACACGCCCTTCGCCAACTCCGGCACGGGCGACAAGATCGAGCTGAACGAAGAAGAGGCGCTCCTCATCATCCGCCGCCTGCACAAGGTGCTGCGCCCCTTCCTGCTGCGCCGCCTGAAGAAGGACGTCGAGAGCGAGCTGCCGGACAAGGTCGAGAAGGTCGTGAAGGTCCGCATGAGCGCGCTGCAGGCGCAGCTGTACAAGCAGATGAAGAAGTTCAAGATGATCGCGGACGGGGGCGCGTCGGGGAAGAAGAATGCTGGCGTGAAGGGTCTGAGCAACGAGCTGATGCAGCTTAGGAAGATCTGTCAGCATCCGTATTTGTTTGAGAGCGTGGAGGATAAGATGAATCCGAGCGGGATGATCGATCAGAGTCTGGTCAGGACGAGCGGGAAGCTTGAGTTACTCTCGCGTATCCTGTACGTGCCCCTTCCCTCCCATTTTCTTTTCCAAAACGCATTCGCTGACGTTGTTTGGCAGGCCGAAGTTCTTCGCCACGGGCCATCGCGTCCTCATCTTCTTCCAAATGACGAAAGTGATGGACATCATGGAAGACTTCCTCAAGATGATGAACTGGAAGTACCTCCGTCTCGACGGCGGGACCAAGACCGAGGAGCGCGCGGGACACGTCACGGCGTTCAACGCGAAGGACTCGGAGATTATGGTCTTTATCCTTTCGACGCGCGCTGGTGGTTTGGGTCTGAACTTGCAGACGGCCGATACGGTTATTATCTTTGACTCTGACTGGTCAGTTCGCCATGACATTCCATCCCCGTCTTCTCTCTAACATGCGATACTTGTCATCAGGAACCCGCACGCGGACTTGCAAGCCCAAGATCGCGCGCATCGTATCGGCCAGACCAAAGCCGTCCGCATCCTGCGCTTCATCACGGAAAAGTCCGTCGAGGAAGCGATGTACGCCCGTGCGCGATACAAGCTCGATATCGACGACAAGGTCATTCAGGCCGGTCGTTTCGATAACAAGAGTACGCAAGAGGAGCAGGAGGAGTTCCTGGTGAGTCTCCTCATTGAACTGTGATTGGAATGACAGGATGGGAGTGCTGATGCGATGGTGTGTGTAGCGCTCGATCCTCGAGGCAGACCAGGAGGAGGATAACGAGGAGTCGGGCGATATGAACGACGACGAGCTCAACGAGCTCATCGCGCGCTCGGACGAGGAACAGAAGATCTTCGCTGAGATGGACGGTCCGTTCTTCCCTCACCACCCACCCAATCAACCCATTACTAACGGAATTGCACAGCCCAGCGCGAACGCGACGCAGCAGCGGACTGGAAAGCCAAGGGCAACCGCGGCAAACCGCCGCCGGGTCTTATGGCGCTCGAAGAGCTGCCTGAGATCTATAGGTCCGAGGAGCCGTTCGCGGGCCAGGAGGACGAGATTGCTGAGACGGAGGGACGCGGGGCGAGGAAGCGCGCTGTGGTTAACTATACCGACAACCTCGACGACGACCAGTGGGCAATGGTCAGTGTCTCATCTTTCATGACGTACCCTGGAACGTACGCTGACGTTGTGTGTGCGCACAGGCTATCGAAGACGGCGAGGATATCGAGGCGCTTGCTGAGAGCGCACGTGCACGGCGTCGTCGGGCCGACGCGAGCGGCACGGCAACGCCCGTCGGTGATGGGCCGAAGGGCCGGGGCCGCAAGAAGAAGGGCCCCCTCAACGGTCTTGGTCTCGACGATGTCCCTACGCCTTCCAAGCGCAAACGCGGCGGCAATGGTGGCGTGAGCATGACGCCCTCTATTGCCGGCGGGGACGACGACGACGAAGAGGCCGGCGGATCACGTCCGAGCGCTAAGCGCAGGAGGACGGGCACGCAGCAGAAGGGCCCTGAGCTTACGCCGGCGGTGAAGGAGAAGATGAAGAAGGCATTCAATGAGGTTTATAAGGCACTTATGAACTGTACGGATGAGACTGGGCGGAAGAGGTGTGAGCTGTTCAGGGAGTTGCCTGATCGCAGGGTAGGTTCAGTCTTGTTCACCCGTGTGAGTGCTTAGCTAACTGTGTTTGCGTCATATAGGAATACCCCGACTACTACCGCCTCATCGTCCAGCCCATCGCCCTCTCCCAGATTCGCAAACGCATCTCCTCGCACACCTACAAGTCAGCGCAACACTTCCGGGACGACGTCTCGCTCATGTTCGTCAACGCGCGAACGTACAACCAGGAGGACAGCTGGGTGTACGTCGATGCCGTCGAGATGGAGAAGGTGTTCGAGGCGACGTTCGCGAGGGTGCTTGCTGCGAACCCTGACATTCCTGGCGCGCCGGGGTACGGGATGCAAGCGCCGAACGGGGGAATGGACGATGCGTTAACGCCGATGGCGGAGGATGAGCCTGGACCGAGCGTCAGGCCCGGAATGAGGAAGAGTAATTCGAGGAGGGTGGTCAGCGATGAGGAATATCTTACGCAGTCGGACGAGGATTAGATTCGTTGAATCGGCTCGCGCTCTCGCTTTTTGCTGTTGTATGCGTCCTGGACGTTAATGCCGCGCGTATCGCCTTGATCCCCCGTCTCCTGTCAACTCTCGATCTTGACCGTTTACTTTGTTTGCGTTTTGTTTTATGTGGTTGTCGTCGCTCGTGTCTGTTTCGGCTTTGTGTACTGTAGATATCATCTGATACAACTGTTCTTTCTGCACTATACTATCTGGATTGGCCTATAACATGATCTTGTCGTGCATTTGCGATAGGTTGGCGAAGAGGCACACATGAACACCGTCATATACTCATTCGCGCGGCCCATCGTATCGAAACAACCTCTACTCTGACTCCTCTTCCGACTCCCCTCCCGAGGGAATGCGATAGTTCCCTACGACGAAATCCCAATCCAACTCCGGTAAGACATACTTGAGAACGTTGTCCTTTCCATACCACTCATAGTAGACATCCGGTGGCACATCGCACTCCTGCAACTGGATAGTTTGTATGCGGCGTCCGGTAATCACGAATCGCAGGCGCATAGTCTCGCGCATCACATGCCATATGCTCTCAGGTGCATCGGGGCCAACGTCGATGCCGTAGAAGCCGATCGAGGAAAGGGAGGGCCAGAAGATGGCGGCATTGGATGGCACAACTTGCGCTGCTGCACTCGCCTCGTTCGATAGGTTTGCCGTGCTCGGGTCGTGTACGATGGGTGGTTCTGCTACAAGCAGGTGAAGGAAGTCGACGATCATGTCCTGGGCGGTGGAGTTAAAGTGGATACTCTCGACTTCGGTGGCGTTTCCATATATCGCGCGAAATTCGTCGGCAGTCGGGGTGAAATCGCTAATGTAGACGTGCCGAATGGCGATCGGACTAGGAAACAAGGCTACAAGAGGGGTAAAGATGTCCGCCTCCGAAGGTATGGGATGCGCGGCTTCCTCGTGGAGAGCAGAGACGCGAGTGATGGATGGCTCAAGCTCTTCCCGACAATAAAAGTCTAGGGGCTGATGGATTCCTCCACAGGACACGGAGAACCGTCGCAATAAGCCCGTATTGAAGTCAAGTTTCTGAATGGTACAAATCTCCATAGAGTCGAAGTTGGGCGCCTCTTTATTTGCGATGATCGTTCTCAGTTTGGGGAGAAAGTACTGCTGCAGAGCCGTCCAACTTGATGATAGACTGGCGATGTCGGTACAGCAGTGAGATGGATAAATGAGCATTTGCCATAGGTACGCGGAGCAGCCGTCGAAGCTTGTGAGAGACAAGCGATGTAGATGAGGGAGAGAGACAGGATGGCGAATCGTGCGAGAATCAATTGGCAGAGTGGGGAGGACGTGGAGGATTGTCAGCGTCTCAAGCGACGGCATTGCGCGAAGTCCCTCCAGAACCTCGTCAAAAGTTGACGATATTGCGCGCATGAGTTGTCTGGAGGTAGGACTACGATATCCTACGCCCGCGTCAAGTGCCAACGTAGTCAACGTGTTCGCTTGTGCGGCCCAAGGATACAATGTGCCGAGACCGGAGAGCTTTATTTCTTTGATCTTTGGGGAGGAGGATATGAATCGAAGTAGTGTGTCCTCGTTGGACGTCGGTCCAAAGAAGATGTGACTTCCGACAAACGTGAGTTTCAAGCCGATAATTTCTGGCGAGCCGGTAATGAATTTGGATATGAGGGTTTCCACGATGTACGGATGTTCAGTATAGATATCGAGTGAGCGTATTCGAGAAAGGTTCCGTGTGATATCGGACAAGTAGCGCTGGATGGGCGATGGGATGAGCGAGTCGCAGTTTCCGCCAATATTAAGAGGGGCCGCCCTTGAGCGAGACAGGAAGACATCCCAGAGCCGTGCGTCCATCGGTAGGTCAGACCATAACGAGGCGTCGGCCAGAGCAATCGAGCGGAAGTGCCGGCAGATGTGAGTGACCCGGATCCATCTACAGGGCTCGCGGCGGTAAAACTGAGGATAAAATGGTCCTCTAGTGAGATGAAAGATACGTGAGAGTATCTCGGGCGGTAACGCGTATATGTGGGCGACCGCATGATTACGTCGCGACTTTGCCTTCAGTAATTGACGACTGAGCGCCTGGATCTCGACATCCCACACAGCGCCCCCAGGTACTGAGCTCTTCTCGAGGGCATTCCGCGAAGGGAGTTGTACCGCTCTTTTACTGAATGCATCGGCCCAGTAACTCTCGGCACTGTCTGGTGAAAGTCTGCAAACCACAACACTGTCAATAAACTTGCGGTAACGTTGATGGATTACACGTACTCCCGGGACATAGGGAACATCCCTTCTTGATCAGACCCGCATTCGGAGTCACAATTGGCCATATAAGGTTGAAAACAGAAGATGGTGGTTGGAGGACAAGATACGCCCAAGTGGCACGAAGCGGCGGGCGCGCCATCATTCCGGGGTTATCATTTTAGGGTCTGTTCGGCAACCTGATTTTGCGTTTCCGTCATGATTTCCGCAGCCGCACCTAGGACCATGATTGGTGGAGAGGCTGTCGAAAGTTCGAGAGCCTCGATATTATTGCCTTGTAAGGCAATAAGTTTGACCAAAATCCTCCGTCATGACGGAAGATCAGGTTGCCGAACAGACCCTTACTCACGCACCTTCGAAGGTCAATACTTACTGGATATTTTAGTACCGGTTGCAGAGCGCTACGATCCTTCTGAAACGAGCAAGATAGAATATCATAAAATATTACGAATAGCCTATGTCAGAATGTCGACTGAGCGCATAGGTGTGTGTGTGTGTACTGCGCATCTACTTTCTACAAATACTTGTGGGCCATCATCCAGCTCTTCTGACGGCCTCAGCCCAGAAATCCGTTCATGTCCATGAGCATCGCCAATTCCGCTTCGTCTATCGCTTCGTCATCTTCGTCAGCGTCTTCGTCCAAGTCGTTGGTCTCAGCTTCGCTGTCGGGCAACTCTTCGGCCTCCTCGCGCTCTTCCAGCTGCGTCCCGGTTTCCACCTTCGTGATGGATGGTCTCGGCTCGTAATAGCCGCAAGAATGATCCCAGTCCAGCCGGATCCCGCTCCTCTTGTAATCGTCCGAGCATTCCCACTTGTCCATACATTCACGTGGGAGATCGCAATGCCGTATCGAGAGCTTCTTAACACCATGTCCGGCGTGCGCTCGTAGAGAAAGCACTTGGACGAGTCTGTCCCACCACGAGTCCGAGGTTTCGGAACCGTTGCCTTCGGATTGCGAGGAATCGTCGTACGCCTCTTCGCCAAGATCCGTATCGCCAATAGATAATGTCGACAATGACGGCAAGAGGAGTGGGGCCTGTGAGGACGGTGCCGGTGACACGACATCATTCGATGTTGCAGGAAGGCATATGCCGGGTACGTCGGAAGCCCCGCAGGCGAGTAAACGAAGGACATCGTCCAGAACATCGGAGCGAGGATATGATAGGTGAACGCTCTGCGTGGAGGTGAAGTACTCGAAGATAGATTGCAACACGTCGCGGTTGATGTTACGGCTGGACATGATATTCACATGGTAGATTGCGTCCGCCCGGGGAAGAAGCTGCATGAAGCTCTTGATTATCTCTTCAAGATTACTTCCCGGGATCCATTGTGCTGATATGCGTATGCCGGGACAGCGCCTGAGCTGGGCGCCTGACGCGTTGGGCCGATCAACGAGGTAGACGCCAAGCTTGAGGAGATCCTCTTGCTCAAATTGTTCGTCAATCTCATCGCTCATATCCACAGCGTTGTAGACTAGTGATCCCTCCTTGCTTAGCAGGAAAGCGAGATTGGACGTCAGGATATCGAAGGACGAAGACCACGATAGATCTGTACAGATCATATCCGTAGAGCAACCGGGAGGGACATCGAGTAAAGACCATAAGCGCAACCCGCGGGAGTCCTGATGTCTGAGCTCTAAGCGTTCAAGACGAGGCAGAACGACTCGTGCGTGTTGAATGGATGTATCCTCCGAGAAGGCCGATCCTATATGTTCCATCGCTAGCGTTTCCAACATTGGCAATCGACGAAGTCCCTCCAAGATGTCGTCAAGGCTGGATACAAAGGGCCACGCCGCCGTCCTGTTCGCGAGCGCGGTGACGTCTCTGGCATTCTGTTCATTTGAGGTCCCAAGCTTTAGAATCCTCAAAGACTGGGCAAAGGCCGGCCAAGGATACGGCACCCCGCGTAGGTCGATCTCTTCAATATTCGGCGCGGACGTGATGAGTGCGCGCAGTCGGTCTACTAATGTCGTTGAGCGCCCGTACATAGCAGAGCCTCTGAGTCGTAGGATGCGGAGTTCCGGTGCCGTTTTGTCGAAGACCGCGATTATCTTCTTCATCGCCGTTCTGTCAAACGCACTCAAGTCAAGAGTTCGTATGCGGTGACGATTTTTGACGAAGTCTCTCTTGTAACGAGAGAACTCTGGATCTCCGACATGAGCCTGCCACCATCCGCAGATATGCAGGGGAGCGTCTCGTGCTCGGCGCAAGAGCATGTCCCACGGGCAATTCATGTTCGGCGATATAGTCGCCCAGAGGGACGAATGCGCCAAAGCGACCGAACGAAAGTGGCGGCAAACTTGGGTGACACGAGCCCATCCCCAATCTCTTTTAAGGGCACGAATCTTTTCCATTCCTGAGAGCTCTTCAAAGATGTGCGCCAGTAACTCCTCTGGTAGAATAGCGCAGATCGGAGAAAGTGCGTTGCGCCGCGACTTCGCCACGAGAACCTGGTGCTGGAGCGCGTCAATCTCCTCATCCCAGATGTCGCACAGCGGTGCGGCCTCTCGCATGCGAGAAGTTTGAGCAGGTATCCAAGACGTCCTGGCCTTGAGCGCTCCAGACCAGTAGTCTGCTGCGGGCTGTCGCGACGCGGTTGGGGATTGACTAAGGACAGTCAGCGTTTGTGCCGTGGAAGAGCTCGATGCATACTTAGAGTCCATTTGGCCGATTTGACTAGGTTTCCTCCACTTAGACGATAAATCTAGCCTGAGTGCATGAAGGTCGTCGTCCTGGTCAACGAACGCAGGACGCTTCTGGACGCGCTCGTGAACGATCAACTCGCCCACGTGAGTAATTGACACAGTCGTCGCGCGCCTCGCGATGCGACACTGTGTTGTCTTATGTCGATGTGCGAGTTATAGACCATGATTCAGCGCCATAAGGGTACTTATATATCCTCCATGGTAACAACATACAAATACATGAAGCTGGAGATCAGACGTGTTCTTGTACAGACACTAGGGAAATCTACATCTAGTTCCCCGTGGTTGCTGTAGCGGCAAACGTGAGGGTTTCCACGCGACCTTTGCCCTTCGCCTCCTTGTTCAATAGGTCGCTTATAACGCGGAACTGGCTGGGATCGATAAGCAGCACCTGAGAATGACGTGAGCAGAGGAATTAAGGAGCCGGGGATGTTGCCGACTAACCCCAGACCATTCATCCGCTGTCTCCTCGTGCTCTAAGCTCTCAGCGGCCTCCAATAGCCGTGACTTTAGCTTCTCTACGTGAGATGTAGGCAGGTTAACCCGAATGCGCATACGAGCCCGTTGTATAGGTAGGGTGCTGTCCGACTGCAAAAGCTTGATGCACTCAGAAACCTGGTCAGGAGGTAAGCGGATTGCCCACGGTTGGAGGGTATTAAACAGCTTACTTGACTCTTCGCGTTCTTACCCGGGCGCACACTAAATCCGGCCTCAGTCATCGCCTTCTCGATAATGCTGACAGAGTAAGGCGTCTGCGTCGCGGGGTCCACACATTTCTCTGCGACAAGGGTGGCGATCTCTTTGCGGATAGATGTGAGATCATGCTCGCGCTCCTTCTCGCCTACTTGCAGTTCTCCTGACTTCAAGATCTACCAACGAGACTGAGCAAATGAGCGTGAATGCGGGTCGAGATGCTTACCTCCTTCGTAACCTCGTCCCGATCTTGAGTCCCGAAGGCCTTCTTCAAGTCGCCTGCCTTCGCCACTTCGCCCTTCGATACGTTCATGAAGACATTGCTGATTTGTAGGACTTCGTCAAGGTCCTTCTCCCTACCTATACTATCAGTATTTGTTGAAGCGATGGCACTATACAACTTACACGCCATTCCTCCACTCCTGAACTTTATTCTTGTAGCATGCAATCTATAGACCCAAATGAACGGTATCCTCATGCACGATAGCGGATGGCTTACCCACCTCAAAGCGTTTGCCGCCTTTCTTGAGGCGGACTATGGATACATTCGTAAGCCTGAGATCCAGGTCAGCGTTGCCCTGACATCTGATCAGAGCATTCTAGCATACTTGATCTGACCGGAGGGTTGCTGGATAACCATGATGATACAATGGGCAGGGGTATTGTACAAAGCAAGAGTGAGAGATGGAAGCAGAAAGCAAGTCGTGACTTTGATTGGTCCCTGCGACTCGCGGACCGGATTGTTCGGCGTCGGTGACGTGCGGACGCGCCGGAACCGCGGCCGTCAGTGCGGTGCTTCGTTTCGGCGCTCATCTCCTTATCCTCGTACCACGACCAACTCGAATATCGACCATGAAGGGCATATCCAAGGCTCTGGGGCGGTATGCGGCTTGCATTCTGGAACTGATCGAGTCTTGACATGATCGTCTCCTGTCCAGGACGCCGCACATGTTCACCAGTAAGGTGGGCCTTGCGAAGAGTGCGTAGATGTTCCTATTATACGGCACCATTCTAGCTGGCTTACCTCATTTTTCACTTGTACTTCCAACTATTAGAGTCGACCGATCCCGAATTCGACTCCAACCAACGGAGCTTCGCCGAGATGGAGAAGGCTGCGGAGAAGCTGTTGAAGGATGCGAAGACGTTTAGCGAAGCTGTCACTTGTGCGTGCACTACCCGAATCGGATATATGGACATCCTTAATTGACGCATGTTGTAGCTTTGTTTACTGGCGCTGGCGGCTTCGCGGAGCATTTCTCCGCCCTGTTTCGCCCCATACAGGGCGAGTATGACCTCTTGGGGAAATTCCCTGATGCGGCACACACGATCAAGAACGTGGACCAATACCAGGGCATGTTTGAGGAGCTCAAGCAGACGATTGTGCCCGAGCTCGAGCTCATCGAGAGCAGGATTATTGGGCCAGTGAAGGAGTTGCAAGTCGTTCTGAAGACTATCCGGAAGATGATCACCAAACGCGAGCATAAGGTGCGATCTGTCTATCGTGACATAGCGCTATACCCGTCTGAACCTGGAGTCATAGCTACTTGACTATGATCGCCACAACAACTCTCTTACCAAGCTGCGCGACAAGAAGGAGAAGAGTCTGAAGGACGAACAGAACCTTTTCAAAGTATGTTCATTGATAAAACTCGTGAATTGTGCGCCCTGACACCCGCATAGCTTGAACAAGACTTCGAGATCGCGAGCAACGAATACGAATATGTAAACTCGGCGTTGAAGCAGGACCTGCCCAGGTTCTTCGTACTTGCAACACGCTTCATCGACCCTCTCTTCCACTCGTTCTTCTACATGCAGTACGTGACCTGCCTTCATCCTTGGCGCACTCTCTCATCATTCTTCCACAGGTTGAACATCTTCTATATGTTGTTAGAAAAGCTCAACACCTTCGTCGACGGCAAGTACGACGTCACGGTTGCCCCACAGCAGATCGTCGAGGAGTATGAGGCGAAGCGCGGCGATTCCGCTGAGCAGATCGAGGCCCTCGGTATCACACAGAAGTTCATCTCGACGTGTATGTCCCCTCTTTGCGCCCACAAAATGGTTGCTCATGTCTACTTCAGCCAAGCTTGTTGCCCAAAGCCGCGGCTTGTCGCCGGGCGCTTCTCTTGGACGATCGGCCTCGTCGCTCTCGACTGGATCAGCCATGTCTCGCACTCCATCCGCCAGTTTCCAGAAGAAGAATCCGCCACCACCGCCACCATCTTTCGGCACCAAATCTTCCTACTCTGCACCGCCTCCGCCATCTTCCTCGACTGCTCCTCCGCCATACCAGCCTCCCGCAGCAGGCAACTCCGCAGCAGCCGCAGCGGCCGCCGGCAAACGCGCACCGCCCCCTCCGCCTCCACTCAAGCCAAAGCCGAACGCAGCGCCTCCCCCGCAAATTGTTGTCGCGCTTTACGACTTCGCTGCGCAGGCGGACGGGGATCTCAGCTTCAACGTTGGAGATCGCATCGAGATCGTCGAGCGTACGCAGAGCCAGGAGGATTGGTGGACCGGGCGACTCAACGGTCAGCAGGGCGTGTTCCCGGGCAACTACGTTCAGGACACGTAATTCGTGGGGTTGCTTATGGCTGAGGTGGACAAGATACGCAGTGTAACGATATAACTGTTGTATAGGGTTTTGCTCGCATTTGTGAATGTATATTGGATAGGCTGCTCAGACATGTCGACGTCAGTAATGCAAAAATGGCACGGATCCGCGCCTCCGGAGTTCTCATCCGAGTCCCGCTTGGCTCACTAATTCATACCAACGTCGAGTGACTATTGGGCATATGTGGCACAGTACCGGTGTATGGCTAGGTCTATATGAGGGATCATATCGCCACGAAACATCTTCATCAGAGATTCTCGTGTAGAAGTCGGCTCGGGCAACTTGTATGCTGTATGACGAAGCGTCTTCGCACTTCGAAGCGAATATGGAAGCGAATATGGCACAGCAGCAATAGCAAACTACAGCACGATGACAACCCAAAGTAGAGCAACCGGGGCCCCGTTATACGCTCATATACTGTGCCATACTAGCATTCAGCGTGAGCAAATTGATGGCGAATCGCGCAGGCAGAAGCTCACCCTGATTCCTTCTTGCTCTCCTCCTTGTGTGCCAACCGCTCCTCCAGCTTGCTGAACTCGTCTAGTGCAATGACTTCTTCCTGGTCAAGAACCTGAAAAGGCCTTAGCTGGGACTCTACAATGAACCAGTGGGTAAGCACACGCACCTGCTCTACACCCTTGACCTCAGGAATATAGTGCATCATCATGCGTTCAATACCCGTCTTGAGCGTTACGGTGCTTGAATCACAACCGCGACATGAGCCCTTCAACTTGACCTGCACAATGCCGTCCTCCGTGAAGTCCCGGTACTCAATATCTCCTCCGTCCTCCATGATAGCCGGCCGAACGCGGGTAGCCAATAGCTCCTTGATCATCGCCACGGTATCTGAGTCGGTATCAAGAATACGCGTATCCTGCGGCCCCGCGTTTTCTCTGTCCTCCTCCGAGCGGAATAATGGCTGGCCAGATGAGAAATACTCCATCAAGACAGAGTAGACCTCGGGCTTGATGACCGCCCATGGGTGTTCCGAGTCCTTCGACACAGTCACGAAGTCCGGTCCATAAAACACGGTCTTCACACCCTCTATGCCCATCAATCGAATGGCAAGTGGTGAAGCGAGCGCGGACCGAGTGTCAAGGAACTCAGCCGAGCCGTCTTCCATGACGGTGACTCCGGGTATGAACTTCAAAGAGTCATCATTTGGCGTGGTCTCCGTCTGAATGAACATAGACCGTGCTGAGTGACACTATCAGCCAGAGAAGTACCACAGACCGAAAACCACATACTTAAGGGTGGTGATGCGCGGGGAGTGGGTAAAGAGGTTGGTCGGACATTTGCCGCTGTAGCAAGCGTGGCTCTGTGATTCGCTGAACGAGTCGCGGAAGCGTGCAGACAGCGCTTGGAGACTGCAGATACGGTATTTGTACTGCGGGATGTGCGTGCAAGGTTGCGTAGTGGTTGAGACGCGCGACGTGCTGCAGACTGCATGGTGGTAGAGGTGTAAGAGGTGAATTGCTCACTCCGTCTCCGTTCGGCTTGCGCTCGGCGGCGGCTGACTGAGGTCATCCAAATCGCGATCACATGATTTGAAGCAGGCGTCGCGCAAAAATACTCACTCATACGCAATATGTTCAGGTGATCAGAAAGCTTGATATTGCCCTCTACAATGGTATGTGAAGTAGGCTCCAGTGTGGATATAGGAATGACAGATACAACGTGAAGCGTGTGCGAGTCCGATGTGAGGATAGCAAAAAATAGCAAAAAAAGACAGTAATAAATTAAGCAAATAGCCGAGATATGTTCCGTCCAAAGCTTTCACTCGTTGTACCTGGTGTGCTCCTCGTCCCGGTACTCAGTCTCCTTGAAACGCACAGGAACTGGCGCATAGCTGGGTGCGACGTTACGTGCTGCACCGACAGAGCGACCGCGACGAATGCAGATCGTGACGCCGACGGCGAGAAGGCCAAGAAGCGTGACGAAGATGGCACCCAAAAGACCGATCACAACGGGACCAAACGTGTTGAGCTTGTCGACGAGGTCCTGGTATGAACTGTCATCGGACGATGACGCAGCGGCAGAGCTGGCGCTGAGGAGGTTTGCGTCTTCGGATGCATTGTCGGAGGCAGCGTCGTCCTCGCCAGCTCCAGCCGGCGCGCCGCCTTCCTCCGCGAGGATCTTTTGAACTTCGGCCTTCGTAGCCTCCTTTGGTAGGGAAGCCAAGTTCTTGGCGCGGTAGGTTAAGAACTCAGGGTAGTCCTCGTCGGCGGATGATAAGGGGAGCATCTTGACAGAGGGCGACTTGAGCATGTCGTCATCCTCACTGAAGGAGCCATAGTCGAAGCTATGCGTAAATTCCGGTAAGCAGATGAGCAGCTGGCTGGAAAAGGGGTTACGTACGCAGTGTACGAGTTGCGTAAAAAGCTATCGCCCAAAAGCATGTCCATCCCGTCCGTCCCGAACGAAAGAACGTCGAAGGCCGGCGTGCAGACCGTGTAGTTGTAGGCTGGGCTCAAGTCGGTGACGATAGTGAGATCCAGCGGATGAATATAGAAGTCTTGTCCACTAAGGATACACCGTTGTCAGCATCTGGAGCGTGAAGGAAGGGTGAGTATTCTTACCCAAACGTGTAAGTGATGTTGGGTGCGCCACTCAAGCAAGGCACAATCCAGCTACCGAGAACATCGCTATACCAAGCACCGTCGAAGGCACTGTACATCGCGTCGAGAACGAACTTCGGCACCATCGCGAGAGATGTTCCGGTGTCGAGATTGGCGATGGCCTTGCCAGATGGGGCACCCTTGACGGTAGAGTTAAGCGCAACCTTCTTGCCGTTGACGGTCACGGCGTCCAGGGGCACAGCCCAGCTTGTAGGCTTGAAGACGTTGACAGGCTTGATGTCCTTCATGTAATTCTCGGCACCGTCGACGTACTCGCCGATTGTGAAGATGCCCTCGTCCGTTGCCTCACCATCACCAGTGCGACCAAGGTATACGCTGGTGAAGTTGTCAAGCTCGGGGTTCTGCAAGAAGACGTTGCCGAGTACGCTGCGGCTCAGTGCCCTGCCATGCTTGTCGCCATATACCTCGTCCATGGCCTCGTGAACAAACGAAAGCGCACTGTCGAGTGAAACACCCATGATACCGCGAATTCCATGGGGGAAGAATGCCTGGTCAAAGAAAGATTCCTGATGATAACGTGTGAGTACCTGTGCACCACTTGGTGCCGACGACCACTGACCGATGTACCGTTCAAGAACGCTGTAGATACGCGTGAGTGAACAAGAAAGACGCATGCGCGGAAACTGCGGACCTTGCGAGTCAACACTGTAGTTACCGAACTCAAGTTTTGCGAATGCCACCGGCCCGGCCATGTAGCCCGTACCGTACGTTGAGTTTGGCTGATGGTCTAGGATGACAGCAGTAGTCTCGATGTGTTTATCCGGCATTAGGACGAGATCGGTCGAGCCCGTATCAAGCTGTACAGTGAACGCTGTTCGGAAGATCAGCGATGCCTCGTCGAGACCCTAGGGTAAACGTTGACGACGTACCAGCTCCGCCCAGCGTGATATTTGCGAGGTACTGGAGAGTGTTGTGAGTATATCTGTGGTGGAGGCCGAAAGGAGCGTAAAACATACGATATTGTTTCCCGAGTTTGTTAAGAAAGACGTTGAACCGTCATCATCATCCGTAGAGGTGGCAGCGTTCGAGACGGGACGGGACTTGAAGCCCTTGTCGGAAGAAAAAGCAAGATTGCGTCGTGATAAAGGCACTGAACGAGCAGGAATGCGAAGAGCAGACGCGCTTTGCGCCGCCAAAGTAACGGCGCCCAGAAGAAGAGAAGACCCCACCATGGCAAAGGGAAACGGGGCGAAGGGAAATGAGGTGTTCAACTTCGATGCGAGAGCTTGATATAAGCGCTCGTGGGCCTCGTCGAGGGCAGTGCGTGCAGAACACGCGCAATATCCAGACATTCAGTAGCGCTGATGTGAGATGGTCGGGCGGCATTTCCGACGCTGTGTGCAGTATGAAAAGGGCCGACGCCGGTGATGGCAAGAGCGCCCGTTGCTCGCGCATAGCAACGAGCGAGCACCCGGTGATATCCTGCAGACTGAAATCCTTCCTGTCAAACGCGCTTCAGAGCGGCTTAGGCCGCAGAATGCCACTCTCTCTTTCCTCTCGAATATGTCGCGAGGCGTGCCAAGATTCAAGCGGTGCAGTCGTCGGATTAGCGACTCGAACGTACGATGGATTACATGAGGCACAATTAGCGAGCGCCCGATCACAACACCTGTCCACGAGAGTTTTATGCAAGCGCAGGACCCGCTTGCTGTACCTGATTTTTTGCATCCGGTCTGAGTACAAAGCCGTATACGATGGTGGACGTCGAGGTCAACGAAGGCGCGCCGCCATACGCGCTGCAGATTTTGGCGCTCGCGATAACACGTGTCGCGACTCAGACCGTCAATCGTGACGTGTTTGCGCACATCAACTCGAACATTTATAGATGCAACACTGCTTGCCAGTCAATATCTACACATCTTCTTCCCCAACCGCCATCTTCAGGAAGCTGCCATGTCTGATGGATTGCTCGGACCGGCCCTGCAGGCAACCGCCGCGATCATCTTCGTTTATCTGGTGTATCGCTTCCTAACACGCTCGCGGCCACCACCTGCACTCCGCTCTGCAGCTTTGCTTGTTCTCGGAGATGTTGGACGAAGCCCCCGAATGATGTACCATGCCGAGAGCTTCGCTAAGTTAGGGTTTGAGACGTACATTGTCGGATACGAGGGCGCAACACCCACTGCATCTCTACTTTCACTGCCTCGTGTACGGTTCCTCTATTTGCCGCCGCCGCCTTTGGCCGTACGGGCACTGCCGTTTCTCTTGGGTGCGCCCTGGAAAGTAGCGCATCAATGCATCTCTATACTGCAAGCATTGCTCGTCAGAGCGCCACACCCACCTGAATATCTACTCGTACAGGTGCGTACGCGACTAAAGAAGACGAATACCTTAGTAGTGATATCGCATGCAGAACCCTCCGAGTATCCCTACACTCGCTCTCGTCTCGTTGATAGCAGCTACAAGGGGCACGAAAGTCATCATCGACTGGCACAACCTAGGCTACAGTATCTTGGCCCTTAAACTCGGGGAAAAGCATCTCTTTGTGAAGCTTGCACGATGGTACGCCTCCAGGAACTGACCGTGCGCCCTGTTCTGAGGTCAAGAGTGCAGGTTTGAGGCAACATTTGGCCGTAGAGCTTATGCGCATCTCTTCGTGACTCAAGCTATGTGTGATTTCCTATCACGTGAATGGGGTCTTCAGTATGCTCTGTGTCTGCGCTTTGTTCATACACGTACTAATAAACGATCTTAGAGGCCGCAAGGTCGTACTTCATGATCGCCCTCCAGCGCACTTCCGCCATGCAGCACCATCAGACGTTCATGAGGTAAGATCGTAGATCGCCGACGCGCTATGTTGTTCACCGAGAGTACAGCTGTTTCTACGTCTGGCGCCCAATCTTCCGACCGACTTCTTACCTCGGTATTCCACTCCATATTCAACACCTATGACTGAGGTCAAAGCATCGCGCACAAGCTCCGTCGATTCAGCCATCACTGATCCCGCCATGGCCACGAACCAGCTAGCCATGCCTGTTCTGCGAAAGGATCGTCCCGCCCTTGTCGTAAGCAGTACCAGTTGGACCCCCGATGAAGACTTCTCCATTTTGCTCGCCGCGTTGTCTGCATACGAGCACGCGGCGCGCTCTCCTGATTCGAAACTGCCCAAGCTCCTCTGTGTGGTAACCGGAAAGGGGCCGGATCGCGACAAGTACATGGCAGAAGTCGCAAACCTGCAACGCGGGACGGGCGAGGAGACGCCTTGGGTGCATGTTCGCTGCATCAGCTTGTGGCTAGAAGCGGAGGACTACCCAGTCCTTCTCGGTTCGGCGGATGTTGGAGTCTCCCTCCATGCCAGTTCGTCTGCTTTAGACCTACCGATGAAGATTGTCGACATGTTCGGATGCGAGCTACCTGTATGCGCGTTGGACTTTGCCTGGCAAGTGCCTTGCTTTATCTTCTTCCAGTCGGCATTCTGACATCTAGGCAGCTTGCCGGAGCTGGTGCGTCACGAAGAGAATGGTCTCGTATTCCGCACAGCCGAAGAGCTGGCGATGCATTTGCAGGTATCGTACGATGGTTTTTACACCTGAGATCCATCTGAGCGACCATGGCAGACACTGCTGAGAGGCTTCCCCAGCATCTCGCCCGCACTGCGCTCGCTCCAGAGCAATCTTCGAACAGGGTCACATCCCACGGGTAACCCCTCTATCGGGGAGGAAACATCGTGGGGTTCGTGGGACGAAAATTGGGACGCCGTCGTTCGTCCATTGGTTGTACATAGCATAGAGAATTGAATCAAGACTGTCACATTGATCATGTTTTGTTGTGTACGAGATTACGTGCATATATGGGATATGCCATGCGCATCACAGGCCGCGAACCGAGTCTATGACGGTCAGTAAATAGCATAGTATATCGCCCAGTACTGACGTTAGCGCGTCACAATGACCTATCTTGGGTCGCACTCCGGAGCACCCATCGGTACAGAATCCACCATGAACATATATTACATTGAGTAGTGATAGTACAACAGGTTGAATGAGCATACGCATAATGTCGAGAAATACATCGGCTCGCGGGCCGTCCGTCCGTGATCGTTCCCATCCCTCGGCGCGAGCGCCTACCCCTGCGGCAAACCCATACGACTCTCCTCCTCGTCATAGGTCCAACCACAAGATTAGGCAGCTCGCGCCCACTAAGCGTCGAGCAGCTCACGCCGGACGTCTGCAAAGACCGCGGCGCCGCAGCCAAGAAGGCCAAGTTGTGTCGTTGTGGCGAGAGTCTGGCGGAAAGCGCGCTCGAGGCCTGGCTGGCGAGGAGAGCCAAGGGATTCTGTAGTATAACACTTAGACTCAGATACAAGGGGTCGAAATGAGCAAAAGCGTACCGAGGATCGCAGCATTAACCTCCTCAGCCAACTCATCGCGACCAGCCTGCCCAGCCCAACGACCGACTTCGCCACGCGCCTCGCTCGGGAACCGATACGCGACCACACCAAACGCCTTGTCGAGTGCAGCCTGCACTTCGGGTCTCGGGTCGCCTTTATACTCCGCCCTCAATCCCTGACCATACACGATGGCAGCCTTCAGTGCAGCCTCCGCCTCCGCCGTCTCATCGGGAGCACCATCCGCGACCCCATCAATGTCCATCCCGTCTACATCTCCGTCTCCGACAGGCGTAGGCGGCACCGAAGCACGCGCCTCAACGCGCTTCTTGACCTCTGCCGCACCATTGACCAGCTCCACGAACTTCCTGCACCTCAACGCCAACCTCACCCGTCCTCCGCCCGCCTGCAACGCCCCGGCGAACCACTTCTCACTCAGCCCCAACGCCTCATCGATATTTCCCTCCTGAATCGCGCGTAGGACCGCAAGCCGTTGGTCGAGTGAATCGCCCTCGGCTCCGTCCATCGCGATTGTGGGCACACTCGGCGCCTCCGGGCCGCCCACGCCCGGCGCGCCGCCGTCCGGCTGAGGTTCACGGGACAGCTGGGCGTGCAGAGCGCGCGCGGCACCAGCGTATCCGTGATGTATCAGGTATCCCAGTACGAGTTCGCCGAGCGCCGAGCGGGTGTCGGCCGCGCGCTGGTCCGCGCTGACTTCTGGTACTGGCGCAGGAGTCGACTCGTCGGCGTCTTCGTCCATCGGAGTCGCGGGCGGCTGAGGGGTAGATGTGAAACGCGCGGGCGCAATGGGGACGCGGTTGATCTGGGCCCAGACGGCATCGCGTACGCTCTGGACGTGCTCTTCGATGTCGAATCGGAAGGGCGAGCCACCGAAGTTCGCACGGACGGCTTCTTGTTGATGGCGCAGACCGACGGCGGGGTAGAGAATCGGTTCGCCTGCCTCGCGTGCGCCTGAAGGGGGCGATAGAGAAGGTGTGAGGTCGAAGACGGGTCCGATGAGGGTACCGTTCCTCGTGAAGAAGGCGCGACCGGTGGTAAAGTCGATACCAGCGCCGACAGTGTCGCCACCTGAGATAGAATGAGCAAAGATATTGGAAACTTGAGATGCCGAACTCACTGCCGAAGGTGGGCCCATAAGGTTGGCCGGACTTTTCAGCTGCATAGGAGTAACCGTCGTCGCCGTGGTATCCCCAACTGTCCTTCTCCCAGCCGGGCAGCTTGTTAAGTCGATTTGTGCTCGAAGTGAACCTACGCCGAAGCGATGAGCGCCTAAACCAATCAACCACATGGTTGAAGAACAAACATACCCCACAGAGATCTGCGCCTTTGCGTTCTTGCTGAGGATGTCAACTTCGTAGTAGTATACGCCGCACGCAGGCGGCACGGCATGGTTCGCTCGCGCTAGTCCTGGATCCCCTGACTGGCTACCTACATGATGGGTGTGATCAGCAGGTGGAGGGCGTAAGCGGAAGCACGGGACCTGCCGGTACCATAGCCTGCACCCCGAGAGAAAGGAGCGTTAGACCGCATTCTAAAGTTCATAGAGGCGCAAGCATGACCAAGAGAACGTTCGGGGAAAGAGCGTCGCGATCAAGGCTTGGAGAAGCATTGCGATTGAACGCAATTGCGGATAGGGTACGATGGCCCTATGGTAGGAGGCCACGAGACTATGATGCTCACACAGCGGTCAACATTCGGCAGCTGCGCTTCTAAGGATATCTCACATCCCCAGCTAGAGTACGCGATACTCGTCTCAGAGCCAAGACGATGTGCGAGCAAGCAAGATTCAAAGAGCACACGACCAAGTCAAGAATGATTAGGAGAAGGAGATGCCTACCACTGTAAGAGAGCTCACGCCCGTCAGGGCTCACGCTCAAGTATGGATGCCGGTCTTGTTCGCTCCAGCGAGTCGGTAGCCTGAACACGGGTGTGCTGCCGATCATTGCGCTCTGCGCGGCCCGCCCGCGCTTCGCCTCATCGTCGCCAAGCCCGAAGCTGGACGAGGCTTGTTCGGGAAGTTCCGTTTGGAGTAGGCTCCGTAGAGAGCTATTATCGAGGTATGCTGGCCGGGGGAAGGGCTGAGGCGCCAAGGCAAGATGTGGCCAGGAAGGTGTGGTATTCGTGCGTACGGGCGGGCGGAGCACAGTTGTGCCCGAACCGGCCGATGTCCGGCGGGTGCGTGCGGGTGTAGGTGGCGAGCAGGCGACGTCGGCCCAGGACGACGACGGAGCATTTCGGCCTATGACTCGGGGCTGGATAGGGTAAGTGGTCGTGGATGCAGCCCGAGGGTGAGCGGTCAAGTAGGCCGGCATGGGTGACGAGCTCGAGGCAGTTCGGAGACGCGGCAGAGGGAGCGGCGAGGAGGTGAATGGCATCTGCATCACGTCGTCAATCGGCGGCAGCGTCGTGGCTGACCGGTGCGGCGTCGTCATTGTGTGTGGCAGGATGGCGTACGAGAGTAAGACGCGGAGAAGGGCGAATGTCCTCCTGATCTAGTTTGCCTTTTATGGTAATCGATCAATGTAGCGCGTGCGCGTCTCAGACGCGCGTCCTCGCCTTCACTTGCACTTCAACCACCATGGTACGTGTCTGCTCTGTCTTTAGCATGCGTATACTCATTCTTCATAAAGGACCCATCCCTTCGCATCGTACCGGCAGCACCCGCCAAGTCCGTCTCCACGGCCAACACCGCCGGCTCGCTCGGCCTCCATGACACTCTAACATATGGCCCCCGCACCTTCGCCGGCGAGATCAAGGGCCAGACTGCCTTCCAGAACCGCATGGAGAAGGTCCGTCAACGCCTAGGTACAATACCTTTGATATACTCACGACAAGGCAGTGGGATGAAACGCAAGATAACTTGCGATTGACATTGCACCGTAACCTCTATGGTGTGGCTGCACCTATGATGCAGCTCATGGAGCGCAAGCTCGTCTCTTATGTGCGTAACCGGTGAATGATATTTATAGTATGAAGCACTGATATGGCCATATCTTGCAGAACCCTCACATGCCCACGATGAAACGCTCCAATGTTCATCTAGACGTCTTGCGAGGGACAGATGACACGCTCGATGTATCAGACTTCATGCGTACGTCTCTTCACTTAACCGGCGCTTGTGCTTCATTGCGTTGGGACTTGTGAGAATGGTAGCTGATACCGCATTGCAGATAACGAGACGGGCCCATCTATGGACATTCACGCCGAAATGGAGAAGAAGCTTCGCATGTAGAATATCACTGTACTTCTGGACATTGCCTGATGGATCCGACTTTGCGCCTTCCCATAACGCGAGATATACCCAACAGGGATTGACGCAAGACATAAGCGCGCAAGACACGCGTACGCGTTCTCCACGTGACCGTTTTCACCCAGCGATGATCAAGTTTGGGACGTCGCCTGCCTGTATGGGCGACTCGTTGGTCCTGACAGCTTCCCTTCGTATCCACGTGCTCGCACAGGATAAGAACGGGCAACATTGGGCCGCTTGCCTTTCTCTCTCGCCACCATCGTTGCCACATTCAAACCTCACTGACAAGATAAATGGACAGCCAAAGGCACCTCCTCTACCATCGCCTCCCTTGCATGTAATTACCTCACTCACACTTCCCATATGCATCGAAATGGGCTCATAGAAAGACTGGAGTAGGATGAGGAGCTCTCATATGATCCCGCACGCCTTGGCGCTCCCTCAGAATCTCCCCGCTGAAGTCCTCTGTTCCGTATTCGACCACCTCGTCGTTCTCTCCCCATTCCAGAATAAGGGTAGAGTGGAACTGGGATGGATTCGCGCAACGCACGTCTGTGGACGCTGGAGATCGGTGGCCCTCGAGTATCGCTCGCTCTGGACCACTCTTCACACGGAATACTTCGTAGCGTGGGATACCTTCCTAGGACGCACGAATGGACTACCGTTGACTATCATTGAATTCGACGTCCTCAAACGTATCGACGGTGATACCCTCAGCAACAAGCTGCTCTCCCTATTGCCTGCCGCGAAGCGCGTGACTCTGTGGTCCGCACGTTATATAACCGCACAGTTCCTGGCAGTGCTAGCCGCGAATCATATTCTATGCGAACTCCGCCTGGACGTCATGTCAGGCCAAGTTTTGAGCTCGTCGCCGCTTCCCTCGTTCGGCACGAACTTGTCCTCACTCAAGTTATGTGGCGTTCTCTACCCATGGGGTTACCAGGCACCCGGACTTCGCAGACTGGAGGTCGCCATGCACAACAATTACTTCCCTGACATCTCGGAAACATACAACTCCGTCCTTTCGAACGTATTGGACACCCTCAAGAACATGAAGTCTTTGGAAGAGCTTGTTCTCCTCGACGTTATCCCACCGCCCTTGGGCGCACTGGACGGCCACGATCGCCTCGCATTGCCACATCTTCGGGTTCTCAAGTTTAGGGGCATTGCATGCAACTGCGCGGCGCTCTGGTCTCTTTTAGATCTTCCCCCAGATACGACTGTCGTCGTCAGCTGCTGCGATGTGCTCCTACAGACAGCGGACCTTACGCTGATACTTCAATGTCTCGGCTCCCGCTTCTCTCATCCAACGTTGCCGGCGTACCCCGGGATCTGCATCGAGGAGTGGGACGATGACCGTCGTGCGGGCACTCTACGGTTAAGCATTGGATCGCAGACCGACTGCCGTGCTGGCTCTCTCACCGTCTCCAACTATAGCCGCTCCGCACGATTCGACGGAACAGCCATCCACCTCGAAATGCCCTCCATCCTCGACACGTTGTTCGATAATATCTTTTGCGAGAACTACAGGCAGACCGTCAGGGACTCGTTTTACGATGTCGCAACACAGTTACTCGCGGTGGTGCCAAAGTCGACTCTCGAAACAATGGCTGTCGTCGCGTCCAATCCTTCCAATATGAAGCGTGAGGGCATCTCGAAGCTGCCAGTAGAGGAGTGGGAGCGCCCGTGTTCAATGAGCGGCTCCATGAGCCCATCTTGACCTTTTTATGTGCATGTATACGTCGACATTACACGCTTTCACCTGATACTCCTGTATTGGGCTCAAATGTGTACTGCACGATCTTCTTGTGACTGAAGTTATTGGAACCGCACTACACGAGTCAATAGTCATTTGCAGTTTCTTCCTAAAGGTTGATGCTGCGTCTCACTCCCCAGTCGCGCTTACATAGTGCTGCTCAGCGCAAGATGCTCTGATATGTAGATCACGTCGGATGTGAACAACAAGCCCATGGCCAGGGCGATCATCAGACGCTTGTCGTAGTACATGGAGCGTAGGAGGTGATAGATGATTCTGTAACCATTGTTAGGTAGAAAAGGCTGGTATACATTCGACAGGCCAGGTGCATCTGACATCATATGCGCATCCGTAGTCTTTTCCCCATCCAGCCCCAGAATAGGCGTTGCAAGCAAGCTCGAAACGCTCGACGTATGATGCGCACATTGTGCTAGACCGACAGCGGACCGACAGAAGCGCGCGAGGTCGTCATCGCCGGGAAGGCCGGGGTAGACAGCAGAACAATGGCTGCCGGAAGTCGAAGAGAAGCACGCATGACTTCTGCGTATGGAACGCAGTTTACAGTTCTGAGTTCAATTGAACGTCCGCCATGACGCGTCAATCTAGAGCGCGCAAAGCTCTTGCGTCTGGGCTCTGTGCGAAAAAGGTAGAACAATGATCATTGCAAGCCGACCGGCCATCTTCTCGCACAACATGAAGCGTTGTATGCGTATGGATCTGATCATGATATTCCCTGAAGATCATACGGCAGGGCGCAAAGCGTACGTATGTCAAGGATACGCTCCCTGGATACCGAACGCGTTAGACCCTACCGTAGCCATGCAATTACGCGTGTGTATGGGACGAGATGCTCTCATCGTACGCGCGCGTTCGACCCAGCCCGCATCCAAGTCGAGAAGCGCGCGAAGCGTGATCTGCACACGGTTTCGAACTCAGCGCCCAGCGAGCATGCAAAGGTACAGTACCCATGATAGCACTGAACAACCCAATGAGGATTTTTCGCACAGCTGTCGTCGTACCACGAGACATGTGCACGAACACGCAGCTCTCGACTCGAGGCTGGCATGGCCGCCGCGAGCTTGCAGGCCGCCGGACACACTGCTACCGCATACAATTCCAGGCGGCCGCCGCGACGGGCCGCCTCTTCCTTGAGGCTAAGTCTCCTACGCCGGCGGCCTGTCCAGGGACAAGGCCCGCAAAGCGCAAAAGCGATGGGCGCGGTCGGCGAGCGCGCGCTCGAAGATGGGCTTCGAAGCACGGCTGCGCGGGCTTGAGAGTTTGGATGGGGAAGGAGATGGACGCCTGTGGGTCCGCTGCGCCACCCGAGGCTCTAGGCTCGGGGCATGGATGATTGTTTGGAGATGGTTATGGAAAATGAGATGCTTCGGCTCCACTGCACTTCGGGATCGGAAGTCTTACCCCGCATGGGCTCCGTTCCGAGCAACTCCGCAGTCGTGCCTTTCGTAAAAGTATATCTGTACTTTTGAGCTTGCTGGACATGGCTTTATTTTGCGGACGAGTACGGGAAAGTTTACAGCTCAGAAGAGTGACGTGGTGGGCGGCTAGGAAGCTGAGGTGGCGGGGTAGTCGAGACTGCACGTATGGGAGGGCGCCGAGGGGCCTAGAGTGCCGGAACGGATGAGGCGGCCGAGCTATAATGACGTAGTTCCCGGACTTGAAGCTGGTGCTCGGGTGGCGCGTGCGGCGGACCACGCATTTCCTGGTCTGTCGAGCAGGCTATTGGCAGCGAAAGCAATGCAAAGACGATTGTATTTCTTAGATCGAAGCGATAGGAGGCTTGTCGATGGTGCGCGGGCGACACGATGAGGATCGGGCGGGGAGAGAGCGGGGGAAGAGGCGAGAGAAAGAGCCGCGTCTTGCGAGGTACCGGGCGAAAGAATGACATCATCCGGCGACCGCGTCGACAGAGGCTTGCCTTGTTTGCCGTCGCAAAGCTCCATCTCCAGATTGATCACACTCTCCCGACGACTTGCATGGACTTCTTCTCAAACGCCGCCCGTCTCGCCAACGACGGCGGCTCGGACGACACTGAGCAGTTCGCCCGTGCGATCGAAAACCGTTTCGCTGCACCC